GATATTTCGCGCAAAATATTAGCTATTCCCATGAAACTTTCCAAATCGTATTTTTTTGTGCGTACCTTCATTAGGGTAAACGCGCGTGCCGATCGGGCGTCTATATCCTATAGCTCCCATAGGAACAATAGGGTGAAAAATTTTTAAATTTTATTTTTTCAATTATAAAATATTTTGTTGTTTATTAATGCATGTTGCTAGTCTAGTCAAGTTTTAATTCGTAAAATCTGCAAGGGTATTAAAACTTCGGCTTGCCGAAGTTAGCTTCCGTCCTCGTTTTTATCCAAATTTGCTAAACTGAAATCGTTTTTAATACTAGTAGGTTTTGCAAATACAAAAATTTTATTTCCATTTTGTGAAGAATTGATGAATCAACGCGTTGCAATATAGAACAAACTTTATGAAAAAATAGTCTGGTAGTCGGGGCATCCGACTATAGCATTCTCTCTTGTTTTATTTAATATTATTTTAATTCATTTGTTTTTATTTCAAATAAGAACAAACAATTATTCCCCACCACTACAGTATGTTAGTGATAATAACATGGAAAATATCTGATCAGACTTATCTAAGTAATCCCCTGGATTGACCACCTGTCAGCAATAAATTGTCCAAAATTGACCAAACTTTTAGGTGCATTGAAGTCGAGCAGCTGCCTAAATTGACTTATCGCCTTTTGATTGATATACCCTTGTACAGATAAACACAAACATACATATATAATCTAAGAGCCTTTGCCAGCTGCTACGCCATTGTTAAATCGAGATCCATGACGTTTAAATATACATATATCAGACGTCATGACAACCAACCCCTAAAAACAAAAATGTCCCAAAAAGAGGGCCGACATCGAAATGGAAAACAAATACAGAAGCGTCCTGTCTTTACTGAACGGTAATCGGGTATGATAAAGGCACAAAAAAACTTCATTTGCTGAAGAATGTCTATAAATATGATTTCTTAATATTATTTACAATCCACTGTGGACAAAATAATCTTTAACAAGAGAGAACGCTATAGTCGGGTGGGTGTCCCGACTATCTAATACCCGTCACAGCTAAAGGAAGTGCGAGGGAGATGGATTCATAAAATTTTTTTGATTGCGCATAACTTTTTAATGAATTGTCCGATTTGAAAAATGTCTTCTACATTTTCATAGGTATAAGTATACACAACAAAATTACATTTATACTTCTTGACGGGTATAAGATAGTCGGGACACCAACCCGACTATAGCGTTCTCTCTTGTTTTTTTTTAAATCTTACCGTTTATTTTTAAACATTTTTTTTAATTACGCTCCGTTTTTTAATTTATGCAGCACTTAAGACTCGTTTGAGTTATTTTAATATCTGGTATACAACTTTGTGAGACATCTTAATATCTTTCAGAAAAATATTTTAAAAAATTTGTATACTTTATTCTTTCAACACATTTATTGAAATATATAGTTACAAAAGCATTGCGGCATGTAAGCACGGTCCATAAGCTTGTAGGAAATGGTGTTGTATTATTTTATTCAATTCCAGTTCCGCGTTCCGACTATGAAAATGTTTAAAACAACAAAAAAATAATTAATATTGTGCTATATAAAAATCGGAGAAGGTATTTACCTTTTATAATTAAATAAGTGGAGTATAGTTGTTTTCGGTTTGCCCAGAGTTTCACGCCAAGTAATTCCTTTTGCTTTCGCATGACAGCCTTGATCGTACACGCTTAAATCTCGGTTTCTCCAATTACTTTAATTTTTGTTGTACATAAATATTGTAGTTTATTTATATTCCACCGTACGCGGTATGTAATATTTAAACAAGAAAGAAAGCTAGCTTCGGCCAGCCGAAGCTTTTATACCCTTTCAGATCGTTCCTATTAACTTACAAATCGCAACAATTTTAAATTTCGTATTATTTTAACATTTTTTTTTCTATCCTTCCCTATTGCAGCTATAGAATATAGTCGTCCGATTTTTGTTAAATTTAATTCAAAACTCGGAAATATTAAAAATCATATCATATTAAATACAAAGGGCGGCAACACTACTACTATTTTGACCGCAGCTGTATACTTTTATGTTTTTTGACTATGTTTTCTAAAATTGGTTTCTCCCTTAATAAAAATCCTAAAATTATTATAAGTATAAGGTTCGAAAGATAAAAAGTGAATATTTTAAAATAAACCATGATTCATGAAACCATGAATCCGTTTGCCTCTGAGAGCTCCGGAAAGTTGGCCAATTTCCGCATTTTTCGAACTTTGAGGTCCTTTTGCTAAGAATCCTTGCGTCATAAAACTTTTTAACTTGGGAATTCGTAACGAATCCAAAAATATAGCATCCATCGAGGTAAATTTTTGATGCTGCACAGTGTTATTCTTTGCGGTACTACAAAACGAAGGTAAGCTAATTCTTTTTTAGGGTATGATAAGAGCAGACCATAATAAAATTGTGGGGTCATAGTTCTGTGATTTTGGGTTAAAACGCGCAACCTTAACTGATACGATGGATAACATCACTGCAGATAATAATGAGTGATAGTGACAGTACAAGTCCGGCCAGTAAATTGAGAAAACTATTAGAAAAGCTGGCCTAACTTATAATTATAATATTCATTCAGTGCCCTATTTTTCTGACCTAAATATAGTACTTGTAATTGTGATCTCTTACTTCAATTTTTGTTACTAAGTTATAACCTGCGCTTATAAATAGCTAATTTCCCTTTAATTATTAAAACGAAAGAAAGATTTTATTTTATTTACGATATGAAACCGCCTTTTAACTTTTTAAAGCAACAGCTCTTGATTAACTTTACGAATGCAATAATAAATTATTGACATTACAGTGCGTTTCATTAGGGTTTCTAAAAACAAAACAAATTACAAGGTGTGTTTTAAAAATAACTCGAAAATTATAGTTAAGCAATTTATTATTAGCTAGTTTTGATTTATTGTTTCCTGTTCGATATTTTAAGCGGCTTATTAATAAAAACTCATGTTAAAAAACCAATTGTACAAATGTTTAATTTGTCTGTAACAATATTTTATAGTCTTGATTTTTTACTTCATACCATTTAATCTTACCTTCTATTTTTAATCATATATTTTACAAATGAGCTCGCAATGAGCCATTACTAAGGTCTCTTAGAATGTTTAATTCCTTGCCTACAAGAATTCGATTCAACTGGGGTGCCAAGAAGGGAAAATTTAGGGAATATTTTTTAATTAATTTTCAATAATAGATTTACGTTAATCATTTGTAGTAACGTGCAGCTAGATAAGGAGTTATCCATTGGCGATAGATAAATAAATAAATAAACAAGAGAGAACGCTATAGTCGGGTTGGTGTCCCGACTATCTATCACTCGGCTAAAGGGAGTGCGAGGGAGATAGATATATACAATTTTTTTGATTACGGATAACTTTTTAATGAATGGTCCGGTTTGAAAAATGTCTTCTACATTTCGATAGGTATAAATATACACAACAAAATTGCATTTTTATAAGGTGTGGCGCCCACACCTTTAAAGATTTCCGAAAGTTATCAACAATAACAATCAACAAAATTGTATATATCATAAAAAATACAAGGAAAAATACTTTGAAATTTTTATTTTCATTATTATTAATTTTGATTGGGGAAAAACTTTGCATCAAAACATTTTGGTTTTAAGCCCCAGAATTAAAGTTGAAAATTTGACTTTCACAAAATTTGCTCACTTTTCAAAGGGGTCTTAATAGGTTAAGAACATTTTTGTGTCATTTAAACGGAATTGAAGTGCTCTTTCTATAGGTGCCAAAAGTTTATATTAAAAGTTAAAAATGTGAATACAGTTAACATTCAAATCTGTCAAAATAATTATGCCGACTAGTGTATATAAAAACTAGTAAATGTATAATAATAAATAATATTTGAAAAAACACCGAAGCTAGAATTTTTTAAACGTTTTTTCCGATCCTTCCTATGGGAGCTATAAGATATAGTTGTCCGATCCGGTCGGTTCCGACTTATATACTACACACAACAAAATTTGCTTAGTAAAATTTACCAACAAAGATAGTTACGTAACTATTAAAATAGTTACGTGTATTTTGTTTTTGCTTTGGGTTTGTGTCTTTGCTAATTGTGTGTATTTTGTTGTTGTGGAATAACTATTTACTTAGTATAATTGACAATTTTGCTGGTTGGGGCCTGTTGGACAATTATTACAGTTGATTTTACCAAGTTTTTTTTTTTGTGTGTACCTGCAATAGAAAGAAGACATTTTGGAAAGTTTCATCCCGATAGCTCAAAAACTGAGAGACTAGTTTGCGTAGAAACAGGCAGACGGACAGACAGACAGACGGACATGACTAGATCGACTCGTCTAGTGATGCTGATCAAGAATATATATACTTTGTGGGGTGGGAAACGTCTCCTTCACTGCGTTGCAAACTTCTGACTAAAATCATAATACCCTCTGCAAGGGTATAACAACTTTTAAGAAAGTTTCAAGAACAAGTTAACGGTCAAACGGACGGACATGGCTAGGATAGGGTCTTAAACGGCTAAATAAATGTACACAATTGTAGACTATTGATATTCTCAAATTGATAACGATGTTCTTGATAGATTTCGATTGGGTAAGTTAGGAATTTCCGGACAGCATATTATCATATTTATATTATATTTGATTAAACCATTTCCCTGGCCAATGGACTTAACGAACTAAAATCACCTAAAAAGCGAATAAAGAAGGAGAAGGACTTAAAGGAAAAGGAGCAATATAGAAGATGTGGAAGTCGTAGAGAACGAGAAATAAAAACTGGCCATAAACCAGCAACGTGCACTGACCGACTCGACTTGACTAGACGTACTAGAGAGATATCTTTATAAAACCGTCAATACGAAGCTACGCCGCTGCCTCTGCCGGCGTTACCGCCACTGCCTCTGCCGGCGCTACCGCCGACGTCGCTGTTTATTATTAAGACGGGCGCGAGCGGGTCGTAGTTAATTAGTTGTCCGATACAATTCTAGCCAAGCGGTTTGCCGGAGTTTGCCAGCGAAAAGTGGCGAAAATAAAGTACCGAGAACGGAAGTCCGAAAATTCGAACTCGAATTTCCGCCAGCAAAAAGAATCGGAGCGCTCCGGTGCGCATACGCCGTGCGTGTTTCCCATTCCACAATAAGGCACTATATAAAAATATAAAGTCGGTTAAAGTGCCGCCAGCACGTGCATTATCTGAAGTTGTTTTTTATTTTTTACGTTCCATCGCCGTTTGTTTTTGTTTTTTATAAGCATTCGTAATCCGATATGGTTAGAACTACGTCCCTTTTCTTAAGCTTATTCGTAATAATATGTGGAAGCATTTTACCGGATATTCAAGCGAAAGGTAGGATTATAAACTAAGAAGGGATTTCGAATTTAACTACAATATCAAAAAAACTGTATTTCCTTTGCGGTCAAAAAACAAAAAATTCATTTCACAAAGTTCATATATTATATGTAGTAGCCCAATATTTTCAATGCATTGTGTGTGTCCTGGTCCAATTTTAGCAAGGAAAATATAAGGCTACTAACCCGTGTCAAAAACTAACTAAGCAAAATTAATTTTAACTAAATAAGCAAAGGTCACCCAAGAGTAGTTAAGCGTAGTTATGTACAGGTCAAATCGAATTTGATTGGTATTAGCAAATACACACTTTTTAAATGTCATCATTTCCAATAATATTAATAATTACATAAGTTTAATAAAAATCGGAAGGCTACATTGTCTACATAGCTGCTATATATCTCATACCGATAAGTCAAGGTTTTAAAACATCAGGGAAAGCTCGATTATACGAACGGTCCAGTAATCAACTAAAGATGAAACTGCAAGGGAATATACATATATGTATTTTTAATTATCGGTTTGACAAGTTTAAATTCCTTTCTCGCTTTCACTTTTATTGAGCGCAAAAATCAAGCAGGATATATACGTTTTTAAATATTTTTATATTTAGCTAGAAAGCATACAAAAATGTTCTAAAACTTGAAATCAAAACCAACTTGGCATTAACTTAAAATTACTCTCAAAATAATACATAAAATACATGTTAAAGTTATCATCATTGGCTATTAGTTGAATGAATCATTGCAAACTAAGTCTAACTAGACTCCATATATAATTAGTTAAGGTCTAGTTTTTGGTGACACCCTAGATTATTTTGATAAAGTAAGAGCTAGTCAAATATAACCCTAAAATGTTTACTCTCCCATGGGAAATGTGAGTTAAATATTTGCGGGCCTTTCCGGCTCTCTAATAGTCCAACGGCTTTAGACTCTAGTTTTATCATTAGCAGCTAGCTTATCTAGACTTCCTGTCGCCCCCAAAGCTTTTCAGTTCGCAGTTATCCACTTGATGGATGGATCGATTCGATCGATCAATCAAGTGGCACTTATCCACCGACTGCAAATGTATGCTTCCTTGGCAATTACATCTGTGGTTTCGTTTTCGGTTTACGAGGATGTCGGTGGTGATTTGCACCGGAGGCTTCATCCCTTATCGGATAACCTACACACAACAAAAACCTTGTTAAAATTAACCAATATTATTGTCAAACAGTCCCTGACCACAAAAATTGTCAATTTTACCAGTTAAATAGTTACTTTCACAACAACAAATACACACAATTAAAAGACACACACCCGAAGCAAAAACAAAATAAACTTACACAGAGAGAATTATTTAAGTTATTTGTACTCGGATTAGCTATCAAATATTTGATGGCAAGACTCATTTACTCCCTATGCCAGCCTTTAAGAAGGTTCCTGTGAGTAATGTCATACTCATTATGAAAATATTTGTACTCAAATGGGAAGTTGATGAAATTGTTTCCTAAAATGAAGAGTTTTCAATCAATTCAAGTTTTTTTTCTTAAAGTGAGTTCAATTTGTACTCAATATAAGTTTTTTCCCAAAATTTGTACCCAAAATCAGTACATCACGAAATTGAGAATATTGAGAATACAAATACTTATTTTCAGAACGTCAGAATTCTCTCTGTGTAACTACTTTTTATAGTTACGTAACTACCCGTATAGGTAAATTTTACCAATCAAATTTTTTGTGTGTGAGTGTTGAGTGTACAAGTTATTTTTTTGTTTGTAGTGCAAAGTGAGGTGAGTTTCCCGTGATTGGCATGATGAGTTTATGGTGTCCACACGAACAGCAACTTAGATTTGGAATAGTCGGCGCAGCTATAGTTATAGTTATTTATACTGCCTGATGCCATTAACAGCAAGTAGTGGCCGGGCATTATCTGGTGCTTCGGTCATTTAAATTGTACCGAGTCCATTATCGCCGCAAAGTCAATTTCCTTTCAGATTTCTTGATTACGCATTATGGGCCGAGTCGACCACGAACACAATTGTTTTTCACTTATCTAGGTAGCTCTGATTTTTTCACTTCACTCAATCTGATTGGAAATTTGCCCATTGTCAATAATTCAACACAGACTTTAAAAGAGCAACTGCTTATTTTCACATTCGAATTATTTGATTTAAGTTTCTTTTCCTTAACGGTATCGCAATATGCTAGTTTTTGTATCGGTCGCTTGTAAGGCTTTTTTGCCAATATTTATTTGTTTATATTATGAGAAAATGTGTTGCTTTATAGTTTTGACCATGTTTTACATAGCCATATTCCTGTAACATTATTACTTCAAGTGCTAAATAAAAACCACTATTATATAGAATAGTTTATTTGAATTATATGTGTAGTTTACACCACGATGTTTCTATCAGGGGTCTATCAGGAATGTTTTAGAAATTTCTACCAATTAAATTTTAGAACAACATTTCTTGTTTCATACTTTTTGAATACCGAAGTTTCTTTTACATTTTACCTAAATCCCTAGTCCCAAACTTATGTCCCATCACCTACAGGTTCCGCGGTACAGCTAAGAATACAAAAAACCGATGGTTGCCGACATTTTAAATTATGTGGTCTATATAATTGGACTAACCTTTATTATTTTCGCTGAAATCTACTCTTAATACATCACGGCATTCCTAAAAAATAGTCCCCACACATATTCTTGGGCTCCTACGTAGCTTAAGTTTATTTCAGCCGAGCGCCATGCCCCCTCTAACGCCCACAATCGCCCACTAACAATTTTAAAATGTGTCTGGCGCCCACACCTTTAAAGATTTCCGAGAAGTAAAAATGCAATTTTGTTGTGTATATTTATACCTATCGAAATGTAGAAGACATTTTTCAAATCGGACCATTCATTAAAAAGTTATCCGTAATCAAAATGTTATATATCCATCTCCCTCACACCCCTATTAGCTGAGTGACGGGCTGACCGGATCGGAAAACTATATCTTATAGCTCCCATAGAAAAGATATGAAAAAAAAACCTACACAAGATTATAGCTTCGGTGTTTTTTTAAATATTACCTTCAACAATTTTTTAAATATTTATGAATTTTGAATAAAATTTTAGAAAAATCGGAGCACTATATCATATAGCTGCCATAGGAACGACCGAAAAATTAATGAGAAATAAAAGGAAATTGAACAATTTTGCGATTTGCAAATTAATAAAAATGATCTGCAAGGGTATACAAGCTTCGGCTGGCCGAAGCTAGCTTCCTTTCTTGTTTAGCTTTAATTTTTGCTATTATAATTTTTATAAATCACAAGTGATTGTTTGTATGTTTTTACACTGATGCCTTTAATAATTGTTAAATTATAATTTCTTTTTTAATTGTCTGACTATTTTAGTTTGTTTCAATGCGAACTAAAAAAAAAACATCCGAAAAACGTTTAAACAAAAAGTTTAATAACATGTTGGCATTTTCTCCACCCATTACTAGCAACTGACAAATTTGTCTATTCATGATCTTGATCTTAATGTGAGCACCATCATCGCCATAATCGGCTTGCATAATGGAGATCGGCGCTGGGAGTCGGCTTTAGATACGTAATCGATCGGTAAAAGATAGCAGGGCCTGTATATGTGATTCCCAGATTCCTCGGAAACTAAATTCTCATCCCAAAACCCAGAGCCCAGAGTTCTATAAATACGATGCCATATGCGAAGCGATTAATATGCTTACTTGGGGTTTGGTAATTCCAAAATGCGATTTTCGTTGGAACGATGAAAAGGAATTTATCGGTCTGGTGACGTTGGGGGTTGGCTGCACTAAAACCACCGATCAAATTTGGGAAGTGCCAGCCGGGGACTTAACTGCAAGCCATAATTGTCCACAGGCGGCAGTAATTACAGTCGTTTTCCGACAACCCCTTTTTCTGGCTGCCGATCTTGAGTTCCAGTTTGAGCTTTACTATCTATTTATATTTATTCACTTATTTGTCTAGTGATGCTTGATATTGTTTTGTTTTCATTTGTTTTGCAAGCACAAACAAGTAAACAAGCTCGACTGTCAACGTGAGAAAATACCATGCAACATGGGTTCACAGCCCTTTAGTTTGACCAGACCCTAAGGCACCTAAGCCCCAGAAAATAATCATGTATTTAATCTTGACATACGCATTCAAACAAAGAGATTCTAGCATTTTAAAATTTATGATTGGTAGTCATAGGAACAGCTTTCTTAATATTATTCTACGGAAGTAGCCAATGTAATTTAATCTTGGGGAGTTAGAATTATATGATCTTTCAATATGGGCAATTCACTGAGGATGTCAAACTAGCCAAAAGCTTGAAACTTTATTAAAAGATATTTCTATATGATTTTGACCTCATATTAGAGTCTAGTTAGATAGATCCCTAATTAAGCTAAGCCATTTGAGTATCTTTAGATAATTTTAATAAACACTAATAACACTATGCAGCATCAAAAATTAACCTCGACGAATGCTATATTTTTGGATTCGTTACGAATTCCCAAGTTAAACTGCGTTTTCCTAAAAGTTCCCCGACGCAAGGATTCTTAGCAAAAGGACCTCAAAGTTCGAAAAATGCTGAAATTGACCAACTTTGCGGAGCTCTCAGAGGCAAATGGATGCATGGCTTGGTTCGAAGTTAAAGTTTTTTAAAAGATACACCCTTTATCTTTCAAACCCCATACATAAAATAATTTTAGGATTTTTTTTAAGGCAGAAATAAATTCCAAAAAACATAGTCAAAACACTGAAAAACATACAGCTGCGGTCAAAGTAGTAGCAGTGTTGCCGCCTTGTGTTTTTAAAAGTTTGATGTTGTAATTTTTTCTTATCCAATTAGTCTAATAGTAAAATTATAATCAATACAATATTACCAGGAAAAGATCAATTACAACAACAAACTTTTAAATACACAGGGCGGCAACACTACTACCATTTTGACCGCAGCTGTATACTTTTATGTTTTTTGACTATGTTTTCTAGAATTTGTTTCTGCCTTAAAAAAAATCTTAAAAATTTTTTAAGTATGGGGTTTAAAAGATAAGGGGCGTATCTTTTAAAAAACTTTAACATCGAATCAAACCATGCATCCATTTGCCTCTAAGAGCTCCGCAAAGTTGGCCAATTTCAGCATTTTTCGAACTTTGAGGTCCTTTTGCTAAGAATCCTTGCGTCGGGGAACTTTTTGGAAAACGCAGTTTAACTTGGAAATTCGTAACGAATCCAAAAATATAGCATCCATCGAGGTAAATTTAAAAAGCACTAAAAATGCTGCACAGTGTAATGGACAAAAAAATAATTTTTTTGTATTTTTGGCGCTTTTAAACGGTATTTATGTTACATTAGTGTAGAAAAAAACTGTCACGAGGACATTAGGGTGGCCTTTTTTAAGGTCAACTGAGCTCAGCATTTGGTTTCTGTGTCCAAAAAATTTATGCGAAAACAGAAAAATTGTATTTAATCGTCAAGGCGGTGCGCAATGCCCCTAAGGTTTCGCTAAAAATTAAGAGTACTCGTTACTCGTAGAGTAAAAGGGTATATTGTATTCGTGCAAAAGTATGTAACAGGGAGAAGAAAGCGTTTCCGAAACTATAAGTATAGATCAGCCATGTCCGTCTGTCTGTCTGTTTGTCCGTATGAACGTTGAGATCTCGGAAACTACAAAAGCTAGAAGGTTGAGATTTTCCACACATATTCTTGGGCTTCTTACGCAGCGCAAGTTTTTTTTTAGCCGAGCGCCACGACCTCTCCAACGCCCACAATCGCCCACTAACCATTTTAAAATGTGTCTGGTGCCCACACCTTTAAAGATTTCCGAGAAGTATAAATGCAATTTTTTTTGTATATTTATACCTATCGAAATGTAGATGACATTTTTCAAATCGGACCATTCATTAAAAAGTTATACGCAATCAAAATTGTTTATATATCTATCTCCCTCGCAATCCTCTTAGCTGAGGTACGATTGTTAGATAGTCGGGACACCAACCCGAGTACAGCGTTCGCACTCCCTTTAGCTGAGTGGCGGGTATTAGATAGTCGGGACACCAACCCGACTATAGCGTTCTCTCTTGTTTTACAGTTCATTTTTAGCGAAACTTTAGGGCCATTGCGCACCGCCTAAACGATGAAATAAAATTTTTTTGTTTTCGCATAAATTTATTGGATACAGAAACCTACCATTTAAGATGCTGAGCTCAGTTGACCTTAAAAAGGTTCACCCTAATGTACATACATACGTCAGTTAAATTTTAAATGCACACGATATGTTCGTTTGCTAGTGGGATCTAAGTACCTACACTTTTGTTGGCGGGTGACGGTGCATAGCCATATAACATTCCTATTAAACAACTGGCAGCGCACCAATAAATAGTATTTACCAAACAATTAGCCAGCGTTTTTTGCATTGAGTCGATTGGCTGAAACTTTGATACGAATTCCCATTTGCATTCGAGTGTTTGGACCCTCGCTTCGAGGTAATTGGAACAAAGAAAAACGCGTCGAAAGCTGATTACAAAACAGGCGGAAAGCCTTGGCAACATCTTGCTCCACAACTGATCGAATCGGTGGGCGGTACCTACAGGTCTGGGGCTTCCCATAGTGAGCAATTTAGCCCTGAGCGAGGGCTTTCAGCCCTCAGCACACAAATTTCCCCGATTTCCGCAAGCCGGCCCGACACTCAGGAATAAAACTCGATTTTGTCTGGGTTTTCGACTGGACTTGAGATTGGGTTTTCCAATACATCTCATAAGCGTTGCGATACACCCAAAGAAACGTTTTTCACGAATTCAAGTGGATTCTCTTTATTTAAAATACGCTATACGTACATATCTTTCAAAAATCGTAAACACATTTTATAAGCTTTAACGTAATGTTTAAACTTTTTACTAAGAAGTATCACTTGTTATCATTATAAAACTAACCATGAGCACAAAATAGGTAAAATAATAACTGATTATTTATTAAAAGCAAAAACAAATTAATTTCACATTTTAATTTCAAGTTAAAAATTTACGATCATAAAAATCATTTTTGTACTAGCAGCTAAAATCATATTCTTATACATATTACATTAAAGGCTTTTGGAAAAGTGAATATTCCATAAAAGGTACGAATTTCATATGTTGACAAAAATAGTTTTCAACCTTATGAAGAATATTACTTAAGACATTTCCTAGCATTCCCTTTATTTAATTCACATTAGATTTCCTTATTTATTTTGAGTGTTTCCACTCCGAAGTGGCAGCTGCCAACAAGTTCAATAAACTTGTTTGTATGCTGAGCTCGGCTCGGTTCGTGTTGTGAGCCGTAATACTCGTAGACAAGTTCTGCGACTGCGACTACTACTAAATGCATTCCAGATACAATGCCAAGTTAGTTTTTTAGTCGGCCAAGACTTTTCTTTTCGGCGGGACGCGAAATGAGTGCCCATGGTTGTGGATGTGAATTTGACCCACTGGGTTTGAGTGCAGGGAGTATGTAAGATCGCCCGATGTTTTCGTTATGTTACTTGCCTTTGTTTTTCCCGCCGCGATTGTCTGCCATGTTTTAATTTTCCACCTGCCGATTGCAGGTGGAAAACAATTAAACAATTATTGCTCTTGTCGCGAAATGTTGCTGCTGTGCAATCGCCAATGTGGCTGCTTGCAGCTGCCACAATTCTTGGCACGCAACATACAAAAATAGAAAATATATAAAACCAAAACAATGGCTAAGTTATGAAAATCCAACGAGAGTGGCTAGAGCATCGAGTTCATCTGAGGAATTGTGTCAAGAGGTTGCCCCCGCTGTGTGGGACTTGGTCAACAAAACCGGCACAAAAAATAATAAAAACGAGTGAAAACGAAACAAAAATAATGACTGACATTGCTAATTAATTTACTGACTGGGGGTGTAAAACTGATAACGTTATAGACCTAGATGGAGTCCTCGCCCTTGCTCAAGATAAGGAAAGACCCCCGTCTGGTAATCATAGAACAATCACACAGAGCCAGACAAATATTAGCAAATCAATTAGCCGAATGCCCATTACTGGATCACTTGTTTTGGGTTTCCAATGCAATTTTTTACAAATAACAATGTTGTAAAAGTTATTCAATAAAAATCGAGCAGAGTTGTTAATAATGGCATCCAACCTAATTGCGCCCACTGCTATATAATTGATTATCTGACCACGAATATAAATGGAATGTTTTTGTTCTTCTTGAGCGCTTCGTGATAATTGCAGAATTTATAATGAAATCATAATAGTCGGGAATTAGCAATGAGTAACTTAAAAGCCAATAAAAGCTATCTGAAAAAAACCGTAGATAAGTGCCCTTCTACGAAAAGCTGTATACCCAGCTCCTATTTAGTTTCATTTCGTGGAACGTATTATTTATCAGCTTAGTTAAGAAATTAATTAATTCATTTTTAAATAATTTCGGTTGTTTTTTTTTAATTTGGATATTTAGGATAAGGGTAACTCCACGTGAAACGTGACAGGCCAATTTGGGTCAAATCAAGTTTTAAATTGAGACTCGTTTGAGATATTTAAATATTTGGTATGCAACTTTGTGGGACATCTTAATATCTTTTAGAAAAATATTTTTAAAAATGTTTAATTTTTAAATCAAGTATTTTTTAAGGGAATTTTAAATTAAAACAAGAGAGAACGCTATAGTCGGGTTCGTGTCCCGACTATCTAATACCCGTTACTCAGGAAGTGCAAGAGAGATGGATATATAACATTTTTTTATTTCGTATAACTTTTTAATGAATGGTCCGATTTAAAAAATGTCTTCTACTTTTGATAGGTATAAATATACACAACAAAATTGCATTTATACTTCTCGGAAATCTTTAAAGGTGTGGCCGCCAGACAAATTTTAAAATCGTTAATGGGCGATTGTGGGCGTTAGAGGGGGCGAGATCTCCGAGATCTCAGCGTTCATACAGACGGACAGACAGAAGGACAGACGGACAGACGGAGAGACGGAGAGACGGAGAGACGGACAGACGGACAGACGGACATGGCTAGATCAACTCGGTTAGTGATCCTGATCAAGAATATATATAGTTTATAGTTTATTATAGTTTCCTATATCTCAGCGTTCATACAGACAGACAGACAGACGGACATGACTAGATGGAGTCAGCTAGTGATCCTGATCCAGAATATATACACTATATAGAACACTTCCTTCTACCTGTTAAATACTTTCTTACCCTCTTACTCTACGAGTAACCTTTAATAAACAAAAATTCTGGGGCGCACACAATTTTAAGGCTAGAATAAACTTTTAAAATGAAACGCATTTATTTAGTCAATCCTATCGAATTCGTTCACGGAGTAACGGGTATCAGATAGTCGAGGCACTCACTCAATATACTCTTTAGTCTCAACCACATGCCAATAGGGGATCGTTGTCGAATCGTTTACCAACATTCTATTTTTATTGTGATGAATGCAGGGCTGTCAGTTGTTTTCTCCTCTGCACCTTAATCTTATCTTTGAGAGAATTCTCCATTAACCTGGAAAAGTGTCATGGGCGCGGAGATATGCATCTCAAGAACCCGACGAGCAATCGATTTATTGGCTGCTTTTGATTTGTCTTTCCAGCAGCAACTGGCAACGGAAGCAATTTTCTGGAGGTCTCACTACGGTATTTTGACGAGCAGCTTCTGCTGGATATTCTTCCACGTGCCACGTGTCCTGGCGAGAATGAAGGATCTCCGATGGACGAGTTTGCCGACCTGTTTACGGGTAAGTTGAGTTCCGGCTCGTGCAGAGATAACCGTAATCCAAGGGTGACCCGAATACGCGGAATGTGTGCACACTGTAAATAAATTCCGCGCTAAACTTGAACTTGTCCGTGGACGATGTCCGTTGTCCGGTATCTGCACACTCCGGTGCCTTGGCCCAATGTCTTTTCCTGCTCTAGCTCTATCAGGGGTCGCGATAACGAGCAATTCAATAGCCAATAAATCAGGCAAGCCACATAGTCTGTTTATAGAATCGTCATTATATACAGTACGCACTGGAGTTATGGACAAACGGACACGAGACAGAGCACTTGGGGAACGCTTTCTTATCGCTAGCAATAGCAAACTTGAGCACTTACTGCTCAGATGTTGATATCTCCGGCGAACGGGTCTAGATTTCAATAGGAACCGAGATAAGATTTGACCGCTTTTACGGTGTCTCAAGCCGAACACAAAGCAGTTTTTTCGGGTCTAAATTTAGGAAATGACTGAGGTCGATCGCGTATCCGTATCTAATCCACTGCTTGTTGTCAGGTGTATTAGATTGCATCTGTGAAGTGTGCGGAAGCCGCTCTTGAGTGGATGTTTCTATGCGCATAATATGGCTTCTTGGGTCTATAAAATGCGTAGCTTTGAAATTGACACGCGTTTATTTACTGCTATAAAGCAGTATATGCTTTTTTATACCAAATGCAATGCTTTAATGCAATGTTGTAATTTGGGATTTATTTATAAAACCAGATTTGTAGGCATTAGGTCCCTTGATTCTCTGGTAAACCGTCCACCAAAAACCGAATTTTACTACGTCAAAACTAATACAAACAAGAGAGAACGCTACACTCAGAAAAATAAACAGCCCGAAATCGCCATTAAATCAAGAAATTCGCAATAGATTTCCGCCGATGGCGATTTACAGTACTTTTATACCCTTGCAGAGGGTATTATGATTTCAGTCAGAAGTTTGCAACGCAGTGAAGGAGACGTTTGCGACCCTATAACTCAAACTAGCCTCTCAGCTTTAAAGCTATCGGGCTAAAACATTCCCAAAAGTCTTATATGTGTCTATTGCAGGTAGTATATAAGTCGGAACGAGCCGGATCGGACAACTATATCATATAGCTCCCATAGGAATAATCGGGGAACAAAATTTTAAAAAAATTATTTCTCGGGTGTTTTTGAACCTATAACCTCCTACTTTTGGAAATGCCATTTTTTATCTAATTCTGAAATTCGAATAAATTTTTTCCAAAATCGGACGACTATATCATATAGCTACCATGGGAACAATCGGAATATTAATGGGAATATAATAGGAAATAAATTATTGCTACTTTGGTTTTTATCGTATTCTCTTCTACTCTGGGATATGAATTTTTTTTAATGTTTTCGAATTGCAATTTTAATTTTATCAATATCGAACAATAGGAACGATCGGAAAATTAGTGATTAATAGGAATTATCTACAAGGCTATGTTCCTTTCTTGTTTATGACCTCTGTTCATTATGGACGCGTCGCGTTTGCATCCATTTACCGTTTAACGCCCCCAAATCCCATACAAAACTTGTTGGCGTGGGGCGAGAAGGGGAGGGTGGAATATTGTCGCGTCACAGGGCTAGAAAGTGAAATTTGTGGTATTTTGTGGTACATTTTTCTGGACCCGAAACTGACAAGAGACTTATAAGAAGCGGGAAATATTAAAACCATTTATTGTTGATATTTACACGCAAATTTACAAATTTTTCTTGATTTAAGAACATTGTGTCTAAAATTAAGAACAATCGGTATTGGCTCATTCCTATGAACAAACGTTCTTCATTTGAGAACATTTTTCAAATTTTATACTGTTTATCTGATAGTATCTGATAGTCGAGTCACTCGACTATAGCGTTCTCTTTTGTTTGTTATTTTATTCATGGTAAATGGTCATATTTTTTGTATCCTAAATCTCTAGTGGAACAGCTCCGCCAGGGATGGGTGGTGCTGCACGTCTTTGCCGCGGTTTACTTTTTCATCCTGCTCGCCATTATCTGCAACGACTACTTCTTGCCGACGGTGGAATGCATCTGCGAGGACTTGCACCTATCAAAGGATGTGGCGGCGGCCACTTTCATGGCCACAGCCACCTCCATGCCCGAGTTCTTTACCAACACGATCAGTACGTTGATCCTGGAGTCGGATATGGGCCTGGGGACGATCATCGGCTCATTAATGTTCAATACACTGGGCGTGGCCGGATTGGCCGCACTGGCCATCGATAAGGTAAGGACATGGGGTTTTAATGCTACGACCCATACCGACCTAAAAATTAACATATTCAGAAATAAACGTACAGCTAAAATTATTTAATGACATTCCATCGGTTAAATACTAGGGGAGTGTAGGGTAATGTGACGAACTCGTCGAATCTCACATATGACGTCACGATAAAAATTCGAAATAAATGTAGTCGTCTCCTCCTATCGTGTCGACAATGCTTATACCCTTGCAGAGGGTATTCTAATTTCAGTCAGATGTTTGCAACGCACACACAAAAAAATTTGCTTGGTAAAATTGACCAACAAAGATAGTTACGTAACTATTAAAATTGTGTATTTTGTTTTTGCTTTGACTATTTACTTAGTAGAATTGACAATTTTGCTGGTTGGGGCCTGTTTGACAATTATTACAGTTGATTTTACCAAGTTTTTTTTTTGTGTGTATGATATATATTAATGATTTAATCCTAAGATACACATTACGTTTCTTATAATTGATTGATTGACAGCCAGTGCAGCTTGACTGGTGGCCAATAGCCCGCGACTGCTTCATCTACATCTTCAACACGATTATCCTGCTGGTTTTGGCCTGGGGCGGCAGTATTAGCTTCACGGAGTCCTGCATCATGATGGGATTCCTAGTTCTCTATTACCTAATCACGTTCAACAACAACAAGTTTATGCCAGCCATCCGGGTATTTATTGAGGATCGGATGAATTGCTGTTTCTCCACACGATATGGTGAGCATTCCATAAGAAATAATACTTCAGCTTCTTACAGTTTGTGAATGTAATTTGGAATGTGACTTGGACTCGAGTTTTTCATTCAAATTTTAAAATGTACGGAATTGATGGAATATAGATGGAATAGAATCCATTTTACACCTTAAGGCCTCTACAGTTCAGATGGGTTGTGACATGAAATCACATACAAATTTCAAAATCTGAATCTATTCCATGATTCCATTTCATTATACCCGTTACTCGTAGAGTAATTATACCCGTTACTCGTAGAGTAAAAGGGTATACTAGATTCGTGCAAAAGTATGTAACAGCTAGAAGGAAGCGTTTCCGACCCCATAAAGTATATATATTCTTGATCAGGGTCACTAGCCGAGTCGATCTAGCCATGTCCGTCTGTCCGTTTGTCCGTCTGTCTGTCCGTCTGTCTGTCTGTATGAACGCTGAGATCTCAGAAGCTACAAAAGCTAGAAGGTTGAGATTTCCCACACATATTCTTTGGCCTCCTACGCAGCGCAAGTTTATTTTAGCCGAGCGCCACGCCCCCTCTAACGCCCACAATCGCCCACTAACGATTTTAAAATGGGTCCTGCGCCCACATCTTTAAAGATTTCCGAAAAGTATAAATGCAATTTTGTTGTGTATATTTATACCTATCGAAATGTAGAAGACATTTTTCAAATCGGACCATTCATTAAAAAGTTATACGATTTATAAATTGTCAACATATATCTATCTCCCTCGCACTCCCTTTAGCTGAGTTACGATTATTAGTCGGGACACCAACCCGACACAGCGTTCGCACTCCCTTTAGCGGAGTGACGGGTATTAGATAGTCGGGACACCAACCCGACTATAGCGTTCTCTCTTGTTTTTAATTTCGAGTTTACACTTAAAATGGAATTTTGTTAATACTCTAAGAAAAGCCTTATATGTGTAACATAGATTAAAAAAATTTTAAATAGAAGGCTTCTATTAATAAAAGCCCTTGTAAAATGTAACATTTGCTCGACAGTAACAGAACTTCGATCTGTTAATATCATTTTATTTGATATCATTTTATATGTGTGTGAGTACAAATTCCATACGAGGTTATATGAAATGAATGGTATTTATTTGGATAATGTTTGGAGCTCTAAAAAAAACCTTGTTTACAAAAGTAAAAGCATCTAGTGATGCTGATCAAGACAGAAAAAATATGTATATATATTATAGCAACCATCATTGTGCGTCGATTCAATTTATGTTACTTAAATTTATATAATTTAGACCTAACGGAGCCCCCAGAGAACAGTGCCAAGGCCCAGCTGCCGCTCAAGAAGGATCCACTCTCGGGCGATGGCCTCTTTGTGGTCAATCTTCCCGAAAACACCTCGTCCATGTCCTCTACCGCCAATCTCACGCACTCAAAGCACTGTAAGCTTGGTTTCACTTATTATTTTTTAATCATTTTTGATCTATAAAATACTTAATAATTTCTAGGGAACGACGAGGATTACGAGGAAGACGGTATGCCTGAAAGTATATACACTTACCCGCGGGACGCCTCCGGATGGATGCAGTTCTGGTGGATCTTCGTCTTCCCCATTAGGTTTACGCTATCCTTGCTGATCCCCCACCCGATGAAGTACCGCCGCCTGTATCCATTATCTTTTATCATGTGCATCCTGTGTATTGGCGGTAACGCCTATCTCATTGTCTGGATGCTGACTGCCTTCGGTGTGGCCATCCATGTGCCCACCATTGTGATGGGTCTGACCTTCCTGGCAGCTGGGTCCACCATGCCGGAAGCCGTGTCCAGCCTTATATCGCTAAGAAATGGTAAGTTGTATTTTGATTACCATATTCAAGGTCAACATCAAGATTTCTTTTCATTTTGGAAGTTACTCAGCAAAAAATGTAATGTAATTTACCCATTACATAACCATAAAAAACAGTTAACTACTGTTGAATATAGTAACGTGCATTGTACATGTACACCCAAAAAAAAATGATCATAGAAACTAAACTATTTGTACATTAAAAGTAAACTATTGAGTGTCAAAAATTTCTCAATACTCTGAGTATTAACCTAATGACTTCGAAAGTGTTAAAATGATACTTTTGGAAAATGTCAAGATTAAACTAACGAGTATACAGTTTATACTCACCCAGTGTACTGAAAATTGGGCTGGTAGTTTATTTTGTATACTATTTAGTGTAAATGGTACGCTATGTGGTCTCAGTTTTATACTATTTTGTGTACATATTATACTAATTTCGGGTGCTGTAGTATACGTATTAAACTATTTATCTAGATTGTTAGTGTACATTTGAAACTATTTCGTATAATACCTATACGATTTCCCCGCTACCTGTAGTATACAATTTATACTATTTAGTTTTTTGTGGTATACAATTTAATCCCATTAAATTCCCAATAAAATCTCGTTGTATAATGTTTTTCTTTTATTATTATTTAATATATTATTTTATTATTATTTGATAAATATTCTTAAATTAAAATAATTTTAATCTTACATAGGTTATGGTATTCTTATTATAACATTTAACAGGGGGACCTTGAAAAACACTTATATTATAAATTTTTAAAGAATTTTCTTTTGCACCAACTTTATAGGCTTGATAATGTTCATCAAAACCCAAAATATCAAATTGATCACTTAAAATAAATAATTCTTCGTTATTATTAATTAAAATGTATCTTATTTTATGCAACTTCATTTTGCTTTGTTGTTAAGCAAAAATCATTTTTATATATTTTATATATTTATATTATATATTTTGCGCAATACAAACATATACGTTTGTAACTCCTTTTCGTGCGCAAAATACTTGTTTCCATGAAAATACATACATTTACGCACAATGCTTTTAAGTGTAGATAAACACAGCGCACTTTTTCCATTTCAACCCCTGTTTCCATGGAAACAAGTATTTTGCGCAACACATACATATGTACATATATGTTTGGAACTCCTTCGCGTGCGCAAAGCACTTGTTTTCATGGAAGCAAGGGGTGGGTTTTTTAGACAACAAATGAAAATGAAATATTGCACTTTTTATTTTAAAATAAATATTTTACTTACATCTTGACTCGGCACGAATTTCACAGGAATGCAGGACCAAACTCACACAGATGAATCATCATAATAATCACAAACGCGTCAAAAAACGCAAAATCTGGTATCACTTTTTGTGTTCCCATACTCGCTTTTGTCCTGGTTTTAAACCAAGGTATAAGTACAAATAAACGCTATCATCCTAGTTTCACACCATAAAAAATAATTTTTCGGTCAGTATAAAATGTATGCTACAGATTGTCACTCTTATAATAATTAGTGTAACCTTGAAACTATAAAGTGTAGGCATGAAACTATTTTGTAGTACTTTGAAACTACATTTTCTTTATACTACAAAAAGTTTTTTTTGAAACTACAAGTGTAAATAATAAACTAAGTAGTCGAATATAATTAGTTTACAAATTACACTAAAGGTTTACGACTTATACTCTTTGGTGTAGCACTTACACTACAAAATTTACAGTTTAAACTAATTAGTGTTAATTTAATACTTACACTTTCATACTACCATTAGTATACTTTTAATACAACGCTCATTAAATGTAAACTATTGGTTTTTTTTTTGGGTGTATACTGTACTGTGTGATTTATTTTTGTGTAATACATATTTTACAAATTTCAGGTGAAAATGGCATTGGCGTTTCGAATTCGTTGGGCGCCAATTCGCTGGCTATATTGTTATCGCTGGGAGTCCCATGGTTTGTCAAGAACTGTATAAACTACGGCACCGGGGAGCCCCAGCAAGTGGGCACTCAAGGCATCGAGTACAACATCCTAATCCTAATAATATCCACGGTGGCGCTTTTCGTTATCCTCAGCTTTAGTGGCTATCGTCTTACCAAACGTGTAGGCGTGGCCCTCTTTACGGTTTATGGAGTGTTTATCGTTCTGCAGATCCTCATCGAAATGAACGTCTTCTTCCCCAGAGATTGCAGTAGCTAGTAATGGACCTGGATCTGGAAACCTAGAAATGGGAAAAACCGACACTTGCACAATCCTTTTGGTGCTGGCACCAGAAGGTTAATACCCCGGCAACCCGCTTACAGGGTCTGAATTCGTTTTGAACTCTTTTTTGGTTATTACTATTTCTGGTAAAGTTTAAATTATTTAAATGATAAGTACAACAACGACTTCCTTTTGTAATTATCATTTTAATATTCAACCGCAAATCGGAAACAGTACATACCAAATATTTTTTTTACACTAGTTTACGCTTGGTTATTGCCTAAGACTGTCATTAGGTTTAGACAACGAAGCTTTCAGCAGCGATTTCTATTTATTTCGTGTTATACATATTGTAAATATGACTCTTTGTATATCCCATAGCCTGTAGTACCATTCACAAATGTTTAAACCGTTACCAAAGCCCAAAACGAGATACTAGCAGTTAAGAGGATAAGCACACGCATATCAACATATAAGAGCCCACGATATTTACCCGTTCTGTCCCGGGCCCAAAAATTCTAAGAAAAGTTCGTAAGGCCACTCACAATAACCTCTAATTGATATTCTGCACATTCATGTATGCTTAACGCTGTAGGAACGAATTGTTAACGTTATCTAATACCCTCGATACAATTGTTATTAATTTATAAATACACCCTAAGATTAATGTGACGAATTCCTTGCCTTTGATTTCGAATTATCTAACACTCAAGTGGCTAGATTGACGTTCTTTTGTATAAATGGTTGGATCCTGAAAAAAAAGCAAGTTATTTGGTGGAGTGGGTGGCCCACAGGGCGTTTACATGTGTGGTTAAACACCTAAAATCCCTCCGGGCTACACACAAAAAAAAGCAAGTCACCGTAAAATGGATAAGTCCAGGTAATTTTCAGGTATTTCATACTCATATCCATACTACGTGAAATATTCATAAAATGTACATTAAATAATATCATTTTTCCGAATTCTCTCTCTCGGAGATTCTCCAACTTCGAAAAAGAGCGCAGGAATCAATATGGCGAGCAAAATGACATGAGTGGAAGCCACAAGATTATCTTTCGAATACGTCAATCGTATAATCCATTGTTATTTTATTGCAATCTTTTATGATAAAGCCTCTAAGGGCCGTTTTCTCGTCCGTTTGTTAAATTTAAAGTAGGGTTAAAACCTTGAAATCGTATGGGAAATCACAGTTTCAACCCTACTTTAAATTTAACAGGCGGACGAGAAATCGGCCATAAGTAAATGTTTTTTACATTGGGTAAAAGAATTAAGTAAGTGATGTACGAAGTCGAAATTATTTCGTACTCGTTTCAAAGAAAATACACGATGTATTGTACAGGCCCGAATATACACGTCATTTTCTCGTGCCTTTTATTTTTATTAGAATAACTCACATTTCGATTCGGACATGTGAAAAACACATTGAATAGTAAACTGTATCAATCAGTTTCAAGTATTATACATTTGTATAGTACTTTGTGTGTTAATTTTTGAACCCTGGTCTTTAGGTTCAGTTTCATTATCTTTTCAGAGGGATTTACAAATCATTCTTCAAAGTTACATCACAAATAATATCATTAAATGAGATCAAATACACCGTACACACATCAAATAAATTTTAATCAAAACCTATTTGAGGAATAATGCCTATGCTAATTAATTGGTGTGTACCTGGATGTAAACATAATGTCTTAAATATATATTCAGATATATATGGTCGGCGACTTTAATGCTCTACCCGACAAAACATAATTAATAGTTGTTTTAAGGGCTTTTGGTTTTTTGTTTGCACACAATGTGTTGGCAAGTGTCTTGAAGCTTCTCAGCGAATCTTTTAAATAAATACTTAGAATTAGTTGCTTGGCTTTTAGACCCATTTTTCTTTACACAAATAATCATACTACATTTGGTATGCTAACAAATGCACACACAACATACATATATAGATATCAAGGAAGTTTTAGAAACTTGCCATGGGCTGCTTTGAATGAGTGCGCGGCCTTGACTCCTTCTTCCTTCTCATGTTCCATAAACAAATCAGTCTGAGCAATTACAATTCAAATGTGCCTGCGAATGCGAACTTGCAGCTTTTAGCTGCCGCTGCCTCTGCCTCTGCCTCCTAACAACCTGTCCAACCAATTGGCACAAATCTCAATAGGTGTGCTCTGCAAATGGTAACTAAAGGCGGCGTGTGGACATAGATCTTGTCGCTAGTCTCGATGACCATTATTAGGTGCAGCAATGATGTCCGTTCTTAACGTAGTAATTGTGCATCGCCACTGTGCCGTTCTTGCTGTAGCTTCCGCTACCATTGCTGCCATTGTACTGCATGTTGGACGTGGAGCTGCTAGTTTCGGAGCCCCATCCTGGTTTGGGTGCGTCGTCGGTGCTGGTGGAGGCGTCGAAAGCCTTGATGGGATTCTGGATGATCTTGCACGTAAACTGGCGATGGGGACCTGGCTCCTGCTAACAATATAAAAGCATGGGGTTTACTACAACTCAAGACTACCAATGCAACCTACTTTTGGCTGGATGGGGAAGCAGCACCACAGGATGAAGGCTATAAACGCCACCAGGGTCCCCACTAGCAATATAAAGTCCTCGATGGTCTGTACAAGGTGGAAAGTCAATGCGTGGTGGTGATCGGCGGCACTCAGTCCACTTACCGGCTCCTCGCCCAGCAGCACATGATTTATCAGATAGACAAAGTCATCGAAGGGTGTCATCGTGACTTTCCAGGTGCTCTTTATTGCACTTTGTTGTGCGTTTGGCAACTGCAACTGCAACAGCTGCTAATTACGAACGGCGATGCAAGCCGCACAACAGCATGGCCGTCCGGAGAATTATACTAAAATTATCATGGCATGGCCATCGGTATTCTCTGGAATAATTTCACTCGATTTTTGCACGGCTTTTCGGCTATGTGGCCATGCAAAGCCACCAATATTGACGGCCTAACACGAAATACTTTTTAGATATGTAGTATTTTTTTAATAATAAACTAAAAGTCTCTCCTCACAGTCTGTTCAGACAGGGGGTTTTTCTTTAAGAGATACTAATTTCAGCTAAAGCGACCTTTTCCGCCATAAGTATATTTATAGTTCTCGTAAGCTTAATAATAATTTTAGACAGCAACTAGCAAAACAAAAAAATTTACATGATTCAGGTTTCTCGAGGCTATTGAATCTTTGATAACCCGACTTTAGCGAAAAGTAGTGGCAACTCTATAACATTTTATAGTCTAGTCACACTATGTGGGGTAACCTATCGAGTGAGCCAGTAACCCGTTTACTCCAAAAATGTGTTTCCATTGGGTTAACTTCAAATATCGAGTAATGACATCTAGTGTTTGTTGTTTGTGTTCTTTATTTTATAAGGATGGACCTTCAACGATAGGAAATAAATACAAAATATACCCAAAAATACAAAAAAATACTCCAAAATACCAAATTCGCCCACTAGATGTGTGTTGCCTATACACAGCCTATGTAAAAACAGGGTTATGTCAATAACCCTAACTCCACCCTAGTGTAAATAGGCTATTAGTATCACCAAAACGTATTATTTACTTTAAAATTAATGGGGTCTTCCCACAGAGCTCCATCCGTAAGGTTTTGCCGTTTCGAAAAATTCCCAGTTAGTTAAAAATGGTTAACATTTACAAGAAAAGTGAAATCTTATCTATAAGCAGATGCCAATTTTAGCCTTAACGGAGGTCCTGCTTCTTTATATTTCAGCCTTTTGCAGTCATTTTCCATCAAATCAATTTTTAAGATTGATGCAAGCCACTTTAATGTTTTAAAAAAAAAAATTTTTTTCTTTGTATATAGTTTATTGCTGGACAAAAGTCTTTTTTAGAAAAAACGTGCAAAAAGTTACAAAGATGATTAGTTTTGTGATATTAAGGATACATTTGGTGATAACTTTGCGTTTTTACTTTTGTGCAACTTTGTGTCATTATAAATACCTTCGCTTTCCTTTCCCTTCCCATTATTAAAAATAACTAACTAATATGTAGCTCCACAAAATAAGCAATGAAAGCTTACAAATATATCCCACTAAGTTAAGCATACAATAAAGTCAATTGAACAGCTGGCTTTCTTCGTTTATCAACAAACTTGAGTAGCGGTATTTGGCTTTAGAGTATGTACATACAATAAAAAAAAATATATATATTTTGTTTTATATTTTTAAAATAATTTTTTAAAAAAGTTGATTTTATGCCAAAAAATGTACTTATTTCCCATAGTGCATTGGTTAGCTCGTACTTTTCGTCGTGGTGAGTATTAGGCCAAACTCTAAAAAATTTGCATTTCCTCTTCCTTTGTTCATTCTCTATGTGAGCACGATTTCTCTTAAAATCGCTGTTGCATTTTTAAGTGGCTGTGTGCAGAGGGTATAAGGCATACATTTATGGGTATTTTCCTAGACCGTTATTCCTGAAACATACATACGTGGTGGTATGTATGCACACTTTGGTCACACTGCATCAAACAGCTGACGGTATAAAAATAAAAGCGATTTCTTAATTTTTATTTGCTTATTGATTTTGGGAAGTTTACGCACTTCATCCTGAAATGGGCAAGCGACGCAGCCGGGAGCGTGATCAGGAACTACAATCTTCCGGTGAGGATGGGGCCACCAAAATGAGCGAACGCAACTCGGCCAAGCCAAAGAAAGCCAAGCAAAAGGGGGAACGCCATTCCTCCATTTCCTCAAATTACTCGCCAGAAAGCAAAAAATCCAATCGTAGCAGCCCCTCGCCGGATAGAAAGAAGCAGATGCCGGGCAGAAAACCGTGGGAATCTCCGGAAGCGCAGCAGATGCGCTCTAAATTGCCTACGAAACTCTCGGAGGAGGTACAAAAGCAGCGATCTAAGTGGGATAGTCCGGAACGCAGCGGCTCCCATCGCAACAGCACAAGGCAGCGCCGGCACAGTCGCAGTCGCTCCAGGGATCGTGGGGAGCGGGATAGAGAACGGGAGCGGGACAGAGATCGCGATCGGAAACGGGAGAGGGAGAATCACTTGCAGCGCAGCGGAAGGGATATGGAGCGCAGCAAGGAGCGACGTCAGCGATCCCCAGGGCAGCGGCAGCGATCCCGGAGCAAGGATCGCCAGCGGAGGTCCCCGGATAGGAGACTTGTTCGGTAGGTCACACACGATAAATATTCAGTTTGATGCTACTGTTATTGCTGAGACCTTTGCTCGTACTTAGATTAGTGTTGGGTAAAAACTGCTCATTTGGGTGAACGTGTTCACTTGTTCTTTTTTTCTCAATGAGTCAACTCACTCAGTTTGCTCACTTGTTTGTTTTGATCAGTTGTTCACTTGCTCAGTTGTTCATTGTCTGTAAAACCGTATGCAAAATGCATCCTAAAAGTAAAAAAAAATACTTTTTGTGCCAAAAACAGCAAAAGAGCAACTGAGCAAGTAAAAAAGATCAAATAAGAGAGCCAAACTGAACAAGGCACCAAAAAAGAGCAAGTAAGAGAGCCAAACTGAACAAGTGAACAAAAGGAGCAAGAGGGCAAAAATGAACAGATGAACAATAAAGAACAAGTTCCAAGGAACATGTTCACTCACTCAGTTTAGTGAGCAACTCTTTTTTGTTCACCCACTCATGAGCAACCCAACACTAACTTAGATGTGTTTAGTTAAGTTTAATAATAATTATTATCAAAATTTGCTCTCATTTTCAGCCGCAGTAAAAGTCCCCGCGATCGATCCCACCGCGAAGGGCGCGACTTTGGCCAAGGACGCCAGCGAAACCAGCGTCGTGACAATCGTAACAGGAATGAGGACGAGCAGTACCAGTGGGGCAAGCAAGGTGACGATAATGCGCCGCCTGAGGACGAGGAGCCAGTGGACAAGGAGAAACCCAACTTCGGTCTAAGTGGCGCCCTCACCGAAGACACCAACAAGGTGAATGGCGTAGTGGTTAAATACTCAGAGCCTCCAGAGGCCCGCAAACCGAAGCGCCGCTGGAGGCTGTACCCGTTCAAGGGCGAAACGGCGTTGCCCACGCTGCACATTCATCGGCAGAGCTGCTTCCTGGTTGGGCGAGATCGCAAAGTAGTTGACCTGGCGGTGGATCATCCCAGTTGTTCCAAACAGCATGCCGCTCTGCAGTACCGACTGGTGCCCTTTGAGCGGGACGATGGTAGTCATGGGAAACGCGTGCGGTTGTACCTTATCGATCTGGAGTCAGCCAACGGCACGTTTCTGAACAACAAAAAGATCGATGGCAGAAAGTACTACGAGCTAATGGAGAAGGACGTCATCAAGTTCGGCTTCAGTTCGCGCGAGTATGTGCTTCTACACGAGAACAGCAAGGAAGACCAGGAGGACGACGATGTACATATCAAGGATGAGCCGCAAGATGCTCCTGCTAAAGTGGCCAATCCTTAGATTGCATACGTGTTCCTGCTTTCGATTGATTGGTTAATTTTGTTAAGCTAACTTCAGACTTTTAATGTATTTCGTTTTGATGTCCAAATCTTGGGCGAGAGATATGTATGTAAAAACTCTTACGGAACACGGTTTTGCGTGTTCACTGCCAACGAAAAAATAAATTTTAACTCGAATTCATTTTGTCTTGTTGAAATACCATAAGGTCAGGCGAAAAATGCTGACACCGTGTATTCTCTGGCTTGCTAGATCTACAGAGTTCAAGTTTTCATTTCTTCGCTAACATCATGAGGTGGCAGTTGACGATCTTGTGGCTCTTCGTTTTGGTGTCTTCCGCACCTGTGATAAGGTTGCGCCGTCAAATAGTGACCCCTAAGCACTTCATGGAACCCCTTTGGCCGCCCATCTTACAGGAAAAGGTAATAATAACCCCCCAGAAGCTGAGAGAGGTGGCTGACCTGAGGGCCAAGATTCAAAAGGCCGTCGATGAAGACACATACGTGGTGGCCGCTTCGCCTTCCCAGGTAAGTAAACCAAGTCTTTTAGGTTCAACTGTATACAATTAAACAAAAACACCTCGTATAAAAAGTGACGATTGCACCCTCAATATACAAAAGTTCTGATATCAAATTTTTTGACGAAAAATTATTATACTTTGTAAAATATTCTCTTTCGGCAATATACTCTTTTGCAATATTACTTGTATGAGATGCTGTAATAACCTTTTAATCAATTCAATGACGAACTTCTTTCTATGCTGCATAGTTTTTGGGCATTAAAGTAAGCATGAAAAGTCAATCATACTAAATTTTTGTCGCTTGATCATACCCGAAATAATCATACGCGAAATATTGGTTGTTGCAGCGCAGCCACATGGACGTTCTTCCCCGGCTCCATGATCTTGACGTTTGCCTCTCGTGCGCCATTCGTCCATTAAGGCGACCTCCTGGTAGCATTTGAGCGCAGGTGCAAAATCTGCTTTGACCATAGATGGCCATTTCATATACAAATGACACAAATGATCACGACTATATCTTATAGCTCCCATTGGAAGGATCGGAAAAAAAAGTTAAAAAAATTCTAGCTTCGGTGTTTTTTCAAATATTACCTTCTACTCTTGGGAATATTGTTTTTTATTTATTTCTGAATTTCGAATTAAATATTTAAAAAATCGGATCACTATATCATATAGCTGCCATAGGAACGGCCAAAAAAAATTATATCTTTGTGGATTTTTTATTACATTTATTCTACTCTGGGACTTGACTATTTTTAAATATTTCCGAATTTCGATTTTAATTTTAAAAAGATCGAACTACTATATTGTATAGCTGCCATAGAAACGATCGAAAAATTAATGTGAAATAATAGGAAATTTAACATTTTGGCGATTTATAAATTAATAGAATGATCTGCAAGGGTATATAAGCTTCGGCTTGCCGAAGCTAGCTTCCTTTCTTGTTTTCATATGCAGAAAAGAGGCAACCAGTCTTAACCTATCTTCTTAACAAATAAGCGTTGTTTTAGAAACAAATGAGAATTGTTTTAATTACATATTTTATATCAAAAAATTAAACAATCGAAATTAATTTTAATGTTCTTATTAATAAAACTCACATAAATCATTTCAAAGTATTAATTGAAAATTTGGTAACTACGGTACCTACACCGGAACCAAAACATCAATACCAAAATATAATCGTTTACCGAATAGAATATATGTAACTGTGGACGCTCGTCCACGTAGTGACAGTATTTTGTATGACTTGAAATCCTTTCTTCTACCTGTTAGGAATACAATATACCCTATTAAGGGTATAAAAATTAGTGTGGATATTCCATATATTTTCTATATTGGTTGGTAGTCGGGGGTGCAACATAAATCCCCAAATGTCTTTAAAATTTTACATTCAAATCTTAGCATTATATCACCTTCTTGTTCGTTAGGATTTTCTAGCCAGCCTTGGTGGAAATTGGCCAGCGCCTTTATCCCTGCGCCAGCCCTGGATTGCGCCAGGATTTAACTTTACTTTCCTTTGGCCCAGATTTGGCTGACAACTTGGATACATTTTGCAGCTCGAAATAAAGGTAAAATCAACGATCGAAGAGGTGCGGGAATCGCAGGAGCTTCGATTCACGACGTTTGAGGAACTGAAAGGAACGAGAGATCAACGAGTAAATGTGATCAATCAAACAAACGGCAAGCAATAACTAGCGTTTGTTTAGCTTTTATTGTTCTTTCAATCGACAACTCGGGAAAATTATCGGGTGTCATGTGAAGTAAGGTTTAGCAAATAAGTTGTTTTTGTATCATGAATCAATTTAAAATGTATTTGTCCTGTACATCTTACATCAATTAGTTTTAGATCTATATTTAAGGTACCACAAACAAAAAAAATTATCTAAAATATAAGCTTACACTATTTAATAGATTTGTGCTTCTGGGTGTTGCATCAAAAATTAAAATGCATTACATACAAACGGGGGGTATCACAGAAAAATCTGCGAACGAAATTCGAAAGGAATTATTTCATACTTCGATACAAGTTTCACAAAAATTCCGCCTAAAGGGATTTCTGTGTCACCCTGAACTATGTTTATGTGGACAACAACTGTAATTTATGCTCTATAACTAAGTCATATACATTCAAATATATCAATGTATTTATTTTTTATATTGTTTATAGTAGCTACATATATATAGGCGCAATAAATAAGTTTAAATAACATTTTTTCAATGTGAGGCTTTATAAGTTTTGTTCCCTTTGCAATGAAAAACCTGTTGTCAATGACATTCAAAAAAAAAAATATGGAAATAACTAAAGAATAAGGCCTAAATCTCACCTCAAGTAAAAAGGACCCGAAACGAAAATTTCCGCTTGAAGTGAGTACTAGGCTTTCGTTTACAACATTGATTTTTACTTAAAAATTTTTAATAAAAATTGGTTTCAAATTATATTAAATTTACAATGTGTATACATAAAATCTTTTTGAATCAAACTAATAAACATGGAACATCTACTTCCAGTTACTGCGGGATCATTTAACTCCGAATACCCATTAAAAAAAAGTTTACCTTTAATTATAAGTTTAATTGCACTATTTTTTGAGTCAAATTAAGAACTTTGGTTGGTGAAATTTAAAGGTAAATTTAAATATAACTAATAAGTCTAATGAAAATAAATTAAACTAAAACATTTGCATTTTAAGCATTTGAAGACTAATACGACTATAAAATAACTTCTATCGTATTTAACACTAGTTTAGCAAACAAAAAACCGTGGGATCAATTTTTTTCGTTTAGTTTTGAGTCGCTAATCACGCTAAAAAAAATTCCAAAGAAGCTTTCTGAAGATATTCAGAACGGTTCTTTTGACTTTTTTATAAATTGTTTAGCGTGAAAAGCGACTTAAAACTAGACAAAAAAATTGGTCTCTGTGATTATTTCGAAAAAATATTGTTGTTGTAAGTTGTAAACTAAAGTAATAGATCGGACTTAACATATTTGCTAGCTGCTAGAACTTTCAGTAAAATTATCAGCATTTAAACATAAAGACATATGTGGCAGACTGATATAAATTTCCACCTAAATACAGAGTGCTGGGTGCTAAAATGATGGGAGTTAAATTCAATTTTTTTTTGTAATTCCTACATACGTAGCAAGTACGTAACTAAGAGTTTATAGTTCAGCTTCGGTTAGATTAGTTTATTTTAGCTTAAATGGGTCGCAGTTAAGATAAGGCGATCTGCTCAAGTAATCAACGAGATGAAGCAGCGGATCCTCGGGAATGACGTCTGTATTTTCTGTGTTCAGCAGATGTTAGTTTTGGTATGAAATCAGGTCACAGTCCGGCAACAATAGAAATAGTTACGGAACTAATATGGATCACTAAATGCTAACACAACGGCTGGCTAGTCTCATGGTTGCAAGACGTTTAACAATAATCGAAAATCGTAAAATAGCAGTTAATAATACGCGAATGTCGTATGGGCTAATAAATAAATCAAAAATTCAACTCAAGCAGCATGGCCATCTAAAGCGAATCCGATTGTCGCTGCTGTCCGCATGGAGATGCTGTGGATGTGGTCGTTACTTCTTGGCCAGGTGGGTGAAGATGTTCATGCGATTGCTCCTGGTCCTGCTGATGATGCTTCGGTTGCTGCTGATGAAGATGTTCGGAATAGGCGTGGGATCATACATAGGGAGCATATTTAGGTCTTATCTAACCTCATCGATGTCCTCGCCTTCAGACGAGCTCCGTATCGTGTTGTATTGCGAGTTGCGGCTGCGCAGCATCCGCAGAAAGCTGCCCACTGCGAAGATAGTTCGGCGGTGTCGGTGGAATATACCTTGGTATAAGGCCTCTCGTAATGTCTTCCGATCCTCTACGTCTACCGATGACGTCAGCGATGTTTGATGGGGTAAACGTGCTGGAAATACAAAAATAATACAAAATTGAGAATACGTATTCCGTAAACAAATCGAACCGCAATTGAATTAATAATAATAATAAATCCGTTAAGAACCTGTCTGTCTGTCTGTCTGTCTGTGGGGTCTACTACTCTTGGGGATATTAAGTTTTAAATATTTCTGAATTTCGAATTAAATATTTAAAAAATCGGACGACTATATACATATATAGGAAAGTAATAGGAAATAAATTTTAGCTTCTTTGCTTTTTATTCTATTCTCTTCGTCTCTAGGACATGGCTCCTTTTGAATGTTTCCGAATTTTAATTTTATCAAAATCGTACGACTATATCTTATAGCTGCCATAGAAATGATCGAAAAATTAATGGGAACTTAATTGGAATCAAATTATAGCTCCGTTGGGTTTTATTGTATTCTCTTCTACTCTAGGATATTATTTTTTTTTAATAATTTCGAATTTCGAATTAAATTTAACAAAAATCGGACGACTATATTATATAGCTGTTATAGGGAAGGATAGAAAGAGTAATGTCTGAATAATACGAAATATAATATTTTTGCGATTTGGAAGTTAAAAAGAATTATCTGATCGGCTGCCCGAAGCTAGCTTCCTTTCTTGTTTTATCTCTTAAGAGAATAAATATTGCAAGCAATGTGCTTTGCAATCAAGTTGGTACTGTGCACTTCAAAAACTTAAAAAAAACTGGAGTGGAAGGTTGTAGAAAAAAACAAATATTACCTTCTACTCTTGGGAATATTATTTTTTATATATTTCTGAATTAAAAAAAAAACGGATCACTATATAATATAGCTGACATAGAAACGGTCGGAAAATTAAATGAAAATTAACAGGAAAAAATTCTTTGTTGATTTTTATTACATTCTCTTCTTCACTGGGATTTAGTTTTCTTTAACATTTCAAGATTTCGAATTAAATTTAACAAATTCGGACGTCTATATTATATTGCTCCCATAGGAAGGATCAAAAAAATAATGCCGTGCGCACGACCTATGGGATATTTCTCTGCCGCTCCGCTCCGGGAAAATTCCTCTGGAAAGAAGGAAGCGTTTCCGACCCCACGCCCCCTCTAACGCCCACAATGGCCCACTAACGATTTTAAAATGTTTCTGGCGCCCACACCTTTAAAGATTTCCGAGAAGTATAAATGCAATTTTGTTATGTATATTTATAGGTACCTATTTTTACACCTATTTTTATTTAGACCATTTTTCAAATCGGACCTTTCATTAAAAAGTTATGCGCAATCAAAATTTTATATATCCATCCCCCTTGCACTGCCTTTAGCTGAGTGACGGGTATTGGATAAGCAAGACACCAACCCGACTATAGCGTTCTCTCTTGTTTTAATCAAAAAACTCGGATAATGGTCATAATGAAGAATTTACGATTATGCATACTCTATGGGTTTGAAAAAAAACATTTAAGTGACTGTTCATACATGAGTCACTTAACTTTAAAATTTCCGAGTGATGATAGTGACTTGAAATAACTTAAGGTTTTTGAACACTTATTCTGATTCATTGGCTTGTAGTCATAGAAAACGTATTGAATTCCACAGACTTGACTTGTCGTGTCTTAATTTATTTTATACGCATATTTTGTTAGTTAAGTATTTAAAAATCATTTAAATGGAATCAGCATTATTAAGCTGACATACTGACCCGATAACTAAACTAATTTGTTTATTGGATATACATATATTGAAATGTAACAATTAAAGCAAACTAAAATTTAAAAATTGCAGTGTCGCACTGCCATAGAGCTATTCAGGCCAAACTAATAAAGCTTTATATATGTCGCCTGGTTTTGACAGCCAATTGAGGCGGCAGCTCAATGAGCTCAATGATACACACACCAATTTGGTTTTTATTTTGAATAGCTGAGTTACTCTTTTTTATACCCGTTCCTCGTAGAGTATAAGGGTATTGTATTTGTATTCGTGAAAAAGTATGTAACCTGTATATATATTCTTTATTATGATCACTAGGCGATTAGATCTTGCCACATCCGCCAATATGTCAAGATGTTATATTTAAATAGTTATTAAAGAGTTATAATTATTCGAATTAGGCTTATCAGAGTAGCGAGTATTTTATAGTCAAAGCAGTGGACTTTAGCGTCTCTATTTATTCTTTATTAATGTTTGATTTATTATACCCGTTTCTCGTAGAGTAAAATGGTATATTGTATTTATACAAAAGTATGTAACAGCTAAAAGGAAGCATATCTGACCCTATAAAGTAGATATATGCTTGATCAGGATCACTAGCCGAGTCGATCTAGCCATGTCCGTCTGTCTGTTTGTCTTTTATTATGTTTATTAAAACCAATTCGTTAAAAAGTTATGCCCGATCAAAGTTTTATATTTCCATCTCGACGCACTCTCTTTAGCTGAGTAACGGGTATAGATAGAGTATAGATTCTCTCTTGTTATTAATTGTAGCTAACCAAAGAAACACCAAAGCTATGTACATATATTTCATGGACCTCTGCGCACATCCGAATTTTGAATATAACTATTTCTTTGTCCTTCATGTCTAGTGCTATGTATATGGCAAGAATTTATAAGGAATATTCAACGAATATTTGGATGTCAACAAATTCACTAATGTACCGAGTTTAGTCGGGGAAATGATGACTTTCCTAGACATATCGAAAGTTCTTCTCATAATATTGAAATAATTGTTGATTATCCTTAATCCTTATTTATATTAGGAACATAAAATAAAAAGAAAACTTATTTTAATCATTGCAAAATCAAAGCTGTACAACTCGAATCGGGTATACTAACCAGCTATAGGTGACTTCGGCGACTTCAGTGAGTATTCGTCGATGCTCTTGCCGCCGAGATCCAGTTTGAGAACTTTCTTTGTGAGCTGTTGGGTAGCCGCCTCCTTGTTGCTGGTCTTCTCTATTTTGATATCCACGTTCCTCTGACTGACGGCGCTCTTGGTGGACATACCAGCCTCCGACCCAGTCGTGCTTGTCGTAGTCGCTACAGTTCCTTTGGCCGCATCCGTCATGTTATTATTGGTGATGTTACTAATGTCGTTGCAACACTTGTTGTCCCCCAAAGTCTGCTGAAGATGTTCCCTTTGAATATTTATTGGATGAGGCACGTTGTCTGCCCCTTTCAGCGCTTCTATTCCACCCGTTATTGTAGTGGTGTCCTTATCAGTATGATTGTTATTGACCGCTGTTGCTTGTGTACCGCCGACAAATGGTGAAGACTCAGCGGTACCGCTTACGATACGACTACTGTCGCCGCTCCCTCTGCTGCTGCTGCTGCTGCTGCTGCTGTTTTCAACGACGTCGGCAGCGGCAACAACAACAACCATTGTTTGAGAGCTCGAGCTTTGCTATTGTTTTATTTTTTACTTAGCATATTCTATATATATTTCCGCTGACGTGCACGCGCCTTTGGGATCTGTTCCGTTCTGTTATAGGTTTCGCTATCGCTTTCAGTTTGTTCGATTCGATTTAATGCGATTCTATTCGATTCAATTGCCGATTGTTCCTCTATATATTGATTCTACGTTGTTTTCTTTTTGAGGTTCGGTGGTCTGGCTTCGTCGGGTATCTGCAGTGTGACAATGTCGAAGGTGGCGCTGTGGAGCGCCACCTGTTGAGCGGTGCAATCGGTTAGAGTGATTTGGGGCAGGGACAGTGTTAGCTGTTGTCTGCGCCTACTCGAATCTCCTAAACTCAAGTGACTTAGATTGTCGATAATCTCATAAAGACGTCGTTGTTCAGGGGATGTGATTGTGGCTTGAAGTAAAGCAGCTTCGCTTGTTGAAGTGGCGAGGGATTTGGCGAGAGTGACTCCTCCGGCTGATGTACCTGTGGGTCCACTTATTTCTGTAGTTGTACAGTCTGGAGCATAATAATCACACATGCTATCTAGCTGCTTTGTTGGCTCCTCTTCCAGCTCCTTTTTAGTACTTTCTTTCTTCTCTTGTCCCTCTCGTTTGACCGACCTTATGTTTACCCAAATTCCCGGGTCGCCGCCCTGTTCCTTGGCCGCCTTGCGTCGCAGATTCTCGAGCAGCGTCACCAGGCGAACGCTCAACTTTTGAACCGGACTCTCGTCGCGCTGCACTACGTCCAAGAACAAACCCGACGACGGCCTTATTGCATTATGCCCCCGCTGGCCAATCGATTGCAGGTACTTGATGTTGGCCTGCAACCCCCGCTCGTAATAGCCGTTGGCCAGTTGCAAATAGCTGTAGAAGTCCAATGGTAGTTGCTGTTGTGGGCTTTCCACGAGGCACTTATTAATATTTATCTTCTTACTGAGACGGCCACTTTCGCTGGTTTGGCTTCCGAGCGCGAGGGCCACCGGCACCTCATCACTGCAATTGCTCCTCCATTGAATTCGGTGGACCAGGTAACGCAGCTGCTCACAGCTGTGTGCGCTCCTTATGCGACGCACTCCGTCGTTGTAGGTGTCGTCGGGCGGCTCACCGGAGCCCGCTGTCCGTCGGCCTCGCGACGCATACGTAGTATCGTTGGATCTGTAATTAGTGAAAGCACCAATTAGTCGGGGTATACATACGTCATGGGCAAAAAATAGAATGGAACCAAACAAAACATTAATTACAATGGCAAATGTAAACACGTACGACAAACAACCGAGCAAGCAACCAAACTGCAGCCCTCAACCCGTAATCCGTAAATCGTTGCCCGTTTTCGAAGCCTGTACGGGGGAAATATAATTAAAAAGACAAGAGAGAACGCTATAGTCGGGTTGGTGTCCCAACTATCTAATACCCGTCACTCAGCTAAAGGGAGTGCGAGGGATATGAATAAATACAATTTTTTTGATTGCGCATAACTTTTTAATGAATGGTCCGATTTGAAAAATGTTTTTTACATTTTGATAGGTAAAATCGGAAATCTTTAAAGGTGTGGGCGCCAGACACATTATAAAATCGTTAGTGGGCGATTGTGGGCGTTAGAGGGGGCGTGGCGCTCGGCTGAAATAAACTTGCGCTGCGTAGGAAGCCCAAGAATATATGTGAGAAATCTCAACCTTCTAGCTTTTGTAGTTTCCGAGATCTCAGCGTTAATACAGACGGACATGGCTATATCGACTCGGCTAGTGACCCTGATCAAGAATATATATACTTTATAGGGTTGGAAACGCTTCCTTCTTCCTGTTACATACTGTTGCACAAATACAATATACCCTTTTCTCTACGAGTAACGGGTATAACAACCACCACTCCTTAGGGGAAAACTGGCAGTTAACTTTTCGCTGTTTGTTTTGGTACCGCAGATAGCTCTTTAATATTTTGGGTACACAAAATCAATTTGAGTTTGTCTAACCCACTATCTCAAACATAATTCGGTGTTGCATATCGGTGGTTTTATGAATGCTTACTTAAGTTTGAGTATTTTCGGCGTCACCTTTTTAGAACTTTTTTATGCCAAGAGTAAAAGTTAAACGTGACATGTAATTTTTTGTCACAAAACATCGAAGCAATAATTTCTACCAGCAATAGAAAAAAATACTTTTGGAAAAGTTTCCCAATAATTTATAAGATACTTGTTTGCGTAGAATCCGTCAGACGGACATGGCTAGAGCGGCTCGTCTTTATGGGGTCGGAAACGTCTCCTGCACTGGTATACCAATTTAACGGGTCGTTATATTTTGTAGGGCTGTGAACCATTCCGGAGCTGAACCACTCTGAACCGGAGTGGTTCCAATTTTTTAGAAAACGAACCAAACCGTAAACCTGAGTGTCGAATTTTTTTATTAATTATAATACGCAAATCATTTTTCTATGCAATGCACATTGGGATGAGAAGCCTTTTTTTTGGTAATTTTTTTTTTTTTAAATACAAAAACTTGTATTACTTTTTCTGATGGCTGGGATATTAAGGGCCGTTTTCTCGCCAGCATGTTTAACTTAAAGTAGTCTTTAAACTCCTAATTTTCATACGTATTTAAGGTTCAAGGACTACTTTATATTTGACATGCGGAGGAAAAAACGTCATTCGTATCGTGATCGAACCCACGCACTGTATTTTCAAACTGCAAAGCTGAAAGTGCGAGTGCTTAGACCGCTGGGCTACCCATTTTCAAACACAATCGCACAATGACCTTAAAATGTGTCTGGCGCCCTCATCTTTAAAGATTTGGATAAAAAAGTATAAAGGCAAATGTTGCTGTGTTTAACACCTATCGAAATGTAGAAGACATTTTTCAAATAGGACCATTCATTAAAAAGTTATGACCAAATAATGAAATTCAAGCAGTGCAAGCAGTCGCACGAATACAATATACCCTTTTACACTACGAGTAACGGGTAAATAAATATTTTCTAGTTGGATTTTTCTTATATTTAGCCCTAAATAAATAAAGAAGACAATTTTTCAAAGATTTAGAGCGACTTTTCTAGTATTTAGGTAAAACATTTTCATGAGTGCAACTTACACAAAATGAGTAGTTCCGGGAAAAAACTAGATACTTAACTTCTAACTGTCAAATTAATCTGATTTTTTATTAGTTTACGGTTTACCTTTAATGTTTTACTAAATAAGACTTAAAAGATCAAAATAAAGTTCTTTTAGTGAAAAAGTTTTGAGAAAGTGGGTTGTCCCAACTTACAGACCTCTCCCCTATATAGAAAATGTCTCCTTTACACGCAAATTTTGAACGGAATACACATTGTAACTAATGTGCTAATTTCCAGCCAACCCGACCTTTGACGTCATTGAGAGGGAAAAAACATAACTAAGCAACTCGAGCTGCAGAGATGCGTCGGAAATGTCGCGCCAACGAGCTGTTCCATTGGTACTCAAGCTATATTTGTGCGAGCAACTGTCAAATAGCCCCGCCCTGCGTCTCTATTTAAGGGTAAATTGCCAGTGGGCAATAAGCACCCACAACCGAACCACCACCAAACCTGGGAAAGTTGTGGACATGGATTGGCCACACATCGCGGAACTGCGCATATCTTGACGCTAATGAGACGAACACTCGAGATGTTTCCTCCGTGGGTCTCCTCCTGCGTCGCCGATGGCTTAACGATCCAGATCCAAGGTGCTGTTGGTGGAGATGCTGCTGTAGCTTGTAATCCCTAAAGTGATTAGCCACCTCGTGACGATAGCGCTCCGGTTGAAAGCACTTTGTATTGTACTCCCTTTTCATGGTCAAGCGGGGAGAAAACTGGCGACCACTGCCCAGCGGAATGCCTTCGACGACCAAGCTGACAGAGGAGCACATGATTTAGGGATCCGGTTAATTGGGCTGCAGTCAGACGACAGTCCACTCCAGACCAACCTGCTCGGCGGAGGCCACTCAGCGAACTACACGGATTGACATTGATGACTCCTCCTCATTAGCCATTGTTGTTATTGGGATATGATGAGCGAGGAACAGGGGAATGGAGCATCTAAGTTGCCCAGCGATGGGGGCTTCAAATTATGCACTTTTATTGAACAACCGAACAATTCAAATTCTGTTGGCAACAACAGTTTGTGCTTATTTGTTATCACGTCAGGTCGCGATTTGTTGTCGTTTGTTCGACATCGCAATGAAATAGGAACATTAAAAGAAGGTTGGATAGGATAATCGAAGTTCGGAATACCCTATAACATTTCTGGACATTCACAAATTATAACATTATTTGTAACCGATTAATTTAAACAATACTACTTATGTCTAAAATGATTAGAATAAAATGTATGGACTACTAGAACAACGTAGTAAACATTGACCATTAACCTTTGCAGTAAAATAGTTGGACATCTTATTAGGGTATGATAACCAATGTTGTGACAGGTACTGCTTATTTTACCTAGGTAAGGCACTATATTTTTGCCAAAAATAATCAGCTAAGTAAGGTAAAAGGTACACAACAAAAAGGTATGTAAATATACATATGTATAAGTACTTTATGTTATATTTATTTTATTGACTTTAAAATAAAATAACAACGTCCTTAAATTAAACATTCACATTTCTATTTCTTTAAAACAAGTAAGACTATTTAAATACTTATAAACGTACATATATCAAAATCTATACCTAGGTAATGTAAAAGGAATTCAATTTTGTATAGCTGGGAAAGTAAACAGGTATGTATTGTATATAGGTAAAAGTATCCAGGTATGTCCTAACACGGATAATAACCATCACCCACCCGTAGCCATTCCACATTCACAACCCGTTTCCAGTTCTACACCCAACCAACCAAAGCCGCTTAGGCCAAGTGGGCGTGGGTTGCCTTCTCTCAATAGAAAAATTAGTAGCATTCATGTCGTTAACCATTGTAACTGGAACATCTCTCCCTCGACCCGTCAATTCTGAACAATATGCATATTTCGACTCACGATAAACAACGATAAAATACGACACAAAGAAATCAACGTAGAGTAACGTTAGCAAATTGAATGATATGTCTAGAGAATATACATTTTAGGGCCTACAATCCACATCCTCGGCACAAGTCGTCAACATTATTCCAAATACCATGCTTTGTTACTTTGATAGATATTTTTTGACAGAGTTTGCTTATATATATTCTAGTTTCGTTAATAACAGCTATAAAAATATAAAATTACACAAACGCTTTTTGGTAACACACTAAGTTGTAATACGTTTTAAATTCAGTAAATGAAGAGGTGTCAGCATAAAGCTTTGGTAGCTTCATATTTAGTCCTCTAACATTTTGATAAGCCAAAAATAAACCTATTAGTTTTTTGGCACAGTCGAAGGCCTGTTATTTAGCCGTTTTATGTGGGAGGCCTGTTATTTGTTCTCGGTTAATTGGGAACAAATTCTTTTATTACCAAATCATCATTAAGGGGGGGGTAAAGGTAGGGTCTTGGGGGCTGTCCATATATTACGTAATCACAATTTCGTCGATTTTTGACCCCCCCCCATGTAATCAATTCTTCATACAAAAAAAAAAAATAATTTGCACTAGAGTAATCATTTGGTGGACCCCCCCCCTAGATGATTACGTAATATATGGACAGCCCCTTGCAAAAAAAATCGATTATTTTTAAAATTTTTTTTTCTCGTAAATTAAGATCGTAAGATTATACAAAAAATAATTTAAGTCAATCGGACAAAAACTTTAGAAGTTATTTTAAGATTAGTACCCTAACCTCTAAGACTTAAGATTATACAAAAAAAAATTTAAGTCAATCGGACAAAAACTTTAGAAGTTATTTTAAGATTAGTACCCTAACCTCTAAGACTTTAGGTACGTAAGTGCAAGTGTGTTTTCTCAAAACCACGTTTCGAAAGTCCGTGTTCATCAACATATCTAAACGGCTCAACCGATCGTTTTCAAATTTGTCGCATATTTTTCTGCATAAAAAAAACTCACCCCGTGGGAAGCTTTTTTTTTTATTTTTTAACTTCAAATATTTTCTTTTTAAAGCCGAAAGTCACATTTTTAGGTGAAAAACGCATTTTTGACTTTGGACTTTCAAAAAAAATTGTTAAAAATAAAAAAAAGGGCTTCCCAGGGTGCGAGTTTTTTAATTCTTAAGCGAAAAAAACAAAATGGAAATCCGATAATTTTTAGCGGAGGTACAGGGAACACCGCAAAACACCTTTTTTTAATAGTGTTCCAGCAATCGCTTTGCCACCGATATATTAACCGATAGTATCGGCTATAAAAATTAGTGGATGTTACTTAAATGACACTTAATAATATACAAAAGGTTTGAATTAAATCCATCCAACCAGTTTTTATAGAAAAAATCGCTAACATTTTTTTCATATTCAAATTATGTTTAGTCGTACTATTTAAAACCCGTTTTAAAAAATTAAAAAAGTTCAAAAATGTGAGTAGAGTGACTAGTTAAAATTGGTTTGTGTTAGTGGTGCTATTATTTTTGGTAATACTATATATTAGAGGGCTCACCCCCGAAATTCGCGAAAAAATTATCCTCTATGGACCGCGATTTCTATAGAATTTACGTGCAAAAAGAACTTGGCGGTTGGCCATGGTTCTCGTGTAATTGAATTTCAAAGTTCCCGGGTTTGCTATAAAAATCTCTTTTTTCCTCTCTTCGCTCTGAGCGCGCTCAGAGTACAAAGAGAACGTTCGTCAGCAGTGATAGAGAAGAAGAAGATTTTCGTGACGGTCATGAACTGGTTTTACTCCGTCCCTGAAAATGCATAACGCGCCTAAAGAAGTTTCACTTCAAAAAAATTTTCTTGAATAAAGGCGAGACCATGTCCATGTAAAAAAAAATCCTTTAAATATTATAAACCAAATTGCAAAAAATAAACTTTGAAATGTTACGCCGTTTTTGAGCAATAACACTATGCAGCATCAAAAATTTACCTCGATGGATGCTATATTTTTGGATTCGTTACGAATTCCCAAGTTAAACTGCGTTTTCCAAAAAGTTCCCCGACGCAAGGATTCTTAGCAAAAGAACCTCAAAGTTCGAAAAAAAGCTGAAATTGGCCAACTTTGCGGAGCTCTCAGAGGCAAATGGATACATGGTTTGATTCGATGTTAAAGTTTTTTAAAAGATACACCTTTTATCTTTCAAACCCCATACTTAAAATAATTTTAGAATTTTTTTTATGGCAGAAATAAATTCCAGAAAACATAGTCAAAAAACTTAAAAACATACAACTGCGGTCAAAATAGTAGTAGTGTTGCCACCTTGTGTTTTTAAAAGTTTGATGTTGTAACTTTTTTTATCCAATTAGTCTAATAGTAAAATTATAATTAATACAATATTACCAGGAAGAGATTAATTACAACAACAAACTTTTAAATACACAGGGCGGCAACACTACTACCATTTTGACCGCATCTGTATACTTTTATGTTTTTTGACTATGTTTTCTAGAATTTGTTTCTGCCTTAAAAAAAATCTTTAAAATTTTTTAAGTATGGGGTTTAAAAGATAAAGGGTGTATCTTTTAAAAAACTTTAACATCGAATCAAACCATGCATCCATTTGCCTCTGAGAGCTCCGCAAAGTTGGCCAATTTCAGCATTTTTCGAACTTTGAGGTCCTTTTGCTAAGAATCCTTGCGTCGGGGAACTTTTTGGAAAACGCAGTTTAACTTGGGAATTCGTAACGAATCCAAAAATATAGCATCCATCGAGGTAAATTTAAAAAACAGTAAAAATGCTGCACAGTGTAATTAATGCCAGTAAAAGTGGACTTTTACCCCATAGTGCTTTGGTTTGTTAGCTTCTTTGTTTAACTCAAAAACAGCTCGACTTAAGACAAAACCCGCAAGTTTTTCAAGGAAACTGCTATAAATAAATTCTTAATTTCTCTAAATACCACAGTTTTAAAATTATGGTCAAAAGTTTTTTAAATTTATTTTTACAACTTTTTGGTTCATTTACCATTTTCTTATTAGCGTGTTTACTTGCGGCGAAAGAGGGCCAGCAGAACAACAGAAATGTAACGGACGGTAACTACGTGTGTGGCGCTAAAATGTAGGCAATACCGCAAGAAGAACTCGGAGCAGAAAGGTGAAATGCGGAGCTTCAAGTCGTGCAAAATTAAAGCCAAGGCAATGCTAAGGTGGGGATGGGAGTGCACGTATGCGTATAAAAGTGATACACACACACAGTTTCTGCTCCACTTTGAATAACAAAAGCGCCTCTGTGTGACACACATATTTCGCCTTATCAGACACACACGTAAGCAAAGGTGGGAAAGTGAGAGCGGCGCACGTACGCTTCTATTTTTCACTTGTATTGTCGGTCATTAAACCGTCACCGGATCACCACAAATAAGCAGAGAGCCTAGCGGAAACAGAAACAAGAACCTGAACCTTTTGCAAATAAATAATTCATTCGACGGAATGGGAAAAAAGAGAGACAAACTAAAAAGAATGTATTGATTCAGATTTGCGATTGCTTACCCCAAATGTACCGCTATGCCATACAACAACAGCTGGTCGTCACTCCGGCTCCTGTTTGTGTGTCGCTCTCTTGGCACGCGGTTATGTGTGTGCGTGAGTAAGCAACTCAGTGTTGCACTTGTTCCTTGTTCCCTTCCTTATTTCCCTCACTTTTTTTTTAGGAATTTGTCTAATTGCTAATTAAACATTGCCACTTGCCACTAGTCTTATGGCGAATTTTATATTCCAGATTAATCTTTTCCTTAGTAAATGCGTTTGGTTTCATTTGATTGCCACGCTTGATTGTTTAACGTTTGTTTTAAAATTCTTTTCCTGCTCTCGGCAATGTGACCCTAGGGTGACACTTAAAATATACCGATGAATATACTAATTCAAAATGAAAATAGACACTTTGAAAGGTTTTTTATTTAGGGTATTCCCCTAGCTGTTGCAATGCTTAAATATTGACATTCGGTCAGCTCCTTATCAGCTCTTTCAAACATATTCAATTGTCAGAAATTTCACCAATTCAAAAACCTTGAGGCTGATGAATCGGTTTAGACCAGGGCTGTCACCTCTTTTTAGAAAAAAACCGTGAACATTATGTTATGCACTCTGCTCATTATGGCCGCGTCGCGATATACCAAACATGGAGAAGGGGGGGTGGAAAATTTTCGCGTTACAGGGCTGAAAAGTTAAATTTGTGGTATTTTTAAGCAGTATTAATCAGGCATGAACATTTTTCTGGACTTGAAACTGATAAGAGGCTGATAAGAAGCGGGAAATATTAAAACCTTTTATTGTTGATATTTACATGAACTTTATTTCCTATAGTTTTGGTATTTGATACATCATATATGCCAAATGATCTGGCAATAGTTCAGTATTCCGAGGATGATCCAAGCGCAATGATCAATAACAAATTATTTAAATTCATTGTAAATTCATTCAAATCAGCTCGCAAATGACAATAGCAGAACAGCTGTTTTCCGACGCGTTTGCCTATCGCGTTGCCAATCGAAAATACACAAAAATATCGAAAAAACCCGCATAGTGGAAAAATGGCTTTACATTTTAGTATTAAAATAGTAGATAGAAATGGGCGCGTTCAGCAAAACAATACACTGATGGATTTATTACGATAGTTCTGCTGAATGCATGATTTTGAACAGTACTCAATTGGGCTAAGAGTTTCACTAGTCGAAAAATATTAATTTTTGTAGTGTGAACGAAGTTTTCAGAGCTCACACGCTTTTCATTTAGCATGGTATTATTGGCTGCGTTCAGCAGAACAACATGATCACTGATCACTGATGGATCAGTAATCAGTAATCAAGTTTGTTCTGCTGAACGCTCATGATACATTTCGACGACGCAAAAGTAAAATATATAACAAATATTGCGCGCGCAATTTGAAAATATATATTTTTTCCGCCCCCGCAACTGCAGCACTGCTCACAGCTATCGTGGATACATAAAAATCAAAAATGGCTGAACAATTATAAAGAATTCCACCGAATTTATGGTTTTTTAAAATTATTTTGTTAATAAGTTTCGATATTTCGACTATCGATACATGCCAGAAGTCATGTATCATGTATCAAGAAAAGGTAGCGTACTTTTTTTTCGCTACCTGATCACTGATCACTGATGCAAAATTCTTGCATCATGATCAGTGATCATGTGCGTTCAGCAGAACTATCGTAAGAAATCCATCAGTGATCAGTGATCATGTTGTTTTGCTGTACGCAGCCATTGAAAATGGTGCCAACTTTAAATTTTTACAAAATGTTGGGGCAACCTGTTGGCATGGCGACATGTATTGCCGGAACTCGTACAGACAGTTTTCCATTGGCTTTTAAAGTTTTTTCTTCCATTTATAATTTGTTATTGGCACACCGCTTCTGCACAAACACAGCCAAAGATTAAAGTTTCTATTCTTTGGGCCGCGGCCAAGGCGTTCGTCGGAATTCACCTGCTAAATCTGGTATTTTTTTGGTATTTCCATACCATTCCGTTAGCTTATCTGAGTACCGCGGTGAAAAAAGTCCCCGGCTAAAGGCTTTAGCTACCTATTTGCCTCTCGCTTACTCCTATGCTTAGCTAGCAGTTTTCGTCGTAGTAGTGATAAAGTAGCGATATTCGATATATCACAGGAAAAAATATCACGATATAAATATTTATTTTTATTCAAATATATCGATATTAATATTTTGATATATTTTACCCATCCCTATATCGAAGCCGCATTGTAATTCCAAACGAATTTTTTATAATTCTGACGCTTTCAAAAGTTGCGTGGCTCTGGTGATTTCGTGTTGTGACAGCGAGGAGTGCGCTTACAAGGAGGGAGCGACTGAGGGGTAAAATTATAACGGGCAGCAAAAGGGCGAAACATCGCCGGCTATTCGTCGCGGGAAAACAACAGCAAGCAGCGTAGGCAGAAAGTAACAACAATGTCGTCTGCCAGGGACCTAATCAAAATCGACATAGTAAGTGGCTTTAATAAGGCTGTAAATCTACAATTACAATAAATGTTTACTTACCCACCAGGAATGGGGAATGGAGCGCCTGGTGCGGGCCCAACAAGTGGTGGAGCTTCGTCCCTATGACATCGAGTCCTGGAGCGTTATGATCCGCGAGGCTCAGACACGTCCAATCCACGAGGTGCGCAGCCTGTATGAATCTCTGGTTAATGTATTTCCAACTACCGCCCGCTACTGGAAGCTGTACATAGAGATGGAGATGCGCAGCCGGTACTACGAACGCGTGGAGAAACTCTTCCAACGCTGCTTGGTCAAGATCCTAAACATTGACCTTTGGAAACTTTACCTGACATACGTGAAGGAAACCAAGTCGGGTCTCAGCACACACAAGTGAGTATCTAGTGGAGTTCACTTGGATATTATGTTTTTTAGTTAAAACTGCAGCTTACTGCATCTTCTTTGAAGGACTAACACTTGACAACAAGCTTGATTTTTTTTAAGTTGCTGACCTATGGGCATTAAATTGTGTTAATATCAGGGACCGAAAATAATCATTATATTTATTTCTTCAAGCAAAAAAATCAGACACTTATAACAGCACTAAAAAAAATGATTTCCATCAAAATAATTATCTTTGTGCAATCTAGGCATTCCCGCCATGATTTTTAAATTTATGATTTTTATCTTTTTTGATAAAAAAAAATAGGACTCATAAATAATGATTATAATCATAATAATTATAATTAATTTTTATTTTTTTTGCTCAAAATAAAACTTATCAGAGCCTCGCGGCTTTCCTGTAAGACTTTTCGCCAATCTGATTTCACAGCCGTCTAAGCGCTTATCAAAGCTACCTCCACAATTTTTTGCAAATTTTTTTAACCACTTTTTAAAAACCTCTAGGCTATTAAAACTAGGCTCTTAAATATATTCTTGATCAGGGTCACTTGCCGAGTCGATCTAGCCATGTCCGTCTGTCCGTCCGTATGAACGCTGAGATCTCGAAAACTACAAAAGCTAGAAGGTTGAGACTTTCCCCACATATTCTTGGGCTTCCTACGCAGCGCAAGTTTATTTCAGCCGAGCGCCACGCCCCCTCTAACGCCAACAATCGCTCACTAACAATTTTAAAATGTGTCTGGCGCCCACCTTTAAAGATTTTCGAGATCTTTCATTTTTCAAATCGGATGACTGGAACCCATTGCTGTATATAAGAAAGTTGAAGGGCATTATATTACCTGTAAAATGAATCGTCGGTGACCTCAATCGGTTTACCAGAACTCAAGATAGAAAATAAAAAAGGCCCAAAAACGTTTTTTACACTTAAAAAAAATTGACACCGTAACAAAAATTTTAAGTGCCCATTTATTAATCAGGGAGATGTACTTTAACAGAAAACCAAGGTTTTCTTCGAGTAGGAAGAGGTCGTTTTTTTTTGTTTGTAAATTGGTGTAATATACATCAATTGGCTTTAATATATTACTCAGATATTATCCGAAAATATCTTATTCTATTTAACTTCTCCAGAGAAAAAATGGCACAGGCTTATGATTTTGCTCTGGAGAAAATCGGGATGGATTTGCACTCGTTCAGCATCTGGCAGGATTACATTTACTTTCTGCGTGGCGTTGAAGCCGTTGGAAACTACGCGGAGAACCAGAAAATAACAGCAGTACGCCGCGTCTATCAAAAGGCGGTTGTCACACCCATTGTGGGCATTGAGCAGTTATGGAAGGACTACATCGCTTTCGAACAAAATATTAATCCAATTATATCGGAGAAGATGAGTCTGGAGCGATCAAAGTTTGTTTTATACGCAACTCTTGCTAGAATTGTTATCTAAAGTTTTATTTCAAACTACTACAGAGACTACATGAACGCTCGACGTGTGGCCAAAGAACTGGAATATCACACCAAGGGCCTTAACCGCAACTTGCCCGCCGTTCCGCCTACTCTCACCAAGGAGGAGGTGAAACAGGTGGAGCTGTGGAAGCGCTTTATCACTTACGAGAAGTCCAATCCGTTGCGGACCGAAGACACGGCGTTAGTCACCCGTCGCGTCATGTTTGCTACGGAACAGTGCCTGCTCGTGCTCACCCATCATCCGGCCGTGTGGCACCAAGCATCTCAATTCTTGGACACCAGTGCCCGTGTGCTCACCGAGAAAGGCGTGCGTACCATGAGTAGCAACCACCTTCTTCGTTCTCTGCGTTCCTGTAGTCAAGCAAATAGAGTGGATTTTGGCCTTTGCCCGGTGGCGGGTCAAGATCGAAAACGAAAATCAAACAGTCTCTTGTTCGCTAAGAAGTGTCGCCCCTCTGGTAAAGGAGCACGCGGTGGCACAATCTTTTTCGCCGCTTGCGCCATTGCCCTTGGTCAGGCCGCACGCGTTTTACTCACTTGAACTAAGTCGAAATTTCTGTATTTTTCTTGTTAATTGCTTATTTCCATATTGCAGGACGTCCAGGCAGCAAAGATATTTGCGGATGAGTGCGCTAATATTCTGGAGCGCTCTATTAATGGCGTACTGAACCGGAATGCGTTGCTCTATTTCGCCTATGCTGACTTTGAAGAGGGAAGGTTGAAGTACGAGAAGGTGCACTCCATGTACAACAAGCTATTACAGTTGCCAGACATTGATCCCACTCTGGTAAAAACATATATATATTAAAATTCACTGAGCAGAAATCTTTAAGCCTTGATATTAAATACTTTAGGTCTACGTGCAGTACATGAAGTTTGCCCGTCGTGCGGAGGGCATAAAATCAGCGCGCGGCATCTTTAAGAAAGCACGCGAGGACGTTCGTTCGCGTTATCACATCTTCGTCGCCGCCGCTTTGATGGAATACTATTGCTCCAAGGACAAGGAAATCGCCTTCCGTATCTTTGAGCTGGGACTGAAGCGATTTGGTGGCAGTCCCGAGTACGTGATGTGCTACATTGACTACCTGTCCCATTTGAACGAGGACAATAACACGCGCGTCTTATTCGAACGCGTACTCAGCTCCGGCGGTTTGTCGCCGCACAAGAGTGTGGAGGTTTGGAATCGCTTCCTCGAATTTGAGTCTAACATTGGGGATCTGTCCAGCATCGTCAAGGTCGAACGTCGTCGTAGTGCCGTCTTCGAGAACGTAAGTTTCTAATTTTCCTGTATCTTTAACGAAAATCTTAAATTCTTATGTAATTATTTTTGTTTTAAGCTTAAAGAGTACGAGGGCAAAGAGACCGCCCAGTTGGTAGACCGCTATAAGTTCCTGGACCTCTACCCGTGCACCAGCACCGAGCTCAAGTCCATAGGATATGCTGAGGTGCGTACATTTTTATAAATACTTTGTTATACCCGGTACTGGTAGAGTAAACAGCTAGAAGGAAGCCGAGTCACTAGCCGAGTCGATATAGGCATGTCTGTCTGTATGAACGCTGAGATCTCGGAAACTACAGAAGCTAGAAGGCTGGGATTTCCCACATATATTCTTGAGCTTCCTACGCAGCGCAAGTTTATTTCAGTCGATCGCCACGCCCCCTCTAACGCCCACAATCGCCCACTAACGATTTCAAAATGGGTCCTGCGCCCACATCTTTAAAGATTTCTGAGAAGTATAAATGCAATTTTGTTGTGTGTATTTATACCTATCGAAATGTACATTTTTCAAATCGTACCATTCGTTAAAAAGTTATGCGCAATCAAAATTTTATGTATCCATCTCCGTCGCATCTGAGTGACGGGTATTAGACGGGACACCCACCCGACTATAGCGTTCCCTCTTGTTTTACTTCTGGTTACACCTCTTAGTGTTCATATTCTCTTTAGTTTGTCTAGCACCATCACGGAAAAATTCCGAAAAACAGGGTATAAAAATTCACCCTTGGGTTGCCGGTTTTTTGGAGAATGTCTCATATAAAAATGTACAAGTTCCATTGGTTTATTTTTAATAAATGCCGTTTTTTCCAGAATGTGGGCATTATCCTGAACAAGGTGGGTGGTGGAGTTCAAAGCCAAAACACGGGAGAGGTCGAGACGGATAATGAGGCTGCTCCACCGCTGCCACGTCCGGACTTCTCTCAGATGATTCCGTTCAAGCCGCGTCCCTGCGCTCATCCTGGTGCCCATCCACTTGCAGGCGGCGTATTTCCGCAACCGCCGGCTCTGGCCGCTTTATGTGCCACCCTGCCTCCACCAAACTCCTTTCGCGGGCCCTTTGTCAGCGTGGAGTTGATATTCGATATCTTCATGCGGCTTAATCTGCCCGACGGTGAGTATTCTGGATTATAATTTGCGCTTATTTATTATATACAATACTATGCTGTGAAACTTTAGCTGCACCGCAACCGAATGGAGACAACGAATTGTCGCCAAAGATCTTTGATTTGGCCAAGTCAGTGCACTGGATCGTGGACACGAGTACCTATACGGGTGTGCAGCATAGTGTTACGGCCATTCCACCGCGTCGACGACGTCTGTTGCCCGGTGGCGACGACAGTGACGACGAACTGCAGACCGCCGTGCCGCCCACCCACGATATTTATCGGCTGCGGCAGCTGAAGCGTTTCGCCAAGTCAAATTGAGGTCCGCCGAACTGCCACCTATTTTTGTAAATTTGCATTTACGAGAAATATACGGAAAAGAACCAATAGAGCATTTGACTTTTTTAAGCTAGAGGATGTTTAGGAATGTGTTTACATTTTGTTTTGCCATTATAGACGGGTACAGATGTAAAGGATTCTCAGGAGCGATAGGTATTTTAAACTATTGCAAATTGTTTTGGAAGAAAGAGCGGCTTCGATGGACTTTTCAAAAGTTACTTTAACAAAAGGATTTGTTGCTCTTTTCAAAATGGAAATGTTTTCTTTTGGTTGTGACAGTGGTGCATCCCGTTATGGTTTTGGGTTCTGAACTTTTTGCATTAAGCTGCTCGATATAAACCTCCTTTAACTTTTGGAAAAAAAACGGCCAGTTTGGCGGTAAATTGTTAAACAAAATACTGATTTTAAAGGCCCATATTTCATAAACTCTTGATGTTACAGGCACTTCCCTGAAAAAACAGTGACCGTTTTTCATATTTCGAATGCTGTTTGATTTGTAAACTAGGTTTATGAATTTTAGTGTGATATATTTTTTAAAATAGTAATTTTTCACATATAAATTACCTCCGGCAGATTGATTTTTATTTGTCGGGTTTTTACTGTTAGAAATGTAATCAGTCCAAGACAAGTTGCTTATTTTTAAATAGTTTACAATTGCTTTAACATTTCGTTTAAGCATAGAAAAAAAAACCGCATCTGGGCTTTAACTAACTAACTTTTAAGTTTTTTTCCTATTGAATTAAAGCTTTAAATGTTGATGTACAAGAAAAAGAAATAAAAAGATTTATAGATAATTCTTTAGAGGAGATGCAGTGAAATGAAATCCGTTGAATTGGGTGCTTTTAATTAACAATATAATGGTATTTTTATCCCCTTTAGTCATAGAGTAAAAGGGTATACTTTAAAAGCGCTAAATAAGATTAAATTTTTACAAAGTTTGAAAATAAAAAACCGTTGGAGCGCACTGGAGAGTGTTACGTATAACTGACACTTACGTATTACGTAACTGACACTTACGTATAACCTTACACTTACGCGCTCATCTGCAATATGGCAACTCTTTTCAGAAAATCAGATGGGAAAGAGTTGCCATCCTGATTTCTGCGTGCTAGAGACGGGGCCAAAAAACGCCGTTCCTGGTGATGGGACAAAAACATCGATTGTGGCAAGAGAACATCGGTGTTTTCATCGGTGTTTCTCCACCTCCGACGACCGACTGCTTTGCGTCGCTCGTTTCACCTACGAAAGTAAAAACAAAGCCGTGCAAAAGTGTCCGAAAACCGTGCGTAGCTTCAGACAATTCGTAACTCGGCCAGCCAACTCGAGAGGCGCCGTTTTGGGCCGTTCCCGTTGTCGGTACTCGCGGAATCCAGCGGAAATTAAGGACTTTTGAAAAACGTTCGCCCCAAACGCATTTCGTTCGTTCACTCACACACACACACACGCACAGTCGCAGACAAACACATCGCGCAGCGCATATACACAAAGAAAAGAAGGCAGTGAAAATCGACAAGCGCACGCATGCACACACAGAGGCGAAAAAGTGTTGATATATATCCAATATATTGATATATATTTATATGTATATTGATGTTGTGTGCACCGTTGTTGTTACTGCTACTGCCGTGTGAGTGAGAGTGGGACAGAGTGAGTGGCAGCAGTGTGGGCGAGGGAGGGAGCGCGCAGGATAAAGCGAAGATGAGCCACAAAGCAAAGGAGTGAAAAAATAATTAACGGCGAAGAGAGTGGAAAGAACAGAGCGCACTGAAGAGGAGCAGGAGCAGCAGCAAAACTAACAACATCAACAACAACGACTAGGAGACCCCCTTCAACTACAACTACAAATTGGTCCTCTCATTTTGGCAGTCGTGCAAGCCCCATCTCGCTCTCTCTTTCGGTGGGGGATACGAAAAAGTTCACATGCAACAACAACGACAACAAACAATAGCAGTCGCAGTCGACGCGGGCAGAGGCAGAGGCAGCGACAGAGACCGCGGCGCACTGAACGTATTTTGTACATATAAACAAAAATAGTTTTTAAACTCCCAAATCTAAATCTAAATCTAAAGTTAAAACTAAAGCCCTAAGCATAAATCTACAGTAAATAAGTTAATTAAAAGCAAGCAAATCAAGCATAGAGAAACGCGAGGTAGAGAAAGGGGAGGAGAGAGACAAAGAGAGAGATAGAGAGAGAGAGGAGAACGCTCAAAAGAAATTCGCCTTTTACACGATTTTAAATTGAGCGTTTGGTTTGGCAGAGATCCATTATACATACATCCATCCAAAAAAAAAAAACGAAAAAAATAGCGGGAGAGAGAGAGGAGCAGGGCCGAGCGGAGCGGAGCAACAACAAACAATCGGGGAGCGGGAGCGGGAGCGGGAGCGGGAGCAGCTGAAAAAGGAGCAACTGTAAACACACACAATCTCAGCCTCACGCTGGCGAATCGCAACGGCAGCAACAACAACAGAGGAGGAGGCGGTGACGCTGGAGGCGGGGCAGCTGTGCCCGCCGCTTCCCGCAACAACAACAACAACCACAACAACAACGGAGGCGGCAACAACAACAATGGAGGCGGAGGAGCGGCTGCAGTCGGCGCTGGCGCCGAAGGAGCAGGCGGCGGAGGAGGAGCGGGCAGAGATGGTGCTGCAGCGGGAGGGGGAGCGGGAGCGGGAGGAGCAGCAGCCAACGAATGGAACCCAGAGGAAATGGACCGCTTCAGCTCCGACGACTCCATCCGCTTCGAGGAGGACTCGCTGTGCAGCTGGAGCTCCGAACCGGAGTCGCTGTGCAACAACTGGCGCGGCTGGAAGAAGCCCGCTGCGGGCAGCGGAGCAGGCAGCGGCGGCCTGAGCGGCATGGGCAGCGGCATGGCGATAGCGTTCGGAGCAGGTGCCTCCGCCTCCTGCACGCCGGGCGGCAGTGGAGCGGCCATGGCCAGCACATCCACCTGCGGCAGATATTATGGTGAGTAGGGCCCTTCTTGAAATACCTTATTTTATAATTAATATAATTACGATAATAATACACCGAGAAAAAAAAGACCAATTTTCATATGAATTTTGGTGCGTTCTGTGCTCATATCAAAATGTTATTTCTGAACATATGATTTTGAACCATATTGATATGAAATCTTACCATTTTGTTATGAAAAAAATTTTTTTTCTTTTCCGTTTTTTTCTCTGTGTACGAATCGGTGCAAAAAGGCCATAAAGCATTACAAGTTAAAAGTATGTTCTTGAACAAACCCCCTATATTTACCCAAAAAGGTTATATTTCAGTTGGTTATACAAGGTTCCAGTATTATAATAATATAATAATAATAAGCTAAATAAGGGTCGTATGCAGTGCGTTATTGATAATTGCAAGGGTTCTTCATTGTCGAAATAGGTTTTCTGTATAGGCTAAGTATACTTGTTTCGTACGCTTTTGTAGATATTCTTTGATATTCTTTCAAAAAATTTAAGTTAGTTTTTGTTCAGTTATTTTGAAAAAAACTGTTTGCCTTATAAGTCCTTTGTAAAGAACCCTTCGTTCTACCAGGTGGGAAAATTAAGCAAATTAGGCATATGTCCATATATATATATATATATATATATCGATGATTCAGACATTACTCTGAGGGCCGTTTTTCCTATCGCATGTTAAACTAAAAGTAGGTTTTAAAATATTGATCTAAACTTTCCCAAAAATACTGGGTAAAAACTTTAATAGTTTCATGGGATTTGTGAACGTTTTCATTATTTTTCCGAGAATAAAAACTGAAATACATTTTTTACTTCGTTTTGGTTACTGGACAATTTAAAAAAGTTTTTTGTTCTGCTATATTAAAGATATTTCAAGGTGTGCTAAACAATTAAATTAAATAACCAATTTTGACTATCATCTACTGTTTTTAAAAACACAGTCACATATTTATTTAAATTTAGATTGCGAAAGCAAAATAAGATCTTGTCACACTGTGCTGACTGCAATTATACGCGTGACCTTTTCGCCGCTGGTGAATTCTGTAAAATTGTCTTAAGCGCAACAGCAACAACAACAACAAGCACGCTGTAATTGTAATTGTTGTTGGGCCGTCCTGTCTGCAATTGTCTTTTTCGTTTCCCCGCCTTTCCTCGAAGTCCTCTGCTTATCGCTAAAGTCAAAATCACGACTTTAGCTGGCAACGTTTTATATTCGTTCGTTGTTCCTTTTTACCTTTTTACCATTTTACCTTTTTGTAGCTGTAGCTTCTCCGTCTTCTTTCCTTTGTCTTTTTGTGGCTTATTACGTTTGTGTACAATGTACATACATATGTACATACGTAGCGAGGGCATTGTTTTTGCTTTTGGTCCTCCTGGAAGACGTTTTTTACACGTTTTCGGTATCCTGTGCGCAGTCGCAGTCGCAGTATAATCAACATGTAATATCTGGATATCTGGCTGCGACTGCGCAGTTCGTCCTCGTCCGCGTCGCTGTTATTCCTCCATTCTTCTTCATCATTTTCCATTCTACTACATTCGTTCGCTTCTTTGTTTGATCGATCTGAATTCCTGTGGGGAGAAAAAGGACTAAAAGAGCCAGAAAAGGAGTACTTGTAGAGCGAGAAAAAGATCAGATCCATATCCATCTAGTTATCTAGTCCATTATCTAAACAGTTTTGCAATCATTTTAGCCAACTCATTCCTCCCAGGTGATTTAGCTAAAATATATTCATGATTACTCAGAAGTTTTCAGAAAAATATTTAAGGTCCAAAAAAATTTGATTTTGTTTGAACTATAAGTGTTTCAGGATTTTCTCCCAAATCTAAAATGCTCTAAATCAGCGGTCGGCAGCGCCCTATTAAGTGAGCATAGGGTTTTGTTCTGCCGGCGCGCAGCTCGCACACGTATAACGTAGAACAGCGGTCTGCACACACACATCGATGAGCTGCCCAGTCCAAATTACTCACACAAATATAAAACAAAATGTCAACGTATGTGTGTGCCGACCGCTGCTCTAAATCAATTCAAAGAATTCATATGAGAATTTGGACCAGTTTGTATCCACTTTTGGCGGGTAAAAAGCTAAAGTGATAGCCCCGCCGATTGGTGTGTGCAAAGCAAAGGCAAAGCCAGCTGCATTTTCATGCTCGAAAGACATAATAACCGCAACAAAAACTATATAGCCTCAAAACGATGTCGCTGCCGCAGCTGACGCCGACGTCGACGTCGATGCTGAGGCGTCTAGAGCCCCGCTTTGTTGTGTCAAAGAACCTTTTCAAGGATACCATCACAACCTGCCCGAGGGGATGTAATAAAAATAAAGACGACGACGACGACACGGATGAGAGTCCCTACTTCCCTTCACACCTTGCAGTTCCTCCACTCTGAACGATGTGCCTTCTTTATAATTAACCGAAAACCCATCGATTTGATCTACAGTTCTCAATTCTGCGATGCGATTTCTCCGACTTAGGATCTCTAAATATTTAGTGACATAAAAGCCCCAAAAGGATGTTCAGCCTACAAATATTTTACGAAATTATATATTAAGTTTGGCTAAAAAATCAAGAAAGGTTTTTAGAGACCCCGAATCCTACCTATATATACTAAAATCTTGATCCTAATACCGTTTTAAGCTTAACTAAGGTTCTGCTAACAACGATCAGTTCCCTTTAGTTTTAAATTTTGTTAATAAGAACCCATGAAAGGTTAGAAACACCCCAATTGAAGTGGGTTCGCCGATTGGTCCCCCCATGAACGTAGAACGTAGAATCCTAATACTGTTTTAAGCTTAACTAAGGTTCTGCTAACAACGATCAATTCCCTTTAGTTTTAACTTTTGTTTTTAAGATCCCATGAAATGTTACGAACACCCCAGATGAAGTGCGTTCGCCGATTGGGCCCCCCATGAACGTGGAACGTAGAATCCTAATACTGTTTTAAGCTTAACTAAGGTTCTGCTAACAACGATCAGTTCCCTTAAGTTTTAACTTTTGTTTTTAAGATCCCGTGAAATGTTACGAACACCCCAGATGAAGTGGGTTCGCCGATTGGGCCCCCCATGAACATGAAACGTAGAACGTAGAACGCAGAACGTCGTCGATGCGATACGATGCAATGCAATGACCCCGAATAAACCGAAACCGTGGTATTGGTCACGCTGTAGTGCTGACAATGCAGCTCCGTGTCCGTGAGAGGTATGCGGACGGACGGACGGACGGACAGTGTGTGCGTGCCTTGAGTGGATGGCGTTGCCACATGTCATCATCTAATTAGTGGGTCGAGGCTCGCTCGGTGTCAATTTCGAACTGAAACTGCAGTTTGCAACAGAAACTAAAACTGAAACTGAAACATCGACCAGCTGTGGATGAAGCCACGGGTTCTGAATTTTATTTTTCACTTTTTTTCGCATATCAGTTTCATGCACTTCCGCAGCCAAAACAATTGCAACAACAAATGCAGCACAGCACACACGTGCAGAAATGCTTGTTGGCACTTTGACCCCTTTTCTGCGTCAGTTTATTTTGTTTTTTTTTTTTGTTCAGCGGGCTTTTTGTGTCGAACAACCTGAATTGGTCGTTGGGAAACACAGCGGACAAAGCCAAAAATATGAGGGCACAGCAAAAAAGATAAATTTTTACTTGGGCTTAATATTTAAAAGAATGGATGGTTGATTTTCTATATTCCGAGATATGATGTATAAAAGGAAAAATCAATTAATCTATACAATCTTTTAAATTACTATGTAATATATATATATAAGATATGGTTCTTTATGATAATAATAATTTTATGAGTCTAACAATAACATGATTATTCTATACGGGGTTTACTTTATATGAAGTAAATTAAATTTTTTTTCTTTGGTAAAATGAGTTTATTAGGTTCGGTTCCTTAATTGGGACTCGCCATAAGCATATTCTACAACTCCAATCGCAGTTTGGGGGGAAATACGTAGAGGTAACTGGTGTGTTGAATGCATTTGCTTTAGCTCGGCACTTCAGCACCTCTTGCTCAACTTTGACGAGTTCGTTCACCAATAACACAATTAAGTGGAGCATGATGCTCTGTGTTTTATATTCTCCTTTAATTGTTACATGTTTTGTTAGTTCCATGTATGGAAATGGAAAACAAATTAAAGTGCAAACAAAAACTCCAAAAGGGAATGCAAGCACAGTTCAAGCCAAGAGGAAACCAGTTTGAAGGGGAAGCAGTAGCCTTGAATCCGATAAAAAAAAATCGAATACATATATACACGAATCAGTTATTAAACCTTCTTCAATCAAATCAATCTGACTCATGCGGTCACTCGGAATCGGCTAAGCCCCTTACCTGGAGGCTCAGCCGATTTTTCATCTGACTAATGCGTTTATTTGTTCTTTGTCGGAGAAAAATATATACAATTGTGAAAACTTAAAGATATTCCAAGTGAAAATAATAATAATATAAGTTTTTACCGGTTTCTGAATAATATAAATGAATTGAAATAATTTTTTTCGGGAGATTTAAGATTAAAATTTGAATTACTTAGTTTCGCAACTTAGATCAAAAAGATTACATCTTGGAAATTGTAAACCAAAATTTGCAATATTAGTCTGCAACATGCACTATTTTTTTAACCTCCACTGTAGCTGTGTGTATTCATAAAGGACAGGCATGAGCAATAAGTTAGCGCTTGCGGAAAATGACTTTGAATAAAATGGTGCCAAAGTGTCTGAAAATTAAGCGACGACAGAGCAAGACAGTGTAAAGAGCACGAAGAATGGGAGCGGGCAAACGAACCGACGAACGAGCGAAAGAAAACAAACAAACAAACAAAACAATGAGCTCTTTCGTTCAGTGCTGACAATTTGGATTTTTTATGGACACTCAATCTACATTAAACTGTCGAAGAAATTATTTTAAGTTTGACTAGGAAAATCGTTTTACCTATATACAAATTTAATTTGTATACTCGTTATATTGGATTCGATTAAGAATATGTAACAGGTATAAGGAAGCGTTTTCGACCCAATAAAGTGTATAAACTTACATATCCTTATTATTTTATATGATAGAAAATTAGTTTTTCTTCCGAAAAGTATAGAATTTGTTATAATAACACTAGAATCAAGCTAGAAACCAATAATAGTAATATATTACTAATAAGAAACGAAAGTTATTATGTGTAAATAGATAGGTAGTTCAATGAAGTATCTGTACGGATCCTTAACCTTCTGTTCGATACCCAATTACTTACCCGGTTACCAGGGTCAGCATGTCCAGGTTGGTCAATTATAATTGGAGGTAAAATATAGGAGATCTGGTTATGATGCTCCTGCTCGAATATTTAATTAGCGTGGGTGAACTTGAACCCTCTGTTTTTTATACCCTTGCAGAGGGTATTATGATTTCAGTCAGAAGTTTGCAACGCAGTGAAGGAGACGTTTCCGACCCCATAAAGTATATATATTCTTGATCAGCATCACTAGACGAGTCGATCTAGCCATGTCCGTCTGTCCGTCTGTCTGTTTCTACGCAAACTAGTCTCTCAGTTTTTGAGCTATCGGGATGAAACTTTCCCAAAAGTCTTCTTTCTATTGCAGGTAGTATATATGTCGGAGCCGACCGGATCGGACAACTATATCTTATAGCTCCCATAGGAACAATCGGAAAAAAAAAACTTTAAAAAATTCTAACTTCGGTGTTTTTTGAAATATTACCCTCTACTTTTGGGGATGTTATTTTTTTAATATTTCTGAATTTCGAATTAATTATTTAAAAAATCGGACTACTATATCATATAGCTGCCATAGGAACGATCGGAAAATTAATGGAAAAGTAATAGGAAATAAATTCTAGCTTCTTTGGTTTTTATTGTATTATCTTCTACTCTAGGATATGACTCTTTTTAAATAATTCCGAATTTCAATTTTAATTTGATCAAAATCGGACGACTATATCATATAGCTGTCATAGGAACGATCGGAAAATTAATGATAAATATTAGAAAATTGAACATTTTTGCGATTTGTTAATTAATAGGAATGATCTGCAAGGGTATATAAGCTTCGGCTGGCCGAAGCTAGCTTCCTTTCTTGTTTTGTATTGTTTTTGGTGGCTGCATCATCAGCAACACCATATACTTATACTTATACCATAACAATACAATAACAAAGCCCGATATTCTTTGTTATGCTTTGGGGCTCTTTTTTTGTTTGTTAGTTTGTTTGTTTGTCTTTTGTGTTTTGCGTTCTGGGCTTTAGAGGCAATGGGAACAAGACCTTTAAAATGCAGGTCCCCTCTTCCATGGCCATTTGTTTATTTGCATGCCAATTCAGTGGATTACTGTTTATCTACAACTCAATTGCGTTGCAAAGATAATGACATTGGTTTACGCAGGGCAAAATTGCGTGGCTAAGATTCTCATATTTTTCCCACGACAAGAACTCAGTTTATTTATTTAATTTTGCTTACTGAGGGTATAATATTACTGACCGGAAAATGGAATAAAGCTTTATAGTTTCAATTGAAGCCGAGCATTTAACTCGATAAATCCTTCTTGAAATTTAGAAATTTTATTCAATATATTTTAATAAGCAATTGCATTTATTCTTTAATTCCCGTTACAATTTATTCTAACTTATTTTATCGTTAAACTATTTACTGTGGATATTCTGAAGTTTCAAAGTGATATGATTACATTTATTTTGTTAGCCAAACTAATTTACATTGCCAACCTGGTGCGGTTGTGCTAATTTGTCTGTGTGGCGACCCCTACAAAAAACCTCGTTGTTGACCTCTCATTCGCTGGTCATTGGCCGTTCGCTTCCAGAAAAAGTTCTTTAATTAATAAAATGCCCGACATGTGTATCTTGTGCCTGTGTGCATGCATGTGGCTTTTCCTCGCTTTGTTTGTGTTCAAATATGCTAGTAGAAATATGGAATTAGTCATTTGGCAGCTTCTTTAATTAATAAATATTTTCATAGTGTTTCCTTTTTGGGACTTATAAACAAAGAGTATTTAAAATAGTGAAAAAAATAAAATTAAACAAAATAAAATAAAAATACACAGCTAAAGAAAGTGTGAGGGAGATGGATATACGCATGCAGCCAAAGCTACTGCTTGCACTGCTTGAATTCCATTATTTGCTTATAACTTTTTAATGAGCGGTCCGATTTGAAAAATTTCTTCTACATTTTTATAGGTATTCATAAAAACAACAAAATTGTATTTATTTTTGTCTGACATCTTAAAAGGTCTGGTCGCCAGATAAAATTTTAAAAGGCGATTGTGGGTTTTACAGGGGTCGTCACACTCTGATGAAACAAATATGCGCTGCGTAGGAACCCCAAGAATCTGCATGGTTAATCCTAACTTTCTAGCTTTTATAGTTTCCGAGATCTCATCGTTCATACGGACAGTATTATTTGATTTAAATACATAATAATCCCAAAAATAAGTAGGTTCTTTGGTTATATTTTGTTAAGTACCTTTTTAAACTTAAACTTAGTCAAAGAATGTCACTTCAGTTCTCTATATTCCGTTTGCCTTCTTTCAGAAGTTTCCACATTGGCCGAACTGGCAGCCCGCTGTGTGGCCTCCTACATACCGTTCGAGCTGGTGGAGCACGTGTATCCGCCGGTCCCAGAGCAGCTCCAGCTACGCATTGCGTTCTGGAGCTTTCCGGACAACGAGGAGGACATCCGGTTGTATTCCTGCCTGGCCAACAGCTCGGCGGATGAGTTCAATCGCGGCGACTCGTTGTTTCGCGTGCGAGCCGTCAAGGATCCGCTGCAAATAGGTGAGAGTTTGTTTGCATAGATAGCTATAGCTATGCTCCAGTGGAGAATCGTCAAAGGCTAACTAATACTAATCCGATTACAGGCTTTCACCTGTCGGCCAGCGTGAGTCAGACGCCGCGTGCGTACTTCAATGTGGCGGTCACCTTTGACCGCCGACGCATCTCCTCTTGCAACTGCACCTGCACCTCGTCCGCCTACTGGTGCTCCCACGTGGTCGCCGTTTGTCTGCATCGCATCCATTGCGTAAGTATGGCAGGGCTCAAAGGATTATAGTTTGTATAGTTTTCTATTGCTTTGGTTTTTGGTATAAATATAAATGTAACAAGAGAGAAAGCTATAGTCGGGTGGGTGTCCCGACTATCTAATACCCGATATATAACATTTTGATTGCGCATAACTTTTTAATGAATGGTCCGATTTGAAAAATGTCTTCTACATTCCGATAGGTATAAATATACACAACAAAATTGTATTTACACTTCTATAGTAAACAATCTCGCGCTGCGTAGGAAGCCCAAGAATATGTATGGGAAATCTTTTGTACACCCAGAAAAAAAGATTACCTTGATTTAAGTCCACGTTCCTTTAATTAAGGAACGATGGACTAAAAATGGCTAAATAAGGCTATACATGGACTTAAAATTTTTCATTAAGTTTTAACTTAAGTCCATGTAACAGTCCATATGGCCTAAAGTCCATTTTTAGTCCATGTATACTTAAAATTTATATGGGATGAACATTTTTAAGTCCACGTATAGACTTGTAAGCCATTTTTAAGCCATTATTTCTTAAATCAAGGTCAATGGACTTAAATTAAGGAAATTATTCTACGAGTAACGGGTATAAAAATAACATAAGCTACTTCACCTTTATTCAAACAATTTCATTTAATCTCCTTTGCAGCCCCAGGAAGTCTGTTTGCGGGCACCGGTCTCCGAATCGCTGACCCGCCTGCAACGCGACCAGCTGCAAAAGTTCGCCCAGTATCTGATCAGCGAGCTGCCCCAGCAGATCCTGCCGACGGCCCAGCGACTCCTGGATGAGCTGCTCAGCGCCCAGCCGACGGCGATCAATACGGTGTGCGGTGCACCCGATCCAACGGCTGGGGCCTCGATCAACGACCAGACCAGCTGGTATCTGGACGAGAAGACGCTGCATAACAATATCAAGCGGATACTCATCAAGTTCTGTTTGCCCGCCCCGATTGTGTTTAGGTGAGAGTATAGGGTTTTCTTTTGAAATTCATATAAATTATATTAATATATTAATTTCATCCCCAGTGATGTCAACTATCTGACCAACTCGGCTCCACCGGCGGCGGCCGAATGGAGCTCTTTGCTGCGGCCGCTGCGAGGTCGTGAACCGGAGGGCATGTGGAATCTGCTCTCGATTGTGCGCGAGATGTACAGGCGCTGCGATCGGAACGCAGTGCGTCTGCTGGAGATCATCACCGAGGAGTGCTTGTACTGCGATCAAATACTCATCTGGTGGTTCCAGACCAAGCTGGCCCTGATGATGGGCTCCCACGGCCATTCGGGCGGCAAGCACTCGAACACGCACTCCAATTCGACGGCCCTGCAGCACGCGTGCAGTTCGCTGTGCGACGAGATTGTGGCTCTGTGGCGGCTGGCCGCTTTGAATCCCGGCCTGGCGCCGGACGAGCGGGACATGCTGCATGCCCAGTTTACTGCCTGGCACCTCAAGATACTCGATCGCGTGGTCAAGAGCCGTATGATGCCATCGTCGTACACGAACAAGCATCAGCAGAATTCGCGATCGGAAACGGAGTTGTTTATTGGCTTCAAGCCGGCCATTGAGGCATGCTATTTGGATTGGGAGGGTTATCCCATTCCTGGAGTGACTCACACCCACGACACGAATCCCATCTACTACTCACCGTTCACCTGCTTCAAGCACACGGACCTCAAGGGCGAGTCCAGCAATCCCGGCCAGCTAAACGCCACCCAGGCGCTGATGACGAACAACAAGCACTATAATTACTTTAGTGCGTCCAGCGATCATGCGGGCATGCATGCGGGAGCCTTTAAGCAGCGATTGGATCGACCCTTTAGGGAGTCGCGATTCTATGCGAATCCGAGCGATTTGGATGGCGGATCAGCGGCATTGCCTGGCGGAGGAGGAAACGGCAGGTTTTCCACGGGTAATCTGGGTGCTGTTGTCGGTGGAGCAGGAGGAGGAGGCAGCGTCGCAGGAGGTGTCACCGGCGGTGGAGGAGGAGGAGTGAACAACTCGGTTGGAGCAGCGACCGTTGAAGCGAATACCGTACAGCTGCAGCAGCAGCAGCAGCAGCTGGTCAGCGGCTCATCGGGAGTCGGTGGCTCGGCGGCAAATGCCAAGGCAGCCGGAGGAGCAGCCGATGGCAATCGCTCGAGTGCCAGCAGCGAGGGATTCTGTGAGAATGACGATTTCGGCGGCGACACCAGCAGCAGTCACAATTACTGCCCACCGGGCGGCGGACAAGCGGTGGTGCCTGGCCAGAAATCGGCCCTCACGGAGTCTGATTCGCAGAGCAGTTTCGATGCCGTGTCGCAGCAGAGCAAGGATGAGCCGCCAGTGGGTGTGCCAGTGGGTGTAGAACAAGTGCTCTCCACCTCGGACACTTCGTCGGCCTCGTCGGCATCGTCATCGGCTTCGACTGCGTCGGGGAGCTCGAACAGCTCCACTTCCTCGATGCTGATGGCTGGTCAGGAGGCTGCTGTTGGAGGAGCAGTGCAGCAAGCACCGCGTCGCCTGAGCAAGGATGAATCCTTTAGCAGCAGCAGCGATGAGTTCAATCAGGCGGGAGGATCGGCAGCGGGTGGCGTGGCTGCTGGGGAATCCGCACAGGGAGGAGCGGTGGCCACAGCTGGCGGAGATCTCACGCCAGTGCCCAGCACTTCGGCAGCCGCCCGAGCTGCCTTGGCCGCCAGTTGCTCCGCGGTGCCTGTAACTACACCTCTTCAAGCAACCAGTTCGGTCGGTGCTTCGGTGGAACAGCCCAGCACCTCATCCGCCTCCGTGCACGCAGCTCGAACTTTGGCAGCGGCTGTGGCCGCCTCCAGCGACAAGCCGCATGTATTCTCCAATGTCCGGCCCACGGAGGACGCTTGGGACATACTGTTGGCCCGAGCCGAGGGACTGCATGCCCATGGACACGGCGGCGAGGCCTGCATTTTGGCCGTTCGCCTGGCCGAGCAGATGCTGGCCAATCCGCCCAATCTGCTGCTCGAACTGCCGCCCGCACCGAAGAGGAAGGGCAAGAAGCAGAACGTGAATCCCATCTCGCATCAGCTGACCGTCGTCGCCTCCGCCACGCTGTCCAAATGCGCTTTCCTCTGCACCGTGCTGTCGGAGAATTCGGAGCACTATCACATCGGCTTTCGGATATGTCTGTTTGCGTTGGAGATGCCGCGACCGCCGGCTAGCACCAAGCCGCTGGAGGTGAAGCTGGCCAACCAGGAGGCCGACATACTGGCGCTGCTCAAGCGTTTGCCGCTCGGCTCGGCGGAGCTGCAGGTGATTCGCGAGCGAGCCGAGCAGCTGCGCAGCGGAACCTTCAAGACGCGCGGCGAGGCTCTGCTGCCGATCAACCTGGCTACGTTTATTTTCGATGCTCTGGTTACGCTCAGTCCGGCCAGTGGGTCTGCCATTGGACCCGGAGTGGCTTCTTCTTCAAGCTCAAGTGGCGCAGGAAGTGCGGCTGGCAAATCTATGGTAAATCCAGGCTCCCGTTTGATGCTCTACAAGCACAACAGCGACGAGAGCCTCGGATTCGATGCTGCAGTGGCCGCGCTTGGACTGAAGGCCAATGTCTCGGAGGCAGAGCATCCGCTGCTGTGCGAGGGAACCCGCCGGCAGCGCGGCGATCTCGCCCTGACCCTGCTCTCCCACTACAAGGACGAGCCGAGGAAGATAGCCAAGATCATGGAGAAGCTGCTGGACAGGGAAATACACACGCTGCTGAATGCACCGCTCCTGCCCGCCTACTACTCGAGTAATCCGCCGGTGAGGACGCCGAGCAATCAACCGACGCGGCGGGAGGAGCACGATTATGGAGGCTCCGGCTCTGGTGGATGCGCCTCCTCCAACTGCAATCCGGTGGCCAATCTGTGTGAGCTGCTGCCAGCGGATTATGGCAGTGTGGGAGGAAACAGTCGACCGCACAGCTCGACGAGCGCCGAACTGGAGCTGAGCATGTGCGCCCTGAGCATGGCGAGCAGCCAGTCGGGCGGCGGCGGCGGAGGAGGAGGAGGAGGAGGAGGAGGTGGCCAGGGCATGGTGCCCACACCGAATGCGGCGGGAAATACGGGAACACCCAGTTCCAGCAGTACTACGGTTAGCGGTGGGCAGAATCCCAATGGGAATCCCAGTGGCAGTGGAGGAGGAAACGGTGGCAACGGAGGCGGCGGAAGTTCCAGCAGCAGCCGGAGCAAGGAGAGCCGCTACAAGGGCAAGAGGGCCTACCCATCGATACCCAACCAGCCATCCGAGGCCAGTGCCCACTTTATGTTCGAGCTGGCCAAGAATGTGCTGACCAAGGCGGGCGGCAATAGTTCCACCTCGCTGTTCACCCAGGCGAGCACCAGCCAGAATCACCATGGACCCCATCGTGCCCTCCACATGTGCGCCTTTCAGCTGGGACTCTATGCTTTGGGTCTGCACAACTGCGTCAGTCCCAATTGGCTGTCGCGAACCTATTCGTCGCATGTCTCCTGGATTCTCGGCCAGGCGATGGAGATTGGTGCGCCGGCCATTAGTTTCCTGATCGACACTTGGGAGGCGCACCTCACGCCGCCCGAGGCGGCTGGCATGGCGGATCGGGCGTCTCGGGGATGGGACAGCAATATGGTTTACCCCGCCGCCGAGTTGGCCCTCTCCGTTCTGCCCCACGCCGCAGCCCTCAATCCGAACGAGATCCAGCGCGCGATCCTGCAGTGCAAGGAGCAGAGCGATCTAATGCTGGAGCGAGCCTGTCTCACCGTCGAGACGGCTGCCAAGGGTGGCGGTGTCTATCCGGAGGTCCTCTTCCAGGTGGCCCGCTACTGGTACGAGCTGTACATGCGCAACACGCCGAACAACAGCGAGCACGAGCCGCATGAGGATACCATGGACCACTCGGCGGTCAGTCTGAGCGCTTTGATTGAGTCGCAGCAGCAGCACGAGCTTCAGCAGCAGCAGCAGCAGCAGGCGGTGCAGCAGCAGCAGGCAGTACAGCAGCAGCAACAGCAGCAACAACAGGTTGTGCAACAGCAACAGCAGGTGGTGCAGCAACAGCAGCTCGGCATGCCCAATCCCGGGGTGCCGGGCGGACCCGGAGGACTCCCTGTGGCCGTGCCCCCGCCCGTTGTGGGCTCTGTGCCGAATCCGCAGGCCCAGTTCCAGCCCGTGGGCGTCGCCTCACTGGCTCCCCTCGGCCTGGCGCCCTATCCGCCGTATAGCTTCTGCCAGGGCCTCTACGCTCATCATCACAACCTGAGCTATCCGCCCGGTCAGATGCAAATGTACATCTCGGCGGGACCGCCGCCGCCGCCGCAGGGATATGGTGGCTACCAGCAGGCGCCGCCCCAGCAGCCGCCCAATCAGCAGCAGCAGCAGCAGGTGGTGCAGCAGCAACAGCAGCAGGTGGTCCAGCAGCAGCAGGTCCAGATGGCGGGTCAGGCGCCGCCGGGTCATCCGGGACAGCAGGTTCATCCGGGGCAGCCGCCGTCTGGCTTCCAGCAGCCACCGCCGCCGGGAGCTTTCCAGACGCTGCCGCCGCAGGCCTACCAGGCGATGCAGGCGGGTCCGCCGGGACCACCGATGGGACCGCCACAGGGATATTACGGCCCACCGCCACCTCCGCCTCCGAACGGCGGACCACCGGGAGTGGGCGTTAACGTGGGCGTGATGCCAATGCGCCAGCACCAGCACCAACATCCCGTCTACCCCTTCATGCAGCAGGCGCCGCCGCAGCCGCAACAGCAGCAGCAGCCGCCGCCTTCGCAGCCACCTGTGCGACAACGACAACCGCATCAATTCACGTGAGTAGATTGTGGACTTTCTCGAGTGTTCATTATACCCATAAAGTATAAATATTCTTGATCAGCATCACTAGGCAAGTCGATCTAGCCATGTCCGTTTGTCTGTCCGTCTGTCCGTCTGTTTCTATGCAAACTAGTCTCTTAGTTTTAAAGCTATCGGGCTAAAACTTTCCCAAAAGTCTCTTTTGCTGGTAGTATATCTGTCGGAACGAGCCGGATCGGTCAACTATATCATATAGCGAGTCGATCTAGCCATGTCCGTTTGTCCGTTCGTCTGTCCGTTCGTCTGTCCGTTCGTCTGTCCGTCTGTTTCTACGCAAATAATCAATAATTGGGCAAAAAAGTAATCAAATTTATCTTGGGTGCTTTTTAACATATAACCTCCTACTTTTGGAAATACCATTTCTTATCTAATTCTGGATTTCGAATTAAATTTTTTCAAAATCGGACGACTGTATCGTATAACTGCCATAGGAACGATGGAAAAATTAATGGGAATATAATAGGATATAACTTATTGGTTCGTTGGTTTTTATTGTATTTTCTTCTGCTCTGGGATATGACTCTTTTTAAATATTTTCACATTTAATTTTATCGAAATTGAACTATCGGAATATTAATGAGAAATAATAGAAAATTTAAAATGTTTACGATTTGTAAATTAATCGGTATGATCTGCAAGTGTATATAAGCTTCGGCTGACCGAAGCTAGCTTCTTTACTTGTTTAATTAATGGCTTTGCATCTTTTGTAGACCCACCCAGCTGCGCTATCTGCTGGCCGCCTACAATGTGGGCATGCTGGCCATGGAGACGCTGGCGCGACGCGTTCACGATGACCGGCCGCAGGCGAAGTACGCCCGAAATCCGCCGTACGGCGAGGATGTCAAGTGGCTGCTGCGGATCAGCAAGAAGCTGGGCACCCAGTATCTGCATCAGTTCTGCATCTGTGCGGTCAACTCGATCGTCAGTCCGTTCGTCCTGCACGACGTGGCCATTGAGTCGGCGCACTATCTGGGCAGGAATAACCACCAGCTGGTGATGCAGCACCTGCGCTCGGCGCTCACACCGCTCGTCCAGAAGTGCCAGCAGATGTGAGTGTTCTAATGGTTCTCATTATGATCAAAAATATGACAAATTCATTGCTTCTTCAGGTACATTCAGTGCATCCATCAGAAGCTGTACCACCTGACCCAAGGTGACTACGAGGAGTTTGCCAGCATTGTGGTGGCAGCCCGCGCCGCCTTTCAGATTACCCCCGAGGGCAGCGCCCAATTCAAGGACTGGCTGCAGTCCATCAAGCGGTAAGTGAAGATTAGAGGATAATGTAAATCCAGGACGTTTTAACTTACTACTCCATAATATTTTCCAGATCCAAATCGTGCAAGAAAGAGCTGTGGACCCAGATCAATGCGGCTCTGCAAAGCAACTCCAAATGACAAAGACTTGACTCCTGCAATCTGATGACGGCAGTGGCAACAGGAACATTGGCGACGACGGCGGCGGCTGCAGCGACAGCGGTGACCGCAGAGTGCAAGTCAACAGCGCCGGCTGGCGGTAGCAGTGCCAACAACAACAGCGTTGGCAATTTAAATAGCAACACCAGCAGCAGTGCCACCAATAACAGCAACGGCGGCAACATTAACATCGGCATGGGCATGGGAATAGGCATAGGCATAGGCGACTCTGTGAATGGACACAACCATCATCATCATCACCATCACCACAGGCATCATCATCTGCTGGAAACGCCAGGTAGCAGCAGCTCGGCAGGATTAGCAGCAGCAGCAGCAGCAGGAGCAGCAATTACAACAGCAACCCCAGGTGGTGGCAACACACCAGCAACAGCAGCAGTTGCTGCAACTGCAGAGCGAACGGAGCGAAGGCCACCGCTACTGGGGGCACCACCACCGATGTCCGCGATCGGCAGCAGCAGCAGCAGCAACAGCAACAACCACAACAACAACAACGGGCGATCGGCAGCAGCAATCGCTTATCATTCGCTGATGCCGAACTACTACACCAGCACGCGTCAGTTGCACATGCATGGTCATGCTCGGGGTCATGGGCAGCCACATCCTCATCCCCAAACCCATCCCCATCCTCACCAGCAGCCCCAACCGCACCCGCATCCCCATCCTCATCAGTACCAACTGCAGTCGCTGAGCCACTACCATCAGCAACTTTAACAACGTGTCGCTGATGCGCCTGCTGCTTCTGCTGCAGCCTCGTCGCTTTGGTGGTCGCAGGAACAAGGCGGCAACGGAGGAGGAGGAGGAGGAGGAGCAGCAGCCAGCAGCAGTTGTGCCTGCCGAGCAGGCGGAGTTCATGGCCACTTCAGTTTGGCTTTGGCTGCTGGTGTTGCTGGTGCTGCTGCTTGTGGTGGGCCTACCGCTGCTGCTGCTGATGCTCCTCTGATCCACAGCCATTCCCCCACTCCCGAGAACCACCACCACCACCGCACTTAGTTCATGTTAAACATAGTTTTTATTTTTAAACTTGAGTTTTCTCTACGTTTACTATTTTTTTTTTCGTAATTAATCAAGGTATACATATTAATAAGCCACTGTTCATGCGTGGCGTGTGCGTATGTGCGGGTGTACTTTTAGACTGAGATATCTGCCAACAGCAACAACAACAACAACAACCGACGCCCACACACACGCACACGCGCACGCATACAAACACAACAACAAAAACCATAGAAGATGGAAAAACTCTGTTTGATTTTTCAGAAATGTGTTCAGTTAAACTAACGTATTTATAGACGATCTATCAGATAGTTTTCTACACCTACAGCTATATAAACTCGGACTTATACATAATATGCTCACAGGCCCTTAACCATATACCTATATATAATTTAACATAATTCGACCTCCTCCGACCTTTCATAATAACAAAAAAAAAAACCTCCAGCTTTGCAAAAAGTGAGAACATCCTTCTCTAGTTTAGGCTAACGACATTTCATTCATTGTTTCTATATATATTTTTTAGTCTTAAGTAAAAAAGATGAACGATTTCTATACCTATGTACACCCTTATACATATTTAATACCTGTGGTTAAGCAATTTTTTAGGATTTCAAATTTATTTGACCAACAATATCCAACAAACACACGAACATGAGCGATGCCGCAGAAGTTCTCAGCCGAGCAGTTTGTTTTTAATATTTTCCTAGCAAAAGATCTCAAAAACAACAAATTTTTTCAACTGCATATAAAAAATGCAAATGGAGAAAATGCGTTTGAAAAATGTGGGCAACTAACGGAAATGGTAAAGCTAAAAAACGTTTTGAAAATTACTAAAAAAGAGTTTTTAAAACGCTTTTACTTGGCCATGCTAAGATTCACTCCTGAACCACCCACATACAGCTGCATATGAGGAAAGTAATCCAAGGTCTATGCAGCTGAACTCTAGATAGAAAATATTTCAGACAAACTGCCAGAATTTCTTCGGCTTCGACTGACGTGGAAATTAAGTTGTTTGTCTCCGTCTTAACCGATGATAACGACAGAGCAAAGACAACAAATCGAACAGATTTATAGATATCGCAAATCACTATGATCATACACACACTTTTTATGATATACAACATTTAAAAGAAATGGTTTTTGTTGGTGGAGCAAACATGTTTAGCATCAGAGGAGTTTCTATTTTTACAATTAAACAACAACAAAAAAAACAAACAAAAACAAATGAAAAAATATATTTTTTGCTTTACAAATTTTGTTTATACTTTAAAACTTTTAAAATTTTTTTTATGCTTTATATATCTACGTATATAAAACATACATATTATTAAACCAATAAATTCTTTATATTTATACACAAAAGGAAACAAAAAACAAAAGGAAAAAAAGAAAAAACAACATTTTTTTTTTAATTATATACAAATAATGCTGTTTTGAATAAATATGGTTTTTTGGATTTATTTCAAAACGCAGCGAAAAGCGAAAAAAAAACGGAAAAAAAAACAAAAACACACAAAATAATCTATGTTGGTTTTATTTTTGTTGGTTTCTTTTGCAGATCACAACACCTTTTGTTATTCCGAAGTTGACTTGTTTGAATACTTTTTTAAAAATTTTGATTTCATTTTTTGATTTTCTTGTTTTCTTTATTATTTGCGATTATGTGACCCAACCCAATCATAGCCATCCAAAGCATCCGAACGAACTCCATTCTAAATTCAAACTATAAAAGAAAACTGCCACTTTCTTGAGGATTCAGTAATGTTACATAAGAGTCAAAATCTGCCAAGTGGGCCACCCCTGTTCCGAAGGTCCGATTTTCATCGATCTTTTTTACTTTTCCGGTTCACAACGAAAATATAAGAACTTCATTTGAACGGTTTTGCGAAATTTTGAGTTTTACCGGAGTTATAGGGGTCAAAACATGGCATTTTTGACACTTTTTCGAAAAAGTTGCACTCAGTCAAAAATTCATAACTTCGGAACGGTAAGAGATATCTTTATGATGTTTTCACTAATCGCTCAAGAATTATTATGGCTTTCCATAAAAAAATTTAAAAAAAAATTAAAAATTTTTTTTCTTAAAAATAAATCAACATTTTTTTTTGTTTTTATTTTTTTCAGTGTTCTTCACCAGCTATAGAGTTTAAAACCATTTGAAAATGAAGTTTGATTCATTACGAAAAAGATAAAAAAAAAAAAAAGAGGGGCCCGGACAAAGGTTTTTCGCAATATCGATTTGAAGAAGGGCGCACAGCGGTTTTCCATACAAAAACGGCTTGCTCGTGAAAATTGGCTGGTCAACACATGCCGTTGCGCGCGTAGCGTCAGCCGACTGCAGCTGTCAATGAGGCACTTCTTGTCGTTTTGTATGGGAATCCGCTGTGCGCCCTTCTTAAAATCGATATTGCGAAAAACCTTTGTCCGGGCCCCTCTTTTTTTTTTTTTTATCTTTTTCGTAATGAATCAAACTTCATTTTCAAATGGTTTTAAACTCTATAGCTGGTGAAGAACACTGAAAAAAATAAAAACTAAAAAAAAATGTTGATTTATTTTTAAGAAAAAAAATTTTTAATTTTTTTTTAAATTTTTTTATGGAAAGCCATAATAATTCTTGAGCGATTAGTGAAAACATCATAAAGATATCTCTTACCGTTCCGAAGTTATGAATTTTTGACTGAGTGCAACTTTTTTCGAAAAAGTGTCAAAAATGCCATGTTTTGACCCCTATAACTCCGGTAAAACTCAAAATTTCGCAAAACCGTTCAAATGAAGTTCTTATATTTTCGTTGTGAACCGGAAAAGTAAAAAAGATCGATGAAAATCGGACCTTCGGAACAGGGGTGGCCCACTTGGCAGATTTTGACTCATAAATATAATAAATAAATAGATATACACGATTGCAAGCACCTGAAAATTCCTGGAGTGCAGGCGGCCCGAGCTTCTTGGGTCTCAAGATCCGAGAATTGGTATCGCCGCCAAAAGGCCTCAGTCCCCGCTTAATGGTTGTAAATACGGACGATGTCTTATATAAGTATTGTAACTTCTTTGTGTTTTTGTATTATTACGAGTAGAGAAACCGAGAACCGATTCCGATGCGTATATAAATGAAATTGCATCGAGTCCAGATCGATTCGGATTCGAATTCGGATTCGGGTTCGGATCCGAGTTCTGTAAGCAATCGCGTAATTTGTAAACTTTTAGTAGGCAGTATTTTATACAAAGAAAATAGCAAAGAAAATACCGAAAATAACTTAATCTATTTATATAGTAAACGAACGCAATCTGTAAATTAAAATTAACAAGATGTTTTTAAATTACATTATAGTTGACTTTTTCCGTGAAAAAAACAAGAAAAGAAAAACCAAATAAGAAATGAAGGCAGACGACTTCTCGCTTTGTTCACCATTAATATTTGTAAAATATCAATACTCCCAATTAGCAAACCGATCGAAGAACGAATTGTGGAAATAAGAATTAGAGGAATGCAACTAATAGACAGACGAATACGAGGACGAAGACCATTAACCCATTGACTTGAACCACTCAATACAATAACTGAAAAGTAAAACGAACAAATCAATTTGAAACGATTTGAAATTAATAATAAATGCGAACATAATGTTAACGTAGCCGATTAGCCTTTAGATCACATATAGCGCATATTTTACACAAGCGTAGTGAACCAATTTCCAAACTAAACTTAGAAACTCCACAGACCCCAGATACACAGATCCAGCAATCACCACCTACACTATGAGTTTAGTTTTACCAACAACCGAAAAGCATTTAAATCAGTTGAACTAATTCAAAAAATGGTTAATTTCTGAATAACTTGTGATTTAGTATTTTATTTTTGTATTCGAATGATAATTTTCAAGGTATCCACTTCAGGACCTCTCAATTCGAAATCTTAACTTTGTGCAGATTTGTACGATAACTGTCCCATATCATTTAACTGCCACTGATCTTTAGTATATTCTAGAAATTTATTAAACGAGAGGAGTTGATCGTTTTTGATGACATATTTTCCCAAATCAGTTTTGTAGGATTTCATAATTCCCCCCCACACACACTGCATTCAAATATCTTCGCACACAGGCGTGTATATAGCCATCCACAGGGACACGGAATGAAGTGAAGAGCTGATCCGATCCAGGTGTGGATATGGTGCGGCTATATCGGCCTGCAAATCAGCTTCCCGTTCGGATCTGCACTACATATATAGCCACCTCTCATATATTTACAGATACGTATTCAAATCGACGCGGACATAAATTAATATTTAATCTTAAGTCAGAAATAAAACATTACCTCATACTTTAAAAACTTATGAAGACAGTTACATGTAGAACACTCGAAAATATATAGATTATATACAATATACACGATAAATATAGGACATTTTTTTGTAGCAATCGAACTTAGGCTTTATGAAATTCTATCATTTATGAAACGAATACCACATATGATTTTCTTGTTGCGAAAAAGGGAAAGGAAAGAAAGGGGTGAAAGTGGTGTGGAGGAGGAGGACAGGAAGAAAGGATATGGATATTCCCATCCCGGGGAACCAGTTTCTGTCCTCGTTAATTGGCCCCCTTTCTCAGCTCGCGACTCTTTGTACATTTTTGCACTGTAAAAAATAAAATATAAAATATATAACAATATAAATTGCTTGCTAAACAAAAGGTAAAACAAACGAATGGAGAACGCGCAAAGTTTAACATATAATATATACATACATAAACACGCATATATATATAGACATATATATATATATATACAATGAAGCGACGTTATTTATATATACGCCTACAGAAACATGCAAAAAAAAACTATTATATACAAAAAATATATATACATACATATATAAATATATATATACAATACTTATTTACATTGCGTATTTTAGCGTTTTATTCGACATCGGATATAAAAAAAATAAAACCAAAACCAATCGTAGAAACGCTACAAAAGTGTTCTTTTTAACAAGAAAATAATTACAAATAAATACGGAGAGCGAAAAATAGGAAATTAAAGTAAGCAACAGAAAATATTTATACACAGAGATGAAAAAAAAATCGATGGGAGGACGAGAAGTTTTAATTGAATAACTAATTTTACAAAAGGAACAGACTTTCTTTGCCAATCGCTGTAAATATCAAGCAGAAACTTAAACACTTTTCTGGCGGGTTCTTTTGATTTCTCTTATTTTGAAACTGCCTCCACTATTCGGTCGCAGCCCCCAGCCACGCCCCCCGGAAACTAACAACACAACACAGCAATGCTAAAGTGCTTTAATCAAACTGGAACACAGACAAGAAACCCAATAAACACACTTCTCTTAAGTAAAATTAAAAACTTTTTACAAACAGACAAAATAAAACACATGAACAGAAACTCTGCCAAAATCAAGCTAATAAGAAATAAATAAAATGCGAAATTAAAAAAGAAATCTTCTCTAAAGTATAGCAACAAATTGTAAAACAGAAAATAATATGAAAAAAATAACTAATTATACATAAATAATTAAATTACAAACGACGAGCAGAACGAATAATAAGAATGGAAATTAAAAAAGCTTATTTTATATATTCAAACATACAACAATAAAATAAACAAAATGACCATTAATGAACTAAATTATATATGAACAGATTATAAACCGAAATATAGTGTATATCAATGATTTTTAACCATGTAAAGAAATTGAACCAGTCTTTTTCGAATTCCAATAATTTTCAAATGGTCCGACAACAGCACACAGAGTTAGTGACGGAGCGAGAGGAGTAAGGGTTAGAGCAGCGCATTATTATTAACTAATTTAATATGCAATATATCTACTATATTAAAGAAAAAGCAAACAAAAAAATGAACGAGGAAAATTAAAATATACACAGCAAAGGAGAACATAAAATGAACACATTTTAAAAAAATGAAAATAAAACGGAAAAAATTACAAAAAAAAAACACTCAAATAAAAAAAAAACAGAAGAAAAAAACATAAGCACCGCTAGTTTTTTCATTTCCCATCGATTCCCCAGCAGCAACAAATTGTATAAGAAGTTCAACGATCCATATTTGGATCACATTTCCTATTGTTTGGTCAAAAATACAGATTTTCTGGGGGGAAAATGAGGAGTTGACAACCAAAAATAACGATATCCATCACTTTTTGAAACACTAATTTTTTGACTGATTTTCGCTGTTTTATCACAAAGGAGATCAACGAGGTATGAAAGTTCATATTTCGATCACTATTTCCATTGTTATGGCTAAATAGAGCGTTTTAGGGTAAAAATATTAGTTATCTAAAAAACATGATTTTTTCCTAGATTTTTAAAAGTGCCGCCAATACTCTATGCATTTATTTTCAATTTCGAAAATGCAGTACGGTCTGTGGTTTGTGTACGCGCTAACGTAGCAAAGACATACACCCTCCGCCGTTATCAGGGATGTGTAAACGCCGATAGTCGCCATCAAACATCGATATCTTTAAAATGAGTAAAAACATCGATGCATCGACGTTTCCATCAACCTTCCACCTCTAATAATTAATCGTATTTTGTTCGTCATTACGTTGATTTCTTCGTTCGTTTCGTGTTTTTTTTTTAAAATGGCCGATACAAAGGGCGTGAGTAGCCGCTGTTTATTTGTACAAGTGTCGATTGCAAGTCCGGTTGAATCGGTCGGCGAATGGGTGTGCCGCCAGTGTACATACATACATACGGAGATTGCACTCCGGATGGGAATTGCATTGGATGCAAACGATGCCGATGCCGCTGTTGATTTGTTAGCCGCTCCTCCTCCCCCGTCCGTTTATTGGCCGCTCCTCCTCCCCCGCCGTTCGTCCACTCGGCTGCGATGGGAAATGGGAGCGGGGGAGATGGAAACCAAGTGATTCACGACATGCCGGCGGCGTCGACATTCTTCCTTTGTTTCCGGGATCTCCCCCGCTCCTCCTCTCTCCTCCTTGCCCTCATCTTCGCTCGCCTGTGACCTACATAGTATCGCATTTTAGTCCGGAGAAATGGGGGCCCAAGAGAAATTTCCGCCGCGCGTGATGGGCATTCAAATCGAGCCAAGCATTCGCTTTCTAAGACCCAAAACACTAACTACCCGACAAGCCCTAAAAAACAAAACAATGAATAGCTCTACCTCAAATGAAAATATTGTTAGGACTTAAAGGTCTTTTCACCCAAAACTTAAAGATCCCTTTACAAAATTTCGGGTTATAATAATGTTATAATAAATACTTATAAAAGACTTGTTCCTAACTTAACGAACCTCAAGAAACTCCGCTTAAAGGGGTTTCAATTATTTAGATTTTAAAACCATATTCCTGGTAGTGAAGTAAAATAATAAGAAATGAATAATCCGCAATATTATAATATAATAAATATAAATATAATATGCCGCTCCAATTTAAACCCTTTTAAACCAATTTCTCATTTTTGCAAATCTAAACAGATTTTAAATTTCAGTGCCACTGATAATAAAGGTCAACTCAATAGAGTTTATTATTATTACGTGGATATTTATCAGTTTTGTTAACGTCGAATAATTAAAAAAATATTTAACAAATGTACATATTTTATTTTTTATATATTTTATTTATTTTATAGTCGAACACTTTATAATAATAATAATATTTTATTTATTTATATATTTTATCTGCCAGGCTCTATAAACTATCTTTATTTGGTTCTGTATACAAACAGTGCATTTATTTAAATGCCTCCTCCTTATATTGATGCACTTAATTATCTTAGTCATAGAAATCTAACCGGTAGTGAAAAATAGAAAACAATTATAACATGGTAATCCGAATAGGATAGGATAAGATATTTAGAGGTTTTGATTTTATACCCATTAATTTCGCTGATCAATGTAAAATTATATGAGTTACCCAAAAAAAAAAGAGGTTTTGACCTTTGATGATTCGATCTAAGTTATTCAAAAAATATTTTAAATTGATATTTAAAGATCCCAAAAAATATTTTCTTTAAAGTTATTAAACCAAAGCTAATGATTCACATATTTCTCCACAGTTTTCCAGCATCGAGACTCCCGGCTATGTGGGCTTCGCTAACTTGCCCAACCAGGTTCATCGCAAGTCCGTGAAAAAGGGCTTCGAGTTCACGCTGATGGTGGTGGGCGAATCCGGACTGGGCAAGTCCACGCTGGTCAACAGCCTCTTCCTCACCGATCTCTATCCCGAGCGCATCATTCCGGATGCCATAGGTGCGCCCTTGACCTTTGTCCATCCTTTTTTTAAACTTATTTATTATTTCACAGAGAAACAAAAGCAGACGGTGAAGCTGGAGGCATCGACGGTGGAGATCGAGGAGCGCGGCGTCAAGCTGCGACTGACGGTGGTGGACACACCCGGATTCGGCGATGCCATCGACAACTCCAACAGCTTTGGCGCCATACTCGAGTACATTGACGAGCAGTACGAGCGCTTCCTGCGCGACGAGAGTGGCCTCAACAGACGCAACATTGTGGACAATCGCATTCACTGCTGTTTCTACTTTATATCGCCCTTTGGCCATGGGTGGGTAGCCCTTTTCTCTGGTGATTTAAGCAATTAATAACCTTAATCTATATGCTTTCTGCAGCCTAAAGCCCCTCGACGTGGAGTTCATGAAGAAGCTGCACTCGAAGGTCAACATTGTGCCCGTGATCGCCAAGGCCGATTGCCTGACGAAGAAGGAGATCCTGCGCCTCAAGTGCCGCATTATGCAGGAGATCGAGAGCCACGGCATCAAGATCTACCCACTGCCAGACTGTGATTCCGACGAGGACGAGGACTACAAGGAGCAGGTGAAGCAACTGAAGGAAGCAGTGCCTTTCGCCGTCTGCGGCGCCAACACTCTGCTCGAGGTCAAGGGCAAGAAGGTGCGCGGCCGCCTCTATCCGTGGGGCGTGGTCGAGGTGGAGAATCCCGATCACTGCGACTTCATCAAGCTGCGCACCATGCTGATGTGAGTAAACTATTATTTTATTTGTCTTTTAGGTAACTCATATGTATTTTCTTGATAGCACCCACATGCAGGACCTGCAGGAGGTGACGCAGGAGGTGCACTACGAGAACTACCGCTCCGACCGGCTGGCCAAGGGCATCAAGGGCAAGGAGAACGGCGTGAAGGCCGATCGGGACCGGGACAGCAACTCGCAGGTGGTGGCCAATACACTGGGCGAAAAGGATCGCATTCTGCAGGAGAAGGAGGCCGAGCTGCGGCGGATGCAGGAAATGCTCGCTCAAATGCAGGCGCGCATGCAGGCCCAGCAATGAGCAGGCTCGTATATATATACTATATATACGCGCTGAGCGGAGGCGGCAATCTATACATAGTTATACACACAACTCGTATATATACATATACACAACATATATTTTGTACGCAGATTTTGGTTGCGATCGCGCTTTAATTCTACTCTCAATTGTGAAACGACGGGCGCTAATGATTCTGTATTAATTTCGCATTCTCCATATACATATATATATACAAATAATCGTAGGATCTAGGTATACACACCATATACATTTATACACACACAACCAACACCTGCCACGTAGGCAAAACGTCTGCAATGCAATTGCGCTCCATCAAAGAAAGAAAAACCAACCATCAGCGAACTCACTTCATATCACTCCTATCAAGCGAAACACACACGAAAACAACTGTATTCCTACTATGTATTTAGACGCGATTAACAATGGATTATTATTGTACTCTGCATTTAGGCTAAGCGAATCCAATCCGATTTATATTGTATGTTGATTCATTTTTGTCTGTTTACCCTTTGTGTGGTCTCAAAGCGAGCGATTTATTTAGGTTATACATACACGCAATGTGCGCGGCAGCCTTCCCTTCCGATTTTACTCGACGGCCACGGGGCGTTATCCTCCAGCTCCGCCCGATTCCTAAGCACGATCTGATTGAACAAGCAGTGATCCCCTCCTAGGCGGTCCCAGGATCCCGTGGCCAGTTGCAGAAACTCGGTTTGGCAGGCTGCCCGCTGAGAAGTGTACTCCTCAATCGGATAAAAAAAAAACCAAAACGTGAAATCTCTTTTATTATGTATATGAAGTCTTTTTTAACCCAACATAATCCTCTATGAATACATATATATGCTTTTTATACAAGTTTTAAAACATGCATTTCATTTGTCAGTGGGGTTGGGAGTCATAATAGTCTGCAAATAAGTTAATAAAATATTGTTTACCTATTTAAAAAAAATACTATATGGACTTAAATTTGTAACATTGAAAACTGCACATAGTTACATTTTTTTAAATTTTCTTCACAGCACTTAAAATAATTTTTATAATTTCGGCAATTTATTTTTATTTTGTGCAGGCGCAGGCAGGAAAAACAAATAATTATGGGAGTTTACTTAAATATGTGAAAATATTTACTAGAATAAAAACTCCACTTTAATTAAAGTTTTAAAAAAATATTAGTTCTAAAATTTCCGAAAATTTGAGTTTTTAAAAAATATAAGTTCTGAAATTTCTGAAAATTAAATTTGTATCAAACACCTGATAAAAAGCTGACCGAAATTTAACAATTCAGCAATTTAACAGTTTGGGGAAGTCCTAATCTTCCTTTCCTAACTTGTGTTAACTAAATCATTTAAATTTTTTAATTAATTCAAAGTTTTAAAAGATATGTTGATATAAGGTTAAGTTTTTCGGACAGAAAAAAAATAATTAAATTCACCAATTAACAACTATTTTCTAAAGCTATTATTAGGCTTAGAAAAAATTAAAACATACTCCTATTTAATATTAAAATATTAGAAATTCTCAATAATCACATGTTACCCCCCAACGAATACCCCATACGAAGCGGTAATCAAAACAAAACAAAAATCACGTTTAAAGCTAATTTATTCGACCTGGTGAATCCGCACATGGATTCAGATGCGGATGCGGATACGGATAAAGATAGGAGTAGTCCGTAGCCCTATTTGTTGAGGACTATGGAGAGGTAGCAGTTCCAGACGAGGGCGACACACTGCACGTAGATCACCTGGTAGCCCAGCGGCACGAAGCTGAAGTTGATCATCTGGGCGGCTGGCCAGAGCATGTAGTTGCGGACCAGGATGGTGGGGTAGGTGTCGATGATGCGCTGACGGATTTTGTCCATCGGCTCGCCATTGACCAGCGGCACCAGGAAGGACATGGCCAGCGCAAAGGGGGGCACGAAGAGGCCTTGGTCGACCAGCATCTTGATGGCTCCCCTGCGGATCGGGGTGTAGGTCTTGGGAACCCGCGACTCCAGGAAGCCGTAAAATCGCCGGAGCACCGGACCCACAAACACCATCCCCAGGGCGCCAAAACGAAGCGTTCGGCCGGCATCCCACTCGTCCAGCGACTTCTTCTCGACGCCAAACTGGGCTATCACATCGCCCAGACCCATCACCGCCGCCACATTAAAGCCCTCCTTCAGGAACACCTTGAGTCCCGACATCTTCAACTGGCCTTCGACTCGAAACCGGCAATTTCAAACACCACTCTGAATAACCGATTGCATTGCGTATGCGATTTAAAAAGGGTTGTCTATTGAATTCAAAGGGGGTACGTTGTTGGAGGCAACTCTAAACATATATCTCACAGCTTGCCCATATCGTTTTTTTAAATACTATTTAAAATTAAATAAAATAAATTAAATATTTTAGGCTTTTCAGTAAGTTAGATTAAAAAACAAGATAATTGTACCAGTAGATCATTAATTGTGTTTCGGATGGCCACTTAAACCATGATAAACTTGCTAAATATATTTTTGAAATATTTGTTATTTTTTTGACAATAACTAATAATATACATTATCAAAAAATTCAGAATATATATTTTTTTCTCTACTCATATTCATTTATGGCTATAAACGCTGATAATTGTGTAATTTATGTTTTAATTTAAAATTTATTTTAGTATGGCAACCCTGTGAATAAATAAACATAGAACAACATAAAATTATTTATATAATCTAGAATCCATGGTTCATGAACATCCTGATTTCTGCAGCATGGTAATAATTAATTTGCCAAAGAATTTTATGATCATTCCATTAATATTCTTAATGAAATAGTATAAATAAAACAGTTCGAACAACTCCAGTAACTGCTGAATTACTCAAGGATTCGGTAATTCAACACCCACTGGATAACTCGAAATTCTCATTGATATTTACAGATTATTATTTAAATAAAAAATTAAAATTTGTTCTAATCTAAGTAAAACCTAGCTAATATCGAGCAGCTGAATCACTCTACGGCTTTCAGCTTCTTGCGTTTTCGCGGCGGGCCCTCCACATCGTTGTCCTCGATGACAATGGTGACCAGGTCCTTGTCTTCCTCCAGATTGTTTCCATTCACAGGGATTAATTTACTCTTCTTGTGCTTCTTTGGCGCAATGACTTCCTCTGTGGTTTCGTTGCCAAGGACTTGGCCATTTGATTTACGCTTCTTTTGCTTCTTCCGCTCGGTGACCTCCTCCTCCTCGACTACTTCCACCACATCGTCGGGGATTTCCCCATTTGATTTATGCTTCTTTCGCTTCTTGGGGGCAATGGACTCCTCCTCCTCCTCCTCCTTGATCTCCACCAGCTTATGCCCGTTGGTTTTTGACTTCTTGTGCTTCTTGGTGGGGCCCGCTTCCTCCGCCGAATCCAGTACAATGGAATCTTTGACATCCTCAGCGTCTGACTGCTCCTGGTAGGCTTCATAGGTGGGCTTGGAGTTCATGAATTTCGGTGCGAATCCGGTGAGCACCGACTGCCGCACATCGTGCTCCTTTTGCGCCAGCGTCTGGGTGGTGGTCATCAGCGTGCTGCGGATCTTGTAGTAGTTATCAGTGCGCGACAGCCGGGCCTTGGTCTCCAGGTTCTTCTTGTCCGCCTGGCTCAAGGATTTGGCAATCTCCTTGGGCAATTCGATGCGCTGCTTGTAGTCGCGCCCGAACAAAGGGTGCCGCTCACGGAAGACGAACTTTGGCGGCACTGCAGTGGCGGGATAGACCTGCTCCTCCTGACCCTCGTCCGTTTGCTTGGCATTCCGCCGCTTGCTGACCACCACGTAGCCAGCGAGGGGCAGTTTCCGGAGCGAATACTTCCCCTTGCCGCTCACATAGCCCAGGGTTTCGCTCTGCGGCGCCGAGTAGCTGACCGCCCGCACCCGGAGGTCGCCCACGCGCTTCTTGCCGGGCAGCTTGATGCGCTTGCCGGCCAGCTGGCGGGGATCCGTGCCCTTGGGACACTGCAGCAGCCAGGCTTCGTGGGATTGCTCGTCGAACTCGCGCAGCGCATCGCCGCAGCACTTTCGCGCCGCCACGCCAGCGTCCAGCTTCTTGAGCTGCTCCTCCTCCAGGAACTGGCGGCGAAGCTCCTTCTTGTCGGCCTTCTCCATATGGGGGCGCTGAACTATTTCAATTTAATTTTTAAGGAGAAAACGATCAAGAACTGCACGTGCTGCTGGCAGCAATCGATATCAGAAGCGCGAAATGAAATGTATCGGGGAATCGATATCGGTATTAGTCGATACTTATTTACCTAGCCCTGTTCAGACAGACGGCGCTTCTGCAACAGCGACCAAATTTTCAAATTATTAGTAATATTAAAGAAAGAAATATTTGTTGTCTAGTTTTAGTTTATCATTATTCAATCGAATTTCACTCTTTTCAAATTTTTACCGCCTTCTTTCTGCTCAAGAACATTTTAAAAGATTAAATTTTCTATTTTCTATTTTTCTAAATTGATTAGGCATTTTGAATAATTAAATGTTTATTTCTCAATGCAATGCTTATTACGCTGTTGCGTTACTCGGTCGCTGTTGCTAAAATACCCTCCGTCTGAACGGGCTATTACGAGTCGTTTCCTCGAGCTATCGATAGACCGCTAGTGCCGCCCGACACACCACCCGCTCTTTTTGTTGTTGCGCCCAAAAACGTGTGCTGCGCATTTCCCAGGGTTTCCCACCATGAGCCAGAAAACCCAGAAAACGGCGCAGTTCCACGAGCTGGAGCTGGACCAGCGCATCCTGAAGGTGAGTGTTTCTATGATCGCCATCCCTGCCGATAGCTCACCTTACTTTTCCTACCAGGCGGTGGCCCAGTTGGGTTGGCAGCAGCCCACGCTCATCCAGTCGACGGCGATTCCGCTGCTCCTGGAGGGCAAGGATGTGGTGGTGCGTGCACGCACGGGATCTGGGAAGACGGCCACCTACGCCCTGCCCCTGATCCAGAAGATCCTCAACTCCAAACTGAATGCCAGCGAGCAGTGCGTGAGTGCTGTGATCCTGGCGCCCACCAAGGAGCTGTGCCGCCAGTCGCGCAAGGTGATCGAGCAGCTGGTCGAGTCCTGCGGCAAGGTGGTCCGCGTGGCGGACATAGCCGGCAGCTCCAGCGATGCGGTGACCCAGCGGCACGCCCTGGCCGAGAGGCCCGACATCGTGGTGGCCACGCCGGCCAAGCTGCTGGCCCACGCCGAGGCCGGCGGCGTGGTCGATCTGAAGCATGTGGAGACCTTGGTGGTGGACGAAGCGGATCTGGTGTTTGCCTTTGGCTACGAGAAGGATTTCAAGCGCCTGATCAAGCACCTGCCGCCCATCTACCAGGCTGTTCTGGTCTCCGCCACCCTTACCGACGATGTGGTCCGGATGAAGGGCCTGTGCCTCAACAACCCGGTGACGCTGAAGCTGGAGGAGCCGGAACTGGTGCCGCAGGACCAGCTGACGCACCAGCGCATCCTGGCCGAGGAGAACGACAAGCCGGCCATTCTGTATGCCTTGCTTAAGCTGAGGCTCATACGCGGCAAGAGCATCATCTTTGTGAACAGCATCGACCGCTGCTACAAGTGAGTAAACTATTATCTTCCCTTCTTGCGAATCCTTTGAAGCCAATGATGATAAATCGTAAAATGCAGGGAGTGGGCAGCTGGCAACAGTTGGCGCACGCATGACCAGCAACTAATCTTCTCGCTGATGGCATATCCATCTGACCTATAGCTACTTTTAAATTAGGTTCTTTTTAATACCAAATTGCCTATTTTTAGGGTTCGCTTGTTCCTCGAGCAATTCGGCATCCGAGCCTGCGTCTTGAACTCCGAGCTGCCGGCCAACATTCGCATCCACACAATCAGCCAGTTCAACAAGGGCACCTACGACATCATCATCGCCTCCGACGAACATCATCTGGAGCAGCCGGGCGGCAAGTCGACGGCCAGCCGCAAATCCTCGCGCTCCGGCGACATGGAGTCGAGTGCCTCGCGCGGCATTGATTTCCAGTGCGTGAACAATGTGATCAACTTTGATTTCCCCCGCGATGTTACGTCTTATATCCATCGGGCTGGCCGAACGGCCAGAGGGAACAACAAGGGCTCCGTTCTGTCGTTTGTGAGCATGAAGGAGGCCAAGGTGAACGATGCCGTGGAGAAGAAGCTGTGCGACAGCTTTGCAGCCCAGGAGGGCGAACAGATCATCAAGTGAGTGGGGCGAAATGTTCTCTTCAAAAGGTTTTTTCTTTGCTAAACCAATTGCAATCATTTTCAGGAACTACCAGTTCAAAATGGAGGAGGTGGAGTCCTTCCGTTACCGCGCCCAGGATTGCTGGCGCGCCGCCACGCGTGTCGCCGTCCACGATACTCGCATACGGGAGATCAAGACGGAGATTCTGAACTGCGAGAAGCTCAAGGGCTTCTTCGAGGAGAACAAGCGCGATCTGCAGGCGCTGCGGCACGACAAGCCGCTGCGCGCCATCAAGGTGCAGAGTCATCTGTCCGACATGCCCGAGTACATTGTGCCCAAGGCCCTGAAGCGAGTAGTTGGCTCGTCCAGTGCCTCTTCCGCCGGCGCTTCGGAGGCCAAGCAGCCGCGCCAGTCGGCCGCAAAGGCAGCCTTCGAGCGACAGAGCAACGATCCGCTGATGGTCAGCCAGGTGGACTTCGGGAAGAGGCGCCCTGCCCCGCGGCGGAAAAAGAAGGCGTTGTAGGGGAGCAAATGCCGTTTTAGGGGAGGTAGCCTGTTATCCATAGTCGCTTTTAGTGTGTAAGCAAAAACTTATTTTGTGCGTATGATTTAAGGAAAACATAAAAACAGCTTTATACAAGATGTGAACCGTTTATATTTGAAGATTTGTGATCATCTCAGTAGCAAAATCGCAATAAGTAAACGTTATTTGCTCAACAAATTGAAATTTTAAACCCTACTGTTTGTGTGACGGCCGTTGGGTAACTACACAGAAAAACAAGAGAGAACGCTATAGTCGGGTGCCCCGACTATCAGATACCCGTTACTCAGCTAAAGGGAGTGCGAAGGAGATAAAAAACTTTGATCCGCCGTAACTTTTTAACGAATGGTCCGATTTAAAAAATTTCTTCGACATTTCGATATGTATTCATAAACATAATAAAACTGCATTTTTACTTTTCCGAAATATTGAAATTTTTAAAATCGTATATAAGCGATTGTGGGCGTTAGTTGGCTCGTCCAGTGCCTCTTCCGCCGGCGCTTCGGAGGCCAAGCAGCCGCGCCAGTCGGCCGCAAAGGCAGCCTTCGAGCGACAGAGCAACGATCCGCTGATGGTCAGCCAGGTGGACTTCGGGAAGAGGCGCCCTGCCCCGCGGCGGAAAAAGAAGGCGTTGTAGGGGAGCAAATGCCGTTTTAGGGGAGGTAGCCTGTTATCCATAGTCGCTTTTAGTGTGTAAGCAAAAACTTATTTTGTGCGTATGATTTAAGGAAAACATAAAAACAGCTTTATACAAGATGTGAACCGTTTATATTTGAAGATTTGTGATCATCTCAGTAGCAAAATCGCAATAAGTAAACGTTATTTGCTCAACAAATTGAAATTTTAAACCCTACTGTTTGTGTGACGGCCGTTGGGTAACTACACAGAAAAACAAGAGAGAACGCTATAGTCGGGTGCCCCGACTATCAGATACCCGTTACTCAGCTAAAGGGAGTGCGAAGGAGATAAAAAACTTTGATCCGCCGTAACTTTTTAACGAATGGTCCGATTTAAAAAATTTCTTCGACATTTCGATATGTATTCATAAACATAATAAAACTGCATTTTTACTTTTCCGAAATATTGAAATTTTTAAAATCGTATATAAGCGATTGTGGGCGTTAGAGGGGGCGTGGCACCCTTTTGAAACAAACTTGCGCTGCGTAGGAACTCCTAGAATCTGCATGCAAAATGTCAATCTTCTAGCTTTTATAGTTTCAGAGATCTCAGCGTTCATACAGACAGACAGACGGAGAGACGGACAGACGGACATGGCTATATCGACTGGGCTAGTGATCCTGATCAAGAATATATATAGTTTATAGGGTCGGAAACGCTTCCTTCTACCTGTTACATACTTTTGCACGAATCTAATATACCCTTTTACTCTACGAGTAACGGGTATAAAAATGGTAATGGTCAATTTGATATTTTTATACCCTTGTAGAGGGTATTATAATTTCAGTCAGATGTTTGCAACGCAGTGAAGGAGACGTTTCCGACCAAATAAAGTATATATATTCTTGATCAGCACCAATAGCCGAGTCTATCCAGCCATGTCCGTCTGTCCGTCTGTCCGTCTGTCCGTTTCTATGCGAACTAGTCTCTCAGTTTTAAAGCTATCGCGATGAAACTTTCCCGAAAGTCTTCTTTCTATTGCAGGTAGTACATATGTCGGAGCGAGCCGTATCGGACCACTATATCTTAAGGCTCCCATAGGAATATTCAAACATATATAAGAAAATTCTTGTTAATTTGTAGGAAGTAGGCGTTTTAATTCTTGACTACTTAAAAACAAAATTCAAAAATAGGAACACTGAATCTGGAATCCCTGGAACTGCACCGAGTGAGTATTACTTTATCTGCAAGGGTATATAAGCTTCGGCTGGCCGAAGGTAGCTTCCTTTCTTGTTTAAAGATCAAGTTATTCATATCATTTTGATATGATATAAGATTCAAACATATAAACATGATTATCATATCATAAAAAATAACAAATTTAGTATTTTTGAGCAAATAATATAAAAAAGATTAACATAATCTTTATTCATATCATTTTGATATGATATGCTATTTTGATATGATATGCTATTTTGATATGATATCAAAATGATATGAATAAAGATTATGTTAATATTTTTTTTTATTATTTGCTAAAAAATACTACATTTGACCTAAATCATTTCGGCTTTTTATACCCTTGCAGAGGGTATTATGATTTCAGTCAGAAATTTGCAACGCAGTGAAGGAGACGTTTCCGACCCCATAAAGTATATATATTCTTGATCAGCATCACAAGACGAGTCGATCTAGCCATGTCCGTCTGTCCGTCTGTCCGTCTGTCCGTCTGTCTGTTTCTACGCAAACTAGTCTCTCAGTTTTTGAGCTATCAGGATGAAACTTTCCCAAAAGTCTTCTTTCTATTGCAGGTAGTATATATGTCGGAGCCGACCGGATCGGACAACTATATCTTATAGCTCCCATAGGAACAATCGGAAAAAAAAAACTTTAAAAAATTCTAGCTTCGGTGTTTTTTGAAATATTATCTTCTACTTTTGGGGATGTTATTTTTTAAATATATCTGAATTTCGAATTAATTATTTAAAAAATCGGACTACTATATCATATAGCTGCCATAGGAACGATCGGAAAATTAATGGAAAAGTAATAGGAAATAAATTCTAGCTTCTTTGGATTTTATTGTATTATCTTCTACTCTAGGATATGGCACTTTTTAAATATTTCCGAATTTCAATTTTAATTTAATCAAAATCGGACGACTATATCATATAGCTGCCATAGGAACGATCGGAAAATTAATGGAAAAGTAATAGGAAATAAATTCTAGCTTCTTTGGTTTTTATTGTATTATCTTCTACTCTAGGATATGACTCTTTTTAAATATTTTCGAATTTCAATTTTAATTTGATCAAAATCGGACGACTATATCATATAGCTGCCATAGGAACGATCGGAAAATTAATGAGAAATATTAGAAAATTGAACATTTTTGCGATTTGTTAATTAATAGGAATAATCTGCAAGGGTATATAAGCTTCGGCTGGCCGAAGCTAGCTTCCTTTCTTGTTATTGATATGAAATAAGGTAGAAATAACCCTATTTCAGATCGCCTTTTTTTCTGTGTAATAGACCAGGCAGACGGAGAAGGCACTAAATCATGCCCATCTTCTCTAACTGAACAGCAGAGGGAAAACAAATTTACGGGTCACATTACCCAAATTACCGGTAGATCGTTGCAAATCGCAGCCATGATTGCCGCAGCAGCTGGAGGCCATTTAAGCTCGTCATCCCGGGGAACAATAGATCACCATTAGGGGCCATTTGGGTAATTTCCACAGCAGTTGTTAGATGAAATTTAAGCGAGGCGGGGGATTCGTTTTTAACATTTTATTATTGTCATTGAAATAGTTAACATTCATACAATTATTTATTCATTTATTTATAGCGTTTATGCAATACAATAATAATAATCATGAGGATAATAATAAAAAACTATTCGGTTCGATCTGCGCGCCTTAGTATATGGCCAAGTCTGTCTGTCTATAAAGTTGTCTGAGCAATCGAAACGGGAAATTGGAAACGGAAATGGGAAATTGGTAACTAGAAACAGGAAACTGGAAATCAGGGGGACAAGAGGCGGTTTCGGTTGCGTTACGGTTACGGTTACGGTTTCTCATCCATCGACTATCGGTAGTAATGACTTTTATAATATCGCTTCTTTAAGTGCTAAATTAAACATATACATTTAAGTTAATTTAGCATAATTGTAATACAACTCGCTAGGTTTAGGTAGGTATAGGTATGCGCGGTATCCCTTGTTCCTATGGACAGTATTATTTGACTATTTCGGATGGGGGATGGCCACGAACTGGAGGAACAAATGCCCTGGACTCTCTCCTTCGCTATTGATCTATATAAATATATGTATATGGTTTATGGTAGTAACTTAGGGTAACCAACATGAAATCACATCGCAAATTAAGAATGGATAAACTAATAACTGATATACTGATAACTGATACTGAGGAAGAGGCACAAACACGAAGTTAATGAATCTAGACTAAAATGCAGCCATACACATACATGTATCTGTATCTATGTGGATATAGATCGGTATCGGTACATATATCTCTATAAACGTTTTGCTCTCATTACTTTGTATATAATACGTATATACCATTATCGATTTATGCTTTATTTTGTTACGATGCTAAAAAATGTTCGCTTTAATTCAATCCCCGTTTTTTTTTTTTAATATCCTCTATGCGGAATTCCCACATTCGTTTCCTTTCCTTTCGTCACGCTTTTTTTTACGCTTTTCAGTTTTTTTTTTTCATTTTTTGTTTTCTTTGTAACACACATACAGAAGTCGTTTAGATTATTGTTGCAACAAGACGTAAAAATATACATATTTTCATCAAAAAATGACCATCGCTCAGTGCTACCGTCTCTAATTGAAGTTGTTTTGTGGGTGAAGGTGAAGAAGATCCCGAAGATCCCGAAAGATCCCGCAGCAAGACATCCTCGCTCCTTGCAAGACCTTCATATATATACCGTAGATATACGCGAATTTCGTAAGAGTAGTAAGAACGACAAAAAAAAAACATTAAAATATGCCCGAAGCGATCGATTTCCTGGCGATATCCGTGATATATCCTCAGATATAACTGCCGCACCGGGGGCATGTGTGTGTATGCGGATGAGTGAGTGAGTTTCCGTCCATCCAGGCCAGCTTAGATGGGCACATAGTTGCCTTTGGGCTTGTAGAACAGCTGGCCGCGCAGCAGACGACGCCGAATCTCGGAGAGCAGCAGTCGCTTCTCCTTCTTGATCTTCTTGAGCACACCCTTGTTCTCCTGGGCACGGCGCGACAAGTAGGGCAGCACCTCCTCCACAGGGCCATACGGGATGTACTTGTACGCCGAGTAGCCCGCCTGGCCTGTAGTTGGATAAATTTATTATATATTATGGTTATAAATTTATTTAGGGTATTTAAAACTCACCCAGTGGGAAGGTGATGTAGTCGCACATGCCCAACAGTTGGCCAAAGCAGATCACCTTGTCCTCGGGCGAAATGCCGATCTCCTTCATCTGCTGGATGGCAAAGCGCACGGTGTCCTCGTTGTGCGAGGCCACCATAATGCCAATTTTCCGGGCATCGTCATCACAGTCCTTCATCAGCTGTGAATATGATTTAATTTAATAAAGAAGCGGTTTAAATATAATCTTATCCCTTAGCCCACCTTAATGCGTCGCAAGCACTCGGCCAAAGTCTTGTGATACATGTCCGTGGTGGCCTCGAAGGTGGGATTCACCGGATCCGGATATCCCAGAGACTTGGCGCGGTCACGCTCCTGATCCATATAGGCACCGCGCACCAGCTTGGCTCCGAAATAGAAGTTCTGGCGCTTGGCCTGCTCCAGATCGGTGTTCACCTCGCGGAACGTTTCGCGCAGATAGCACTGGTACGTGTTGAAGACAATGGCCTTGTCCTTGTTGTACTTGCGCATCATTTCCAGGGTGATGCGCGAGATGGCCGGCTGGAAGTAGGTCTGCTCCGCATCCACCATGATGCGCACATCCAGATCGGCAGCAGCCTAGGGATTTTCAAGAGTTAATATTAATAGGAATTCTCTAAGCGGAGTGACGACTCAAACTCACCTTTACAATCGTGTTGAGGCGACGGATCATGTTCCTGAACATCTCCTCCTCTTTGGGCGGTATTTGTGAGATCAGTCGACGCATCTGGCCGGTTTGGGGATCGGGAACGCGGAACGTGTCGCTCAGCTGCGAGTCCTCGTCCACGATGCCCGACCAGGGGAACAGATGCAGGATTCTGCAATGTGATAATATACGGTTTGATATTAATGAAGGGGATTACAAGATATATAAGAGGACTCGGACTCACCCCTCCTTATCGGACGTCACATTGTTCAAGAACTCTTTCACGTCCTTATTGTCGCCCAGCGTTGCATAATACTTCTCGAGATCCTTGATGGTCTTATGGTGGGTCAGCACATTGCCCTGACCGCCCACCATGTCCTCCATGTACTTGCGTGTGCGCATAATCACCTCGGACAGTTGCAGCTAAAAAAAAGGAGGAAAATGGTATTGTATTAAATCATATAATCTGTGATATTTACACCAAATGAGGATATGTTGGAAAGTGTATCAAAACCTATATAAAATGGTTTGACTATCTAGAGAGAATTCTGATTTTAAAAATTATGTTTATAAAAATAAAATGGTAAGTATTAAATTAAATCATATAATATAAGATATTAAAACCAAAGAAGGAAAAGTTAGAAAGGGTATATCATATAAGTGTGATATTAAAACTAAAACAAGAGAGAACGCTATAGTCGGGTTGGTGTCCCGACTATCTAATACCCGTCACTCAGCTAAAGGGAGTGCGAACGCTGTACTCGGGTTGGTGTCCCGACTAATAATCGTAACTCAGCTAAAGGGAGTGCGAGGGAGATAGATATATAAATTTTGATTGCGTGTAACTTTTTAATGAATGGTCCGATTTGAAAAATGTCTTCTACATTTCGATAGGTATAAATATACACAACAAAATTGCATTTTTACTTTTCGGAAATCTTTAAAGATGTGGGCGCAGGACCCATTTTAAAATCGTTAGTGGGCGATTGTGGGCGTTAGAGGGGGCGTGGCGCTCGGCTAAAATAAACTTGCGCTGCGTAGGAAGCCAAAGAATATGTGTGGGAAATCTCAACCTTCTAGCTTTTGTAGTTGCTGAGATCTCAGCGTTCATACAGACAGACAGACGGACAGACAGACGGACAGACGGACATGGCTAGATCGACTCGGCTGGTGATCCTGATCAAGAATATATATAGTTTATAGGGTCGGAAACGCTTCCTTCTACCTGTTACATACTTTTGCACGAATCTAATATACCCTTTTACTCTACGAGTAACGGGTATAATAAAATGGTTTGACTATTTAGGGAGAGTTCTAATTTTAAAAAATATGTATATATAAAAAAAGCTATTTAGGGAGAATTCTAATTTTAAAAAATGTGTATATAAAAAAAAGAAAAATGGTATTGTAATATGTTATATTAAAACCAAAGAAGGAAAAGTTGGAAAGGGTAACTATATCAAATAAGTATATTAAAATCTATAGAGAATAGTTCGACTATTTAGAGAAAATTCTGATTTTAAAAATTATGTATATAAAAAAAATGGTATTGTATTAAGTACCAATACAGAATAGTTCGACTTTTTAGGGAAAATTTTAAATAATTAAGTATGTTTCGGTTTAAAATGTACACGGATTTATTTTGTACTTCAGTTTTAAACCTTTTAGAAGCTTTAATGACAATTATATGCATCGGCGACTACCGTTCACTATTCATTAACACCAATTAACAATGTTCTCCCTTTGCTGTTTATTAACATTAACCCCCCTGTGTTCCCCGTATAAATGAATTATCTGGGACTTACGGGGATAATGGGATTAGGGGATTGTGCGAACTTACCAGCAATTGTGGACGGCCCAGGGCGGTGAGTTTAATGGCGGTAATGCCCGTTCCGAAGGTGGCGCCTGCAGGTCGATATTCCGATCAATCGATGGTTGGTTGTTCGGTGTTGGTCGTTGGAAATGAAAAGCGTTTGGGGGAGAAGAGCAGAGCAATCGGTGAATAATGCGATGCGATGACAGAGTCAAAGATCGGAAAGCGGAATCTACGGGTATACAACACGTATCTCTAACTACGGCACTCTACAAACATCAAATGATACGGATACGATTACGAATACGAATACGTTTCGAGGTACAGATACGACTACAAAACAACGGCTACGGTTGGTAGAGTTTGAAAAAATATCGACAGTTGGCAATTTCTCGATATTTGATGTGTTTTCCCTTCAAAATATCGATAATATCGAATCAATATTGGGTAAATATCGAAAACATCGATAATTTTCAAGCCCTAACTGTTAGCCACACACAATCAGCTAAAAGCGCATACGAAAGGACCAAAATTTGCTTTGGCCATCAATGGTTTACTCTTTTTCGTGTATTTCGAATATTTATGGTTTAGTTTTCAATATTACTTGTTGGTATTTCTTGGGGAGTGTGCTGTTTAATTTCTCGCCTTACCCGTGGCCACTGCCCGGGGCGCCTTGCGATCATCATCTTTTCATTTTTGGAATTTTGCAACGATTATTTTGGTTTTGGGGTTTTGATTAAGTTGGGTTAGGTTTTCGATAAACGATGGGTTGGATGCCACATTTGGGATATTTGCGGGGCAGAAGAAAGAATTTATTAATCATCAATTAAAAGTTGATTTGAAAATGTGAAAGGTAGAGAAAGGTAGAAAAGAAGAAAGCTTGGCAGGAGAAACAGCCTAAACACCACAGGTTGGGGCGAACTCGAAGAATGCAATGTCTTATAAAATTCGATTTCTCTGAGTATTACATTTCTTGATTTTATTTAACTTATTTATTCCCTTGCAGAGGATATTTAAATTTTAATTTTAAACATCAAATATCTTTTTTAAATGAATAATATTGTATAGCATTAACTCGATATAAAATCCATAAAAAATAAAACAATAACTTTGACTGCATGCTTAACAATTAGCAATGGATGCTTTTGCTTTTGCTTTACACGATCTAAAAGTGAAACGGAACGTTTGTTTTGTACAAAAGGAAAGGAGGGGATCAAGGAACTTGCATGCCGTTCAACAACACCGGGTGTGCCAGAGGTGCAAGGATCGGCCAGGGACAACTGGCCAAGGACATACCCGAAACGGCCTCCAGACACTTGATGAAGATCTCCATGTTCCGCTCGCAGGTGGCCTCGTTCAGGTAGAAGTAGGTGCGAGCACTGCTCACCTTGTAGCGCCGATCGGCGAAGGACTTGTCCACATGATACTGCGGCATGCTGCCCTCCTCCTTGTGTTCGCCGGCACTGGAAACGGAAGACCTGGAAGGGAAATTAAAATGTTTTAATTAAATATTAATATATATTAATACTTATGTATTTATAGTTCATAGCAAAATGGGACAACACTTACTCAACTTCTCGTTTCTCAGCCTCCTCCTGGCTGATATCCTCCTCAACGGAATAGTCGAGAATCGGCTTAACGCCGAACGATCTTAGCCTGCAATGGTTGAAGTTCCATTAGCTCACGTTTGCAATTTGCTTTCAAGACAATTTAATTAGTAAAATAATAGAATTTTCTTTATGATTTGGTTAGCAATTAGTGGAGTTTGGCAATGAAGTGCATAATTTTTGGAATTTCTTTTCATTCTTGTTAAAAAGGGAGCAATTTCCAATTGGGGATTCATATCCAATGGTTCGGGTAGGTCTTTCATGCAGACAGACTTGGGATGGATTCCCATAATTGATTTTTTTTAGGGATTGAACATCATTAGTAGCAACATGTGTGCATGTATATAAATTGCGGTATATAGATACAATATACGTATATGGTCTGCTACTTTGACTTATTTATAATAATAAATTAGTAGAAATTACTAGAGTTAAAGGGTTTATAAATTAGGAATTTTTAACGCTTTCATTATCTGTATAATAAAACCAGGTAACAATTTTAAAAAATTTTTTTATAACAATTTAACAATTTTTTTTATAGGGGAAAAACGGCGTCTTTCAATTTTCCGGAAAATAAAAAAAAAATAAATCGAATTAATCGAAATTTAGACTAAAACCATATACGTATACGCATGAATGTTATCGGATATTGTATAGGGATGCATGGAGTGCTGAAAGGGAGGGGTTTAACCTCTCTAGGGCGGGCACGATCGTGTGCCGATTCTCGCCGGCCACAAAGTGTCCGTAGAAGCTGGACTTCATCAGCAGGACGAAGAGCTTCTGGCCGAGCAGGTTGCGGGCCAGTTTTAGCAGCTGTGTTTATCGGCGTTTTCGGTTATCGGTGATATCGGGAGTAGGTTTTTTTGTTTTAAAAGTGTGGGCATTTAAGCGGGTTTCGCATAACCGTTTCGCAGACCCGATTCGCGGGCAAAATAAAAACATGAAGTAAACACAAAACCATAGGGGCGGCAGAAAGCAATATAGAAAAGAAAAAAAGAAAAGGCGATAAGTGAGTGGGAGTGTCGTGGTGGGCAATTACCTTTCCAATGTGGGTATGATCTTGATCTGATCCTCGCCGGCGACAAAATGGCCATAGAAGGTCGCCTTCATCAATGCTGTAAATAACCGTTGACCCAATACGTTCTTTGACCATTTCATAAGCTGCGAATTTTTCGATTGTTTTGATCGGTTTGGTTTTATGCGGTATATTTTTAGTAAGTTTTTTCGGTTATCGGTTTTATCGTTATTTTTAATATTTGTAATATTTTGTTATGTTGTCCGTGCGGCGGCAAAAATTGAATTTGATACAGTTTTAATTTTCTTTTTTTTTTTAAATCATTAAATTGCGGTATAAAAAGGACAACGGGTTCTTCTTTTGAAGATAAAAAGAAACCATATACCATCGATTCTAGCTGAGATCTCTCCTGTTTTTCCAATCCTCCCTGGTTCGTTTAATTTTTCAACGACTGGATCGCACATAAATCATTTGGAATTTGGCCAAATGGCAAGAGACAAAAAACGTGAACCGAGTCAAGGCCAAAAAATCTCTGCCAAAGTCCAACAAAATACAGTGTGTGGAAGGCCAGAGAAAAAAGGCGACAAAAAGTGCGGAGGCGGCAATGTGTATTATTCTTGGGAAGCTGGATGTTATTTAAAGGAGTGCCAACTCAACACGCACATAAACATTCGATTACCAAATCGAGCTGAGCAGTCAAAGCAAGACGATCCGATCCGATCCGTCTCGGGTCCATCAAAGAAAACCAAATGACAACCTAAGAGAAATTTTGGTCAAGATAAAAATAAGCACTTCCTGTTACAAAAATAATAAACAGGATTTCGATTTGGTTCACAAAATTCAAAATGATGGCTTGTGAAGTAAAATACTTTTTAATTCAGGCTAATAATGGTTAAAACTAATTTAAAAAGGTATAGGTCACGTACAATGTACATACATTATTATACTGGTATAAACAATAAATATTGGAATTCATCCTATTCTCACATTTCGTTTTGAATATTTCTTCCAAAGAAACTTATTTTAAATCAATTATTACAATTTTGGCAACCTTTTAACGAGTTTAACTTTAGGAAAATGAAAAGCAAAGGAATTAAATCAAGAATCTCACTTGGCAACCCGACAAAATGCAGTTAAGGATCATCAAACTAAGTTTGCAGTTTCCACACGAACGAAAGCGGAAAAACGGAGAAGAAATAAGATCATTGGCCTTTGATGAATGTTTCCTGGGCACGTGTGTGATCCGCTTGATGCGGGATCCATCAGATGAATGGAGGAGAGCGGTCAGGAGTCATTCGCCGTCTGGGAAGAACCGGTTTGGTTGACAGCACTGAAGTTAAGGTAATTAATTGGGTACAAAGCTTGCCGAGAAGAACACTCAGCCATCGCAGCCGACAATATACAATACAATCAACCAAAACTGGTTACATAAAACAAATTCCCCTTTCGTATTCTTTTTTTATTGTTTTTTTACCAAAAGTTTTTTGTTGAATATTTGGTTCTTTCATTTCTTCTTTGGCAAACAATTCGAGCAGGACAGGTGTTTGCCGTTGAGCTCTGGCCCCCAAGAAAAAAAGGGGGGAAAAAACAACCCACAGCTAACACCACCCCCCGTCGGTCACCTGTCACACTGTCTCTCCCACTTTCACCCCGTTTTTTAGCCATCAATACCTATTCTCACACATCACGAGACCCACACCGCTCGGTCGCTAAAAGCAATCGAGACGATACTGTTTATAGAAATAGCGAACACATGAGTACACTCTGGTAAAAAGAAATGTAGGGTGTTATTTGTAATTTTTTAAAAATGTAAATTTCTAAAAAAAAAAACACTCATTACATTTGTACACAATATTTTTTTTGTTAGAAAACTTAATTTTTCAAAGCCACGAAAAACAACAATATAAAAAAAATATATTTTAATTATATTTCTCGAATTAAAGGAATTAAATTTTAATATTGTAAACAAATCTTTAAAATTTCTCCCACAATCTGTCTAATTAAAGAACATTTATCGAAAAAAACTTTTGTTTTCAACAACAATATAAAAAAAAAAATATTATAATTATATTTCTCATATTAAAAATTTTTTATTTTAATATTGTAAAGAAATCTTTAGAATTTAGGTTTTCACTCACAATAAAGATTTATCGAAAAAAAAAACTTTTTTGGTCCGACAACCTACTTTTTGTTTAAGGGTTTATTTTTTTGTGTTTTTCTCAGTGCTTAAAATGAAAAGGGTGGGCGGGGTGCAAAGTCGATGCCTGACTAATGCAATGTGAAGTCGTCGGTCCCAGGGAGTCGTGCGAATATTCCCAACGACAGCCATTTAGCCACCCATTTATGCAAATTGCATCGAGCAAAAAAAGGAAAACAGCAGATAAATAAATAAAACCCTTGACGACGACGCATGCACTTTAAGTAATCGATAAGCAATCAAACGATCGCCATGTGATAAGAACGCCAACGTAATTAAATAGAAACACGCTAGCGATGGGGTGGAGGAGTGGGGAAATGCATGGGGGGTTTCCCCAACGATTTTGATTGGCCCTCATTCGGGGGCCTGACTATATAATGGTCTACATAATCCATAAGCGTTGCTGAGCAAATACGCACGAGTTGAGAGCAAACAACGAATGGGGTAAGGTCACTATGGCCCCTTGGTAATTTGCATGCCAGAGTTTTCCCTTTTTCCTGCCGTCAATCAGGCACTCATTCAATTTTCTTTCTGTGCGACTGCAGCACCTGCCAGAAAGTGGCATTAAATGCAACAAGCAATTAGCCATGAATTCATCAAAATGATGGGAAAAACGGGGGAAAAGGAAAAGGGAAAACTCTCTTGAAAAGCGGAACACAAGCGGAAAAATCGGAAGGAAGGAAGCTATAGCACCTGACCCGAGTTTTTGGTAGAAAAGCAGCAGGTGGAAGTTTGTCCCCTCAACTTGAAGTTAAGATTGAAAAATAGCAAAAGAAAATCGTACACCTGCCTGAAATCACAATGATATTTTTAATAATTTATCACACAGAAAATAATCGATATGATATATGGTCATTTCTACCTTATTTCATATCAATATGAAGCCGAAATGATTAATGTTCAATTTATAATTTAGACATATCAACTTGATATTTTCTCATTTCATAAAAGTTATAAAAACACTGTTTTAAAATACCAAATTTAGTATTTTTGGAACACATATTGTAACAAAGAGATACAAATAATGTCTATTCGTATCGAAATGATATGAATAACTAAATATTTAATATCAATCTGATCTTTTGACCATTTTGAGGTGCTGTAAAGGCATTCCCCCCTTTATTTCTCAGCCTGTGGAACCGGAAAACCAACAACGAGAGAGCTCAGCTAGGCGATAGATTGGACCAATAGTTGGGTCAAGGGTCGAGGGACGCAGGACTCGGCAGAAGGAGGATCGCGGGCGGAGGTCACCGGCCAACTCACCGTCATGTTGTGCTCGACCAGCTTCTCGCTGGAACAGATCATGTAGACCAGATAGGCGCGCATCAGTTCGCCGGTTGTCTTGCTCTTGAAGGCGGCAATCGGATCGTTGAAGGTCACGTCCAGGGGATCCCTCTGCGGCGAGCCAGCGGGCGAGGGGTTCTGGCTCTGCGACGAGTCCTGCTTGGCGGTCCGCTTCACCGCCTCGCCGGCCACCAGGTCCGGTTGGACCAGAGTGGAGGCCTGCAGCGGCCGATTGCCGGAGTGCAAGAAGCGAGCGCCATTGATCCCGCTAGCGGGATGATGATGATGATCCGATGATGATGATAGAGAAGATTCTTCGCCGGCTGCTGTGGTGCTCCTCCTGCCGCACTGATGGTAACTCCGGCAGGCGGCGACGACGGCCGCGGAACTGCTCGACTTGCTGCTATTACGGCCGTAGACCAAACTGATGGCTGTTCGTTGGGAGCTCAGCGAACGAAGTAGAGCCATTACAAGGGATTCTGCGGCTTATTTGGGCTATCTGCTCTCCGGGTTCTGAGAAGGGTATTGAGACTTGCTCCGATCTCGGCTGTTGCTGCAAAAAACAAGGTAAAATCTGAGCTAATATCTCTAGAATCTCGACAAATCACTATAAATCTAAGGCAGGACAGGGGCGTGGGCAAGATTTTTTAAAAGGGGATTCGAAAAAGTTGTCACTTTTAACACGAGATTGTTGTTGCCACATTATTAAAATTTTTAAATGAATTGTTTAATTGTTATAACTTTTTCACAATAATTTTAGGAATCGATTTATTTGATGGATTCTTGAGATAATAATTGATTTTTCCACACACATTTTGTAGTAAAAAAAATTAAAAAATTGGATAAATTAGCACCCCCTTTTGCCAGCGCCACTGTTCACAGCTGATTTTGCCTGATTTGCGGAGAGCTTTTCGCTCTGGGTCGCTCTCTCCGTCTCTCTCGCTCGCTCTGAATGTTATACAACAACTGCGAGAAGCCGAAAAAACAGCGCACAACACAAACACACGTACGCGACGTACGAGTACACCTCCGAAATGTTCAATTAAAAAACAAATTCAATTTCTGTTGCTGCTTCTGGCCTGATATATCTTTCGCTTTAATGTGTCTTTTTCAGTTATTTCTTACTTTGCTTTTATTATTTATTCTATTACGCTTTGAGCGTTGTATACGCCGCAGAAGCACGAAACCGAATGCGACGAAGACGCCAGAAAAACGGGGCGATTTGAGAGGCGAGGCGAGTTTCGGCGAATTCAACGAAGCGGAACGAGGAAGGATACGACACGAAGCGAAGGCGAGAAAATCCTTTCGCTCGTGTTTATGTAACTGTAAATGTAACTGTGATTGTGATTCTAACTGTGACCGTGTGACGTCACAGGCATGCGAGCCCCTTTGATTTTGATTAGGCATTTGTTTTGATTTAATTGAAATGCGCCGCAAACACACACTAATTGGTGTGTTAATTGCCGCTCTCCTTGATTCTCCCCCATTTTTCCTCTCTCTCTGCCTCTTTTATTCCTCCCATTACCCCACATTTCTCGTTTTATTTATTAATTAGCAGCCCGCTAAATAATCGCTAGACGAGAAGCTGCAATCAAATCGAAAAAAAAACTTGGCGGGTTTCATTGCTCAGATTTCATTACACTTCATTATGGTCAATCTCCCATCCCCCTCTCGCTCTGGCCGCCGTGGTTAGAGGGAGACGCAGAGCTAGCAAACTTAAATTGCGAATTCATCAGAAGTGTTTTTTACTTTTTTACTTTTCCTTTTTTGTTGTTGCCATGCGGCGAATTGTACCCATTATATAACTTCGCTCTCCCGCTCTCCGTAGAGATCCTTTAATGATACGAACGTGCGTATGTGTGTGTGTGTACATTGTACACTGCAAAATTTCTCCTCGCTTTCCCTACCTTATTTTCCTTGCGGTTTTTCCTCTTTGCCCCAACTTATATTTAGCTTTTTTCATTTGCTACTTCAAAAAACAAGCTGAGATACATAACTAGAAACAAACCATACAACGAAAACAGGGTAAACAATTGGGAATTTGTTGAATTTGCTTCTTCAAAATTTTGTACAATCGCCAAACAATTTTCCGGAAAAACTTGTGTGTTTGACAAACTTTTCACAGCAACCAACGACTTTTCGTCGTTTTTTTTTTCTTCAAGTGCATATTCTCACCTCACAAAAGACACACAAGTACTATAATAATAATTTAAAATTTTTGTATTTTATTCTATGTTGTTCTTTTCGAGGGTTTTTGGTTTTTTGTTGCTGCTGCGCGGGAGAGAGCGTGAGCACGCGCGAGAGGGAGAGAGAACGACTGCAAGGGTCTGAATTCGCGAACAAACTGAAACAAATGAAGCAAAATTAAGGCCAACAACGGTGGTGAAAGCTCCAAAAAGCTTCCGAGAAATGGTCAAAACGAGTGCTGAGCTGAGCCAATAGTGTGGGCGGGGGGAGGGGAGGGACGAGGGGGCGTGGCGCGCCACCAGACAGCAGCTGTTTGCCTTGCACGTGAGCGAAAAAAGTGAATCGAATCGAACATTAATCGCCATCTTGTCCCCTCTTTTCGCCCAATTAAAAGCGAGCCGCTTATCTACGCCCCTGGCGGTTGGCCAGGAATCGTTCTTGTTCTTATCTTATCAGCCGACTGCCCCTCCTCCCCCGCCCACTTACTGTACCGCCCACTCGTTTAATCTGCCGGTTAAAAAGCGAGCTTTTGCGAGCATCTGGCAAGGTAAACAGGGTTGCTTTGGTCACAGACGATAACAATTTATCGTAGAAAGTTTAAAGCTCGCCATGTTAAATTTCCGTTTAAAAAATTTGAATTTGAAATCATCCCATTATTACATACAGTAAATCCAGAAACTTTAATTTATAACGATTTTTAGAAAAAAACGTGATCTAAATGCAAAAAATTTAAATTTATGAAAAATGCTGAAATTGGTTAAAAGATACATATGTATATGTAGCTAGTTTAACTAATTGTAAAAGTTAAATTACATCCATATACTTTAATATAACAAGCTCATACTTTACTCACCTGGTTACCTGTATTTTAAAGAAATTAAAGAAAATTCGTGGCAATACTTTACCACAGCATGTATGTAAGAACCATAACGGATTTTTGTGGTTGGAAGATTCCTGTGACACCTTATATAACACTCAAATGAAAACCTCCATTTTCCACTTTTAAATGAATATATTTTTGTTTGCAAATTGTTTGCGTTTTGACAAATATAGCAATAAATTACGACTACATATTAGAAATAATAATAATTAACATTAATGAGCGTTCGGATGTTGTTGTTTTTGCTGCTTATGCGAACGCGGCCCGATAAAAGGAGAAACTTAACAAGAAAAAAAACAGAACAAGTTATCTAAATACCAAATATATGGATATATGCGTGTGAAACTGACGCGGATTTTCTCCGGCCGCCATCATAACAAACAATACATAATTCGCTACCGCCGCGACTCTCTTCTCGAATTACCTCCTTTTTTGTTTTTACATAATATTATTGACTAAATTGTAGATCAACGAATGTCTGTTTTCTATCTCCATGCGGCACCACCAGCAAATAGCTTAAAGCATTGTAAGTATCGAAGAAGGGCGCCTAACCCCACTCTCAGACTATCAAGGTTTGCAATTGACATTCTACTTTCCAAGGAGAATATTCCTTCTTTTTCTTTTTTTAATTATATAATAATGCACTTTACGGGGGGGTTAAGGAAACGAAATATTCTGAATATGTGTGTAACATTTTAAAACCTAATTAAATAGTTTACAGTTCTCAAACGGAATATAAAGAAGTTTTCGTCTTCCCTGCTATAAAAGTTGATATGCTTAGCATGCACTTTCCTACTTCCAAGGTTTCAAAAAAAAAAGAGAATATTTTGGATAATTCAACAGAATCGAAAAGGAGAAGTTACGTAAATCGTTTTTGGTAATGCTGGTCGGCCAGTGGTGCTGGTGGTGTCGGTGGTGCTGCTGCTGCTGCTGCTGGCGCTAGTTGGACTTGGTGAATTCAGTGCGGTTGGCGGCCACTTCGGCCAGAATGAGTAGATCTGAGGTAGAGGAGGTCACATCGAAGGCCGCCGGCGAGGAGAGCGACGAGGATGACGACGAGGAGTTCGAGGACAGCGGCGGCGAGGCCGACGACGAGGTCACAGAGGTCACCGCCTTCGCGGGCGCATTGCTCTGATTGAAGTAGTAGCTGCCGTTGATGGTCAGCGGCAGAATGGAGGCCACCTCCTGCTCGATGGCGCTGACATCGCGCCGCGTGATGCTCTCCTTGCGCGCCTTGCGCCGCTGGCTGCCCACCGCCTGTTGCTGCTGCTTGATCCTCACCAGCTGCTCGCTGGTTGTCGAGGCTGCCACAACAGCTGCTGCTGCTGATGCATTAGAGGCCACTGATCCGGTGCTATTTGAATTCCTTTGCTTCTTGCTGCCGCTGAACTTCTTCTTCTTTTTGGTGCTACGCTTGCGCTGCAAGTAGGCATCCAAGCTGAGGGCCGGCAGCTCCTTGATCTTCTCCTCGAGATCGAAGAAACCACCGTTGCTGGACTCGGAGACGCTGCGCAGATGCTTCTGCCTGGAGTCCGGACTTCTGTTCTGGCGTTCCGGTGGCGAAACGGGCGGCGTATTGGGACCCGCATCTAGGGGTATGTCCACAAAGTTGCCACCGCTGATCATTAGATTTCCTGCCGGCGGTGAGCGAGCCTTGCTCTTCTTGGCTACGGCCGCCAGTTGGCCCGAGTTGACTAGCTCCTGGTAGATCTTGCCCTTGCAGGAGCGCGATGACTTGGCCTTCTTGCTGGGCGAGCCACCAGTGACGGCCTCCTCCTCGCTGGAATTGCTCGAGTTGCTCGAGGGCAACGAGCGTTTATTGACGTTCAAGTTGCCATTCGGAGGATTGCCGCCGCCGCCTGGCATGTGGGCGGATAGAAACTGACTGGTCTCGCTGAGCACCTGCTGCAGGGCGTAGTCCTTCTCCTGCACTTGGACTTGCAACAGCGAGCTCAGTTCGCCCATTTGCGTTTCGTCCGCCAGCTTAAAGTAGTCGCGGCGCAGCAGGGCACGCGGCATCAACTCGCCTCGCTCGGCCCACTGCATTTGGAGGGCAGTCGGCGGCTGACTGGCTGGCTGATCCTCGTTGGGTAAAGGTAGACCGGTAGCCGCATTGCTGGGACGCGTGGCCAGCGTTCGCAGCGGCGGAGCGGGCAGCTTGTACCACTTGAAGTTGGGATTGGCATTGAAGAAGGCGTCCTTGTTCTGCAAATAAGCGAGAAATTTTAATTTTAATTTAATTAGTTTATTTAATATCCCAGCGCTACAAGTGCACACTTATAATTATCGCGCTAGTCACATTGAGTTGATATTTTTAATATTTTTAACTAATTATTATTTTTAAGATATTTTAACAATTTACCTCACTTACTTACTTAATTACTAACATAAAATATTTTGTAGTTTCCTAATTACCATTATATTATTTTTAAAAAATTTTTTTTCTCTTAGAAAAATTGTAGGGACTTTAGGGAAAACCCGATGTATATTAACTAAAACAAGATAATTCCTATTAATTTAAAAATCATATTATTTTGGCTTTTTTTCCTGTCCTTCCTATGGCAGCTATATAATAAAGTCGTCCGATTTTTGTTTAATTTAATCGGAAACATTAAAAAAAATCTATCCTAGAGTAGAAGAGAATACAAAAAAAAACCAATGAAGCTATCATTTATTTCCTATTATTTTCCTATTAATTTTCCGATCGTTCCTATGGCAGCTATATGATGAGTCATCTGATTTTTTTTTAAATTTAATCCGAAATTCAGATATATATAAAAAGTATTATTCCTTAATGTAGAAGGTATTATTAAAAAAAAAACTGAAATTATAATTTTTTTCCATTATTTTTTGCGGTTATTTCTATGAGAGCTATAGGATATAGTTGTTCGATCCGGCTGGTTCCGATTTGTTTAGTCCCTGCAATAGAAAGAAGACTCTTGGGAAAGTTTTATTCCGATAGCTTTAAAACTGAGAGACTAGTTTGCGTAGAAACGGACAGACGGACAAACGGACATTGCTAGATCGGCTCGTCTAGTGATGCTGATCAATACAATAATATAATGAAAGGTTTTTCAAGAGGTAAACTATGAGATTCCCCACCTGCTGCGCCAAATCCGTGAAGCAATGCTTTTCCTGTTCGTCAAGGGCGGCCCACCAGTCGCCCAGTATCTTGGTGATGGCACTAAAACAAAAGAGATGGCTGCATGAGTAACATTTCCCGGAAATAGAGCACGCAAATACCCACCGGTTCTCCAAAGTCTTGTAGCGCTCCTTGACAATGCCGCGGTGTCGCTTGCAGAAGATGAGGAACGCGTTCATGGGGCGGCGGGCATGGTGCTCCGGTCGGATGCTGTCCGCCGGCTGCTGTGGATCCTGATGAAGCTGCTCCTGCTGTTGCTGATGCTGATGCTCCTGTACATGACGACGATCCTGTTCCTGATCCTGCGGCACTGTGACCACATCCACGTCCACATGCTCTTCGGCGGCCTCGCGACGAATGCGAGTTATCTCCTGCTGCACCGGCAGTTGCACCCGGATCTCCTGCTCCTCCTCGTCCTCCTCCTCTTCGTCGAGCTCCTCCTCCTCCTCCTCTTCCTCCTCCTCGTCCTCCGCCTCGGTGTCGCTGCTGTAGTCCTGCAGCTTGGCATAGTTGTGCACATCCTCGATGCGTCGAAAGGCATTTTCTTGGTCCTCTGTGCGCTGCGGCTGTGGATTGACTAAGGCACTTTTGGCCGCTTCACCAGGTGGCGATCCAGGTGCTGCTCCTCCTGCATTCGAAGGCTTGGATTCCTTGATTCCGGGCATGGGCATGGGCAGCCAGCGGAGTCCAGTTGCTCCCAAGGAGGAAATACCTCCATTTCCTGCGTTTCCTGATATTTTTCCTGCTTCGGCTACCTTGTAAACTGCTCTCAAGGATCCGGCAGCCAGGGAAACTCCAAAAAAGGGAGTAATACTAGTAGCTGATCCAGTGGCCACCACTTGGTAGTCCAGAAAACTTCCTGATCCTGATCCGGATCCTGATCCTTGGGGGGCGCTTGAAATTATCCTGGGTTCGCCAGGTGAAAGTCCCCTGGCTGTTGCATATCCCGTATAGTTGATCCCTGATCCTTGGCGGCCACCTGTTGCTCCTCCACTTGTTTCCCGGATCTTCTCGATTATTTTCAGCACTTCGCCCGACTTTTTGTTGCTGTTGCTCATTTTTTGCTCCACTGTTTTAAGGCCACTGTAGATGTTGTTGTTTTTGTTGCTGTTGCTGCTACTGTTAATGTTGCTTGTGTTGCTGCTGTTGTTGTAGGCAAAGTGCAATTTAATTGCAGCACCTGTTGGCGTCACCTGCGCCACCTGCTGACCACCGCCAACGCTCAGGCCGTTGATCATGTTCCCAGCTTTCGTTTTCCTTTTCCCTTTCCACCTATCTTTCTAGTCCCGATCCTCGAGCATATTACGCTGAAAGTATTCGAAAAAGTTGTGTACGTTTATGTTTTAGAGAGTGAATTTCACAAATGCAAGAAAACGGCGATGCCAATGTGGCTGGAAGAAATACAAAAAAAAAAAAACCAATTGGCAGCTCTGGTTTTTGCGATATTGAGTTGTTTACAAATTTCCAGAGAGAAAGAGATGGAGCGAGCGAGTAGATCAGCTGTGCTTGTGTATGTGCGTGCGCTGCCTCTCTTTCTTTCCCACACAAAAGTTCCTTAAACAAAAATATAAACTCATCCGCACACAAACAAAGCATATTTTATTATTATGAAATTAAAGCGAAATCATACTCATACGTAAATACAGGAGAGACAAAAAAAAACGGTCAGTGAATACATAGGCATGAAAATATTTGCAAAAAATAAAAAAACAAAATAACAACAAAGGCAAAGCACTGGAAAAAAATAAAGTTTATTTCCAATATTTTACAACACTACAAAGGTTAGCCATAACAACTGCACAGGAAGAAAATTGTGTTGGATTGACAAATTGACTGCATTTAAATTAACATTACAATTTAAAATTGAGGGAATACGGGTAGAATTTATAAAAACAAACCTTATTTCTGCTACAATATACAAAACACAATTTTCTTCTTTTAATTTTCAATAGCTAACAGTTACACTTGCAAAATTTATTGAAAGTTTTCCATATTGATAAATAATTGTTTTCTTCGCACTGCTATTGCACAATTATGTGACAAACAAAACACACAAATAAAGAAATGTAGAAATGGAATAAGAAAAACAAAAAAAACAAAAAAACGAAAACAGGCTACGTGTACAGCTGAGCGTAAGCTTCGGTGTGTGTGTGTGCGAGAGGGAGAGCGCTAGAAGAGAGAGTGCGTCTCTCTTTTTCGCACAGTTCGATTTGAACTTGATTAAGTCCATTTATTGTTGCTGCTATTGTTGCTTTGTTATTCTACTTATTTGTTTGTGCGAGCAACGCACTGCCTTTGTTGTTATTGTGAACTGTTTTTTTCGATATGGTGCAAGAAGGGGAGGGGAGGAGGATCGCTGAGCCAGCGTTGCCACCTGGCCTAATAAGTAAAGTGCAGCTGTCAGCTGTTGGTTACCGTTGGCCGTCTCCCTCCATCTCTTTCGCTCTCACACACACAGATGCACACGGTCAAGGCCAAGTTTCAAAAGGGGCGGCGGGCGGCAGGGGGAGGGGCGATTCTGTTCATAACCTTCAAACGATTAGTTCTAGTTTTCTAGGTTAGGTTTTTAACTGACTTTCAAATGCAACCATTTCATTTATATTTTATTGTTGAATAAGAAAAAAAAGGCAGCACACACACTCAAGCACAATCGGTTCTCCCGCATATAAAGCTCATACAAACACAAACAAAGAACAGCTGATGACGTTTGTTATTTTGTGCGCGTCGCTTAATTTTTACATTTTTTCGCACAAAACAAAAATTCTAAATGAAAACTGTTTTTTATGAACTTAGCATAAATAAAGGTTTGTTTAAATCGCAATTTACTTGAATGAAAGTATTGCCTCGAATCGAAGGGTCTGCTCTCGTTTAATTAAATTTCAATGTTGATGATGTCAAATGAGAATGAAAACTGACTGTGTTTTCTGTTTTTGTGTTTTTGTGCGGCGGCCAGAGGCAGCGACGTCGGCAGCGCAGACGACGATGTGGAGACGTCGCTTCGCACTATGGGCCAGATCGCAGAATATTTGTATTTCAAAATGTACAAACATTTTTTAAGAGCATATCTGATATAAACGGAATCAAATATGTTTGAAACTTTAATTCATCAAGATCACTATTTTTAAAAAAAAATTTTAAATTTAACTTAGAAGTTTAATAATTTGTTTTCCAAAAATGTATGAAAAAGGGAGGATGTTCAATTTATTTTTAGCAACGGACTTTGTTTGACTAACTATGAAAACTTTAAAAATAGCAATAAAAAGAATGGAAATTTAAGAAAGACAACCTATATAAATTTTTCAAAAAAGTATTCGAAAATTATTACAAATTTGCCCCACTGCACAGTGGCATCGCTGCTGACGTTTAATTACGCGCACCAACAACAATACTACAGCGAAATTTATTTTATTTTGCTTTTTCTTTCTGCAGACACCCCTTTGTATGTGTGAGCTCCCCATATCCGCAACGCATCCATATTCACACACACTCGCCAGTCTCTCTCCAAAAACAATAACAAAGTAACCGATTGCCGAATGGGAGAGAGGAGTGCAGCCGTCTCTGTTGCACTTGCAGCGCTCGCTCAGCTGTTTTCGATTTGTTGTTGTTGCTGACGGGAGAATCGCACAGAGTGCAGTTCATTTTATAAAGGGGGATTTCCAAGAAATCAGATTTATTAAACTACTTAATTTAAAAATAAGTTAAAAAAGGATCAAAAAAAGTTTAACTAATAAAAACAACTTTTAGAAAATAAGTTTTTACCAAAATGAAAAATGAGTTTTTTAAATTAACATTAAAAAAATTAAGTCGAATTCTTTGGAACTAATAAAAGATTTGAAATGTTTAATAAAATAAAGAAATGGGATGAATACAAAATTATTAAAATCTACGAAGGGGGAAAATTTTCTATACTCCACCCAATATTCTCCCCTTTTACTCCCCTTTCTTGCAACAAGTTGGTCGATCAACTAGCAATATTAAGTGTTTGTGGGAATACTATATACACGATATATGTACAATGTATATACCACCCCCCCAAAACCGTGCTTTTTTTATTGCATAACCACATTTAACAGTTTTGCTCGAACGGTTGCCGATTCAGTTTGTTTGCAATTTGCATTTTTGCCCAAGCCAGGGGCAACAACAATGTTATTGTTTTTCAAGGTCACACACACATGCAGAGCAAGATGAACGGCAAAACAACCGAGCAACCCACCCACCCACCGCCACCCCCTGCAGTTCACCACCCACCCCCCAACGGTTCAGGTTTGGAGGTTCACTTCAGTTCAGTTCTCCTCTCTCTTTTTGGTCGGGAGAGCGACACAAGCGACCCAACTGGCTATCTCATCTCACACACACAAGCTCAAAAACAAAGTGCACTCTCGGTGGAGTAAACCAATGTTAATATGAATTGGATAAATTTTATTATATTTCTTTTCAAAAAAAAAACATTTTTCAAAGATTAATATTTCTGCTAGAACTTAAGTTTTAGTGCAAAACTGTAAAATTTAAATAAATTGACTTATGTATGTGTCCTTCTTCTCTTGATTTTATTTATTTATGCATTTTTTCAGAGTCTTAAATTGTTTTGCGAAAGAATTCACTCATTTGGGCGTGCACTGTATTTACGTTTGTTTTTGGGGCCGCTGGGATACCGTTATGCACTATATCTAGCTCTCTCTCTCTCTTTCTCCTTGTCTCAACTCAGTCGCCTGCGTGTGTATGATTGCATGTTGCTTAGTGGCAGTTTTCAGGGTCAGGGAAATTCGATTTTTGTGTCTGTCTCTGCTTCTTCCTCCTTGTAGCTTTCCTTCTTTGGGTACCCACTAACAACAACACAATTGCGTCAAGGCCAAAATGAAATGAAGTTAAGAACAAGTTTATAAAATTGAACCCTTGATACCCTTTCTTTTTGTATGGTTTAAAATACATTTTTTAAGGTTTTATAGTTAAACAACAATACATTTGTAAATCATATTGTTGACTTTAAAAATTGTATTATAAAAATTTAAAATAAAATTGAAAAATATTTAAAATATTTTATAGAGTGACATATCGTAAAAAGTAGCATTTAGAAAAAATCGCGGTGATGAATTAACAAATTATATAAATACACGAGCAAGAACATTTCTGCATTATTAAAAAAATCGTGAGTTTGATATGCCACTCTTCTAGTAATTGAGAATTATGAAAGAAAAAACGATCATAGCTAAAGCCATCTGATTTATATAAAATGTAATTCCTAATTCTGAAACCTTACAAAAATGCTATACCAGTGCGCTATAAATAGCTATAGTTTTGTTTGTACCAATCCGATTAGTCCAAAATTCTTTTCATTTTAATTTTTGTTTTAAAAATTTGTTTAGTGGAAAAAATCTTAGAAAGTCGACTGTTCCAACTAACAGACTTCCAACTTAAAAACCTCTACCCTACAATATTCTTAAAAATCTTATTTATCCGGGGAGTGTACAATGACTTAACTAATTCAGTTCAGTTTTCTGATAGTTTTAGTTTCGTTCTGATGTTAATGAACTTTGAAAAAGGGGCGTTCCACGACCACGCCCAATTCCGCGACCACATAATTATAAGACGGAATTATTCTATTTTCAGCCAAGAGTCAAACAATGATAAGACGTATCGCACAAACCGCGGAAACTGGAGAGGAAAATGGGGGCGGGTGAAGAGACCACAACGATAAGCGACAGAACCTCTCAAAGATATTTATACCCGTTACTCGTAGAGTAAAAGGGTATACTAGATTCGTGCAAAAGTATGTAACAGCTAGAAGGAAGCGTTTCCGACCCCATAAAGTATATATATTCTTGATCAGGGTCACTAGCCGAGTCGATCTAGCCATGTCCGTCTGTCCGTCTGTCCGTCTGTCTGTCCGTCTGTCTGTCTGTATGAACGCTGAGATCTCGGAAACTACAAAAGCTAGAAGGTTGAGATTTCCCACACATATACTTTGGCTTCCTACGCAGCGCAAGTTTATTTTAGCCGAGCGCCACGCCCCCTCTAACACCCACAATCGCCCAATAACGATTTTAAAATGGGTCCTGCGCCCACATCTTTAAAGATTTTCGAGAAGTATAAATGCAATTTTATTGTGTATATTTATACCTATCGAAATGTAGAAGATATTTTTCAAATCGGACCATTCATTAAAAAGTTATACGCTTTATAAAATGTCAACATATATCTATCTCCCTCGCACTCCCTTTAGCTGAGTTACGATTATTAGTCGGGACACCAACCCGACACAGCGTTCGCATTCCCTTTAGCTGAGTGACGGGTATTAGATAGTCGGGACACCAACCCGACTATAGCGTTCTCTCTTGTTTTTTATTTTAAACATTACTTTCTATTCAGGTTATTAGTAAACATTTACGTTTAAATGAGCAATAAAAATTGTTTGTCTATTGATTCATTCTATGTGTAATACATTTAAAATGTGATTATACATTTATTAAGATTAGTACCCATAAACAACTCAAAAATTCCTTAAAACGAAAAAAAAGACTAGGAGTAATGGGTCTAAAAAGCTATATTTATCATTAGTTTACTAGACTATTTTATAAACAAAAAAAAATGGTATGAAAACTCTAAAACTTCACGAAAAGAAAAAAATGGTAAAAATTTACGAATATAATTGTCAAACAGTCCCCTACCACAAAAATTGTCAATTCTACCAATTAAATAGTTACTTTCACAACAACAAATACACACAATTAGCAAAGACACACACCCAAAACAAAAACAAAATACACGTAACTATCTTTTATAGTTACCTAACTATCCGTATAGTTCAATTTTACCAATCAAATTTTTTTGTGAGTTATGTTTATAAAAATTCTTGACTTTAAAAAGCTTAATAATATCTTGGTATTTTTTTATGGGTTTTTAAGCAAGATATTAAATATTTAAAAAATATATTACAACAATCACTCACCCAAATTGATCACAAATAGTTTCGAGACGGGATATTCTGGTCGGGATCGATCCTACCGCTTGAGCACATTGATGAAGGTCTCGTGCGGTACGCGAATATTGGCAAACATGCGCATCTTCTTCTTGCCCTCGGCCTGCTGCTTCAGCAACTTCATCCGCCGGGTGACGTCCCCACCGTAGAGCTTCGCCGTCACATCCTTTCGATACGCCTTGATCGTTTCCCGGGCGAGCACCTTGCTGCCCACGCACGCCTGTATGGCGATCTGCACCATTTGCTTGGGTATCAGCTCGCGCAGCTTGAGCACCATCTGCCTGGCGACGCCGGTGGCCTTGGACACATGGACAATGCGACACAACTCCTCCACAGGCTTGCCGTTCAGATGGATATCCAGGCGCACCAAATGCGACGGATGGTAGCCGTGATCCTCGTAGCTAAAGCTGGCATAGCCCGAACTGAGCGACTTGAGGCGATCGTGGAAGTCCAGTATGATCTCGCTCAGCGGCAGGACGTACTTCATCAGCACGCGCGTCTCGTCGATGTTCACCGAGCTTTGCTGCAGCCCGCGTCGCTCCACGCACAGCCCGATCACCTGGCCCACATAGTCGGTGGGCGTGATTATGGTGCCCAAAACCAGCGGTTCATAGTACTCCTTGATGCTGTGCGGTTCGGGGAAGAGAGCTGCATTCGAAATGTCCATGGTGTCGCGTCCCTGCTGCCGGATCATCTTGGGATTGCTCAACACCAGACGATAAGTGACCGAGGGCGCTGTGATGATCGGTTCGGCGCCATGCTCCTGCTCCAGCCGCTGGCAGAAGACCTCCATGTGCAGCAGACCCAGGAAGCCCAGGCGCCAACCCTGACCCAAAGCGGGACTGGAGTCAACTTTCACCGTGACCGCCGAGTCGTTGAGTATCATCTTATCGATGGCACTGCGCAGCGCCACATGCTTGGACTGATCGGCGGGAAAGACGCCGGCAAAGACCAGCGGCTGTTGCGGGCGATAGCTGCCGGCGGCGCTGGCCGCCTGGTTCTTCAGGCAGATGGTATCCCCGACAATGGACTCCTTGCTGTTTCGCATATTGCAGGCAATCAGGCCCACCTGACCGGCGTATAAATCCGGAACAGGACACTCTGCTGGTCTCAGCACCGAAATGCTCTTCACCGGATACACCTTCTTGGTGGTCAGCGACTGGATGTCCTGGTTCTGCTCCAGCCTGCCGTCCAGCACATAGATGAGGTTCAGCGCACCGCGATACTTGTCGAACCAGCTGTCGAAGATCAGCGCACGAAAATCGCTGTCCCGCTGAACTTTTGGCGGCGGCACCGTTTCTATAACCCGTTCCAGGACCTCCGCCACGCCTGTGCCCAGTTTGGCAGAGACGCGCAGCACCTGCGCGGGTTCTATGCCGAACAGCAGCTTCATATCCTGGCAAACCTGGTCGGGATTGGCGTGTTTTATGTCGATTTTGTTCAAAACGGGAACAACTGCCAGTTGTCGCTGCTTGGCCAGGTGGTAATTGGCCACCGTTTGCGCCTGGACACCGTGACAGGCGTCCACCAGCAGGACCACGCCATCGCAGGCGGCCAGCGAGCGGGAAACCTGGCATGGAAACCAAGGATTAGCATGGAATGGTAGATATGCAAGGGGAATAACCCACCTCATTGGAGAAATCCACGTGACCGGGCGTGTCGATGAGATTGAGCAGATACAGCTGCCCCTTGTGGCGGTGGAAGATGGAGGCGGTCTGCGCCTTGACCGTGATCCCACGCTCCCGCTCCACCTGGAGGCTATCGAGCACCTGGTGGCGCCCAGCGTTGCGGGCTATCGCTCCCGTGAGCTCCAGCAGCCGGTCGGCCAGCGTGCTCTTCCCGTGATCCACGTGCGCAATGATGCTGAAGTTCCGGATGCGCTGCACCGGCATCCGGGCGAATTCCTGCAGCAGCTCCGCCTGCGAGGGCTCCTTCGATTTCGATTCCGATTCGGCCTTGACCTGGTTCGTGGTGCTCAGGCTCAGGCTCTGGCGGGCGGAGCAATCCCGCGACCTGGCCACCAGCCAGGCGGAGTGCGGGTTGCCGCCGGCGCGTTGGAGCATCCAACGGATGGATATCGTCCGGAACATGGCTCAAATTACATTTCTTTACCGGCAAAAAAAAAATCGTTACGCCATGTGCGCCGTGTGACCGTGCGATGGAAAAATACCAAATATACCAAATGGCTGGGAATCGTGGGCTTTCAGGAGCGCAGCCAAGGGAACCCCCCTTTGAGCGCCCAGATGTAGGGTATTTACCAAAATTTTTTAATTGCTGAATAATTAATCTATTTATCAACTGTTCCATTCAAATTTAAATTAGGTTTTCTTAAAAATCGAATTAGAAAATATATTTGTTGTTTTTCTTAACTATTTAATAAAGTAAGCCAGTAATTTAATTTAAATTATTTAATGTCTTGAGTTCATATTATAAAATTATTATTATTTTTTAAATTATTAAAACAGTTTTTCTTACGTTTTTATGTACTATTAATAACTAACATCCATTTTTGTAGTGTCTTAAATACTATAATTATTATTTTTAATTTTGTTTTTTTTTTAATCATGGCAACTCTGTAACATTTTAGTATCACCAGTACGCATTATTTATTTCAAAATCAACTTAGAAAGCATATTTTTGGTTATTTTTACCTTGGTAACAATTTAAGACAGTAACTAGCAATTATAAAACAAATTTTACATGTTTTAAGTGCTGTGAAACTTTTCAACAAATAACAGCGTTCCCTTAATTGCTGAAATTTTTTTTTCAATTTTCAACAATTCAGCAATTTGACAGTTTAGGGAATCCCCTCATTATTTTCTAAACCCATTTTTCCAGCGTGACCGTTTGGCATAGTTTTCGGTATATTTGGTATAAAAAGTATTTATCTTCGAGCCCGGCACAATTAATTGCTAATTCGCCGGCTGTTATGGACCATACATAACAGCTGTTTGAAAATTTAACAGGAACCATTTTGAATCGTTCCCTTAATTGCTGAAATTTTTTTTTAATTTTCAACAATTTAACAGTTTAGGGAATCCCCTCATTATTTTCTAAACCCATTTTTCCAGCGTGACCGTTTGTCATAGTTTTCGGTATATTTGGTATAAAAAGTATTTATCTTCGAGCCCGGCACAATTAATTGCTAATTCGCCGGCTGTTATGGACCATACACGTGAGATTCTGACCTTCCAGTTCGGAACGTACGCCAACTATGTGGGCGCCCACTTCTGGAACCAGCAGGTGAGTTGCCGCACCCACCTGGCAGCCGAAGAACCCCACTAACTACGCTCTTCCAGGAGGCCAACTTCAGGTACGCCGACGAAGGCGACCAGGTGGCCGAGGGTCAGCTGCCCAACAATGACATTCTCTACAGGGAGGGGCTGAATGCCCTCAATCGCACCACCTACACGCCCCGCCTGCTGTCCGTGGATTTGGCCGGCACCCTGGGTCACCTGCCGGTCGCGGGCGAGCTGTACGGCAACTTTGTGCAGCGGGACGAGGAGCTGCTGCCTCTGGGCACGGGTGAGCAGCTGGAGCAGGCTCGCCGGCAGGCGGAGGAGAGTGGGTTGGCCGGCGAGCAGCTGGATGTGCAGGAGCAGCCGGTGGCCGCCATTTCCGAGTACCAGAGGGATCTGCTGAAGAACTCGGTGGCGCCGGAGAAGAACTACCAGCTGGCGGAGAAGGCAAACAGTTGGGCGGACTTCCTCTATGCCCGCTACCATCCAAGGACCCTGAATGTGCTGCCTGGATTGGTCAGGGATCCCACGGTCCAGGCGCTGGGCACCTACTCCGCCGGAACGGAGCTGTGGCAGGAAGTCACCTTCAACGATGAGTTCTGCGATCGCATACGCCTGTATGTGGAGGAGTGCGACGGCCTGCAGGGCTTCCACATGCTCTTCGACATCGACGACGGCTTCGGCGGGCTGGCCGGGAAGTGTCTGGAGCACCTGAACGATGAGTACAGTCGGGCCAGCTTTGTGCTGCCGCTGCACTATCCCAGGATGACCAGTTATGCTCAAGCGGGTGAGAACAGTAGGGTGTAATATTAGAGCCCAGCATGAATGGATTCAATAAATTATTTTTAATTTTTTTGTTTTATATGAATGAATTATTTAGAATTTTGAGTTTAATGGAATTGAATGAATTTGAATTTTGAGTTAAATAGAATTGAATGAATGAATGGCATAAACTCCGAAATAATTCAAATTATTAAATGGAATTAAATTAATTAGAATTTTGAGTTTACTAGAATTGAATGAATTTGAATTTTGATTCTAATAGAATTGAATGAATGAATGGCATGAACTCCGAAATAATTCAAATTATTAAATAGAATTAAATTAATTAGAATTTTGAGTTTACTAGAATTGAATGAATGAATGGCATGAATTCCGAAATAATTTTAACGACAATTTCTTTTGAAGAAAAAGGGGCCATAATTTTGTGATTCAATCTGCTTGAATTTTGTTTTCTAAGCAGTTAATATTGATTTGTTACAAATTTTCCACTTTTTGTTCTCAAAAGAAAGCCCAAAAAAATCTGGCAAATTCAAAAAATTCATAAAATTAATTCACTCATTCATTCAATTCTAAATGAATTAAAAAAAAAAACATTCAATTTATTTCACGTAGAATTAAAATAAACAAATGAGAAATTTCATGGCATACTATGATAAAACAAAAATTGAATGATTCATGATTCTTTTGAAGAAGAAAGGGTGATTAAATCTGCATGAATTTTATTTTCCATGCAGTTAACATTGATTTGTTAAAAATTTTGCACTATTTTTTCTCAAAAGAAAGCCAAACAAAAATCTGGCAAATTCAAAAAATTCATAAAAATTTTCATTCATTCAATCAATTCGAAATGAATTAGAAAAACATTCAATATATTTCACATAGAATTGAATTAAACAGATCAGAAATTTCATAACATACTATGATAAAACAAAAATTGAATGATTCACGCAGGGCTCTAATTAATATCAAGCAAGGGAACCTAGCTTACATTTCTTTTTTCTCCTCCCCCAGATCCCCGCCTGTCGCACAGCATTCGCGTGGTGAACAGTGTGCTGAGCTACCACCATCTCAGCGAGCAGGCTTCCATGTTCACGCCGCTGTCCACGCTGGAGAGCATTTGGCGCAACCATAGCCTTAAGTCGCGCAGCCTGCCGGGACTGCAGTGGCAGGCGGATAATCTCTACCAGACATCGGCCTTGCTGGCCGCCTTCTTGGACACCGCCACCTTGGGCTATCGCCTGCGGCAGACGCCCGAGTCGCTGTTGCGTTTCTGCGAGCGTGTTTCGCCTTCGGGCAGGAAGATGACTGCCGCCGGCATGGCCTTGCCATTTGGTTTGCGGGCGGGGCAGGATCTGATCGAGTTTCTGGACCAGAGCGGCGACCATGCGCTGCTCACACAACTAACGCCGGGCTGCGAACCGGGCACTTCGTTTGTGATGCAATCGGTGACGGCTCGTGGCATTCCCGCCGAGCGTTTGAAGCGGCCAAGAGAGACGGCTGGCGAACAACTGCGGATGGCAGCCTATAACTGCGACAGTGTCTCTCACATGCTGCAGCTGTACTACCAGTGCAGCTATCATGGCAGCGTCACCAATGCTGCAGCCACGTCGCTGCCGCTGAAGACGCAACTGCCCTTTCCTTACGAGTTGTTTGGCGGGGGCATTTCCAGCGATGGCTTCCGTTTGCCTGGCGGCGGGGAACGCGAGTCGGGCACTCGTGTCGATTCCGCACCCTTGCTGGCCGCCCTGCAGAACTCCAGCAAGCTGGGCGAGCACCTGGACAACCTGCACGCCCAGACGCATCGCGTGCAGCTGGCCAAGTTGCAGGCGTACTCAAATTCTGGCCTGGAGCGGGATGATTACGAGACGGCGCTGGATCAGCTGCTCGAGTTCCGGGACCTCTATGCAGACTCGCAGTATCTGTAGGATGTGGGAATCCAGTATTTTGGGGGAACACGATTTTGTGATAGGCCGTAGGATAATAAACACACTCATATGCTTTTGAATACTAATTCCAGTTCTTTGATAATATTTTATTCATATGTTATAGTACATTTTTGTTAATACAAGTTTAAAATCTAACAATTTGTATTGTTTATTTCACTGAAAACCAAAAGAAAACAGCATTTGGAACACTAAGAAAAATCGTATTTTTTACCAAAACCCCCAATTCTGATTTTCTACCAAAAGTGCTATTTCGGGCGAATGAAAGAAAATGAATAGTCCGAATATGGAATGGCATACATCGTTGAACTCGTGATTAGATTTTTTTTTACATTTTTGGAAAAAACTGTGACGTAGGGGTTACATTTAAAAAATGAAAAAATTGGCCAAAATAATAATTTTTATAAATCAGGCAAAAGGTGATGTGGATCGATTTGAAAGTTTGTTAGCTGTTCAACACAGCACGTATTCTTGATTTGTCACAATCTTTGGTCAAATTACAGCAAAAAAAATCCGCAATTAGTATTTTGACCGAAAGAAAAAATAAATAGTCCAAATATGTCATAAATCGTTGAGCTCGCAATAAAGTTCAAAATCGATGGGCATTCAACATTTTAATTTTTTGACATTTTTTCTCTAAAAAGTGCAATGTAACATGTAAAAATGTAAAAATAGACTAAAAATTAGTTTTTCTAAACTCAAGTAAAAATCCTAATTTTTACAAAATCCCAGATCCTGTTTTTCCACCTAAAGAAATCAGTATTTTAGCCGATACAATGGAAATAATATATATTTTTTGGTAATTATTTCAAAAAAATCATTACCGCATATGTAAACAGTCAAATAAAAACTGTGAAATCCAAATTACACCTTCTGCTTCTATGTTTTTGTTCATAGCTCGAGAAAGTGTACTTATTAAGTTAAATAAATAAAAAAGTAGTAAATAAAATATCATAGAAAAGACATAATAAAATAATAACTTGTAACTGTATTTGTAATAGATTTTGTTTAATGTAATTAGTGTAAGGTTTTATGTTCAAAGTGACTAGCGCAGTAAGAAATAAGTTTCATGCTTGTGGTGCTAGGATAGTAAAACTATAAAATTAAATTAAATATCATCATAGAATAAGTTAAATAATAAAAAAGTAGTAAAATAAAATATAATAAGGCATAATAAAATAATAGTTTGTAATTGTATTTGTTATAGATTTTGTTTAATGTAATTGGTGTAAGATTTTATGTTCAAAGTGACTAGCGCAGTAAGAAATAAGTTTCATGCTTGTTGTGCTAGGATAGTAAAACAATAAAATTAAATTAAAATTAAAATTAAATATCATCATAGAATATGATATAAAAAACAAGAAAGGAAGCTAACTTCGGCCAGCCGAAGCTTATATACCCTTGTAGATAAAGTATTGCTCACTCGGTGCAGTTCCAGGGATTCCAGATTCAGCGTATATATTTTTGTTTATACATAAGTAGTCAAGAATCAAAACGCCTACTTCCTACAAAGTTACAATGAATTTTCTTATATTTGTTTGAATATTCCTATGGAAGCCTTAAGATATAGTGGTCCGATCCGGCTCGCTCCGACATATGTACTACCTGCAATAGAAAGAAGACTTTCGGGAAAGTTTCATCGCGATAGCTTTAAAACTGAGAGACTAGTTCGCATAGAAACGGACAGACGGACAGACGGACAGACGGACAGACGGACAGACGGACAGACAGACAGACGGACAGACGGACATGGCTAGATAGACTCGGCTATTGGTCCTGATCAAGAATATATATACTTTATGTGGTCGGAAACGTCTCCTTCACTGCGTTGCAAACATCTGACTGAAATTATAATACCCTCTACAAGGGTATAATAAAATATTCATATGCTTGTGATTTTAGGCATAAATTTCATTGTGATACTCAAAATAAACTCACTGATGCACAATCGATTTGAATGGCTTTAAGAGGGTTCTTATCCCACGCCCCACCCAGTTCCCCCTTAACTTCGAAGGTGTCAGGTTGGTTAGGCTTCCCCCGGAGCGGAAGTTGTTGGGCCCCCCTCCCTCCCACTCCCCCCACCTGCGGCACTTCATGATTGGCTGTCTCGGAAGCGGCTTTGATATTTTCCGCGTTTCCAGGAAAGCGAGGAAAAGCCAAAACAAAACAATGCAAAACAAAAACAGTTTTTGTCTGGGCAGAGAGATTTTAAGAGTCGTCAATGGATGACGATGACGACATGGACGTGCCGAAGGAAATCGGTGAATTTTTATTTGCATGGCAATCAATTTTGATACCTAACATCAAAGGGTCATATATGTTTATTAGAAAGGATATATAGTAGGTACCTTATAGTCTTTATATTTGGTTTTATATTATTTATCTGAAATTTTCAGAAAAAATTACAATTTTAAAATATTTAAATTAAAAATTTATTATTAATTATTATAAATGTATTATATTATTATAGTCGCAAAACCAAATAAATTATTTCGCTGAAATTTTAGGAAAACTTTTACAATATTTGAATTTAACCTAAAATTAATTGCTAAATTATCACTAGTTTTTTTAGAACCTTATAGTCGCGGAAGAAAATAACTTATTTAGCTAAAATTATAAGAATAAAGTTTATTATTTATTCAAAAAACTTACAATTTAAGAATAATAAAATTAAACCTAAAAATGAATTATTAAATTATTACTCTTACTTTCACAACCACTGGGTATCCATGTGCCGTATATCGCTCGAAACCCCCATTATTTGCTGTCTTCGCAGTTGACCCAAAGGACCTTTTCTGGCCGACTTCACCTTTCCGCGACGACTACGTGCTGCTACTTGCCGCCTTGTTTAACCTTAACCCTTGCGGATACAGTTCGGGATCGGGAGGATGGAGGTGGGAGACCCGCCTAATTTATACGGAAATTTATTGCCAATAAAGCGGCAGTAATTGAAATCTCAACGGGAGTAAATCACAATTTTATGGACTGCTAACGGGCGGCCAAGGCGACTAGGAGACCTGCAGATGGGGTTTTATAATTTTCGGGTGAGTGTTTTTTATTAGACGGTCAAGTTTCGTAACCCCCTTCGCAACCACCACTTTGTTGTGCAAATTAAATTTCAATTTGATTGGCACAGTTCCTTTAATATTCTGCCGTCTTTTTTTTATTTTTTATCCCAGGTCCTTAAAGAAGCTGCTGCTGCTGCTGCTAGTGCTTCCGGGGCAAAAAGGACCAAATCCGAAATTAAAATTACGCCAACGACTTTAATGGAATATGTGCGTGGAATTCGAAATGCCAAATTGAATAGCCTGCCCAAGCTAGTGGAGTGTGTATACATTTCGTATATTGTTTTTTGCCGCTTTTAATTTCGTTTTCATTTTCATTTTTGTTTCGGTCTGCATCTGAATTGGGACTTGCATTAGCATGCAGTTCAGCCAACGGACTTCCATATTTATGTTTGATTAATGCGAGCTAGAAACCCTAACCCCTATTATAAATTAGCTTACTGAGTGGATTTATTGTGTGATCGAGGGAGGGAAAAAATTGACTCACTTTCATGAACAACGTAAAAACAATAGATATAATTGTTTTAAAAAATTTAATTTAATTAAATTTTACAGCAATTAAAGTGATACGAAGTTCAATTTTAAGTAAATTTGTCCCGAAAACAACCCTTAGTTTTGATTGAAATTTATTGAAAGCATTAAAAAAAGGGGAACTACTTAAGGACTAAATAAAATGGATTAAAATAAACGTTAATAAATAATTTACAAAGGTTTGGAGTGCTTTGGGTGAGTTTTTTTGTATCTTTAACTCAACCTACATTTCTTCTTTTTCAAAAATCTTTTTTGTTTGCACTTTTACAAAAAAATTTTGTTTTTATATTTTATAATTTTTTAACTTTTATTTTAAAGCCAAAAGATGAAGCTCTCGAACGTTATAGGACTATTACTTTTTTTTTTAAGTGAATAATCAATTGGCAGGGTAAATCAATTTCTTTCGGTGCATCCAAAGCTCTGTCTTCATTTTATCCCTTCGTTTCCAATTAGCTCCTTCAATTACTCAGTTGGTCAGCTACTTAAGTGCTTGGCTTGTTCGCCCACGCGGCAGATGATTTTTAATTTCTTCCCCCTTTTAGACGCCCTCTTCTGTATCTTTCCCATCATCCGCAGAACCGCTCTTTCTGTATCTGTGGCTCTTCTATTGCCGCCTGGGCACTTCATCATCCAATGGACGACGGCCGACATTTAGCTCCCACGGCCAAAACAAACTTAACAAAGTTAGCTAAATTTGGCCGAAGGCGTCATTTTAACTGCCGCTTACTACCACCAACTCATCGGTCTTCTACCCATCGTCCATTTCCATTTCCCTACCGCTATCCTCCGCTTCCATGTCGACATTTCAATGCCTTTTTAATCTAGAACAAAAGCAAACTTAATTTGCCACAACATCTGAGATGGCACAGGCGAAGGGACGACAGGCAACAGGCCAAAAGAGGTCTAAAGGAGGATGGCAAGTTGTACTCGGGAAAATAGGGGAGTTATAAAATATTTTATAATATATTCCTTCGTATATTATAAAAAAATTTTTAACGTGGCACAAACATAATAGATAAATATTCTTTCGTACATTATCATTAAAAAATATATTTTTAAAATTCATTCAAACATATTAATAATATAATATTATATAATAATAATATTAAAAAAATGTAAATTTTAAAAAAGCAAAGATATGATGGTAAAGCTTTAATTTTATATATTTCTTTCAAACTTTTGGTAAAATAATAGAGATCAAACCAATACAAATAAATAGAAAATATAAAATTTAAAACACTTAATTTTTTTACAAATATTAATTTTTATTAATAGGCGATTTTAATTATTATTTGTCAGCTTATACATTTAATTATTAAGTAACTTGAAATATTAAAGCACATTAATGTTTTGAAATTATACAACTAATTATATTATTTCTTTTTTTTTTCAAGTGTGGGCGAGCAGAACGATTGTAAGGACAATTCCGAGAACGTCACTTGGCACATAATTTAATTACAACAACACTTTTGGGGCCACCATCACCCACCAAGGCATTGGCACTTTGAAGTTAACCACCCAACACCCACCTCCCCCTGCCCCTCCCCCTCCCCCTATCCCTATCCCTCCCGATTCCAGCAGTCATCGCCAGGAGTCGAGTGTTGAATGAGCAACAACTTTCGAGTGCAACGCGTCCTGAATTGTAATTAGTGCCCAGGAGCCGACAGCTGGAAGATCGAGGGGGAGGGGAAGGCGAAGGACGGGGTGGGATTTTGGCCAGTTCATTTGGAAAACGGGGTGAAAAAAATAGGAGGGGGAAAAGGGGGTCACGAGTTCCTGGAAGATAGCTTCACTTGATTTATGGACCGAGCGCATTTGTAATTGTTATTACGTGTAAACGCTCCACTCCAAAACAATTCACTCTCGACCTCCCCTAACCGAAAACCATATCCTTGATGCTGCGTCCTGACCATAAATTAGTTATCGGCGCTAATTGTTAAACGGATGAAGCGTGATTTGATAAGAATATAGCTGGTGGTCACGGAGTCATGGCCAAATCCATTGGAGGACTGACCAAAAACAGAGAGGTTTATTTAATTGTAGAATTTATAGCATTACCTTAACTTTAGATCTATAAGTTGAACCCAAAATTGGACAAATTGTTCTTAACCAAGTTTATTTTATTTAAGATTTTTCAAATCGGACCATTCATTATAAAGTTATAAGCAAATAATGAAATTTTAAGTAGTCAAACAGTCGCTAGATGGCGCTATAAAAAATTTCAACAGCCGCTAGATGGCGCCTTTAGCTTTTCTGCATGCATATTTCCATCTCCCTCGCACTTCCTTTAGCTGAGTAACGGGTATCTATTAGTTGAGGTACTCCACTATAGCATTTAAAAGAAGAGGTTAAAAGAAAGGATTATTTAAAGGATTCTAAAATTACGTTTGATCTATTGAATGCTATTGAAAAAAATATATTTTTTTAATATAGGGAATAAAATTACTAGAATTCCTTGTATGAAATGTACAAATTCATCCAGGTTAATTTTGAAATATGAATATTTAGTATAAGTAAGACAAAACTCTTACGCCCACAACCAGTTGAGTGTGTGTTTTTGTTATAGCAAAGCCATAATCTTGTTGTTTTATAACTTTTAATGCCTCTTAATCCGGCTCCTGATAGTCATTCCTGGTAAGCTCTTTCTGGGACTGCTCTTACTTTTCCCCCGGTTCCTCTGGCTGCAGTGTGTGTGTGCGAGGGCACAAGGAAATAAAGTTTGGGCTTGCGAAATTGACCAAATGCAATTAAATAGTAAACAATTTGACGTACACCCCAGTTTGGTTCGGACTTAATCCCCAATTTGGCTCTGAATAGAGGCGCCCCCCAGTCCCAAAAACACAATGGAATTGGAATTGGAATCTAAGCGAATGCGATTGCACCGCTGAATGGTTTATTGTTGTCGAAAACTCCATTATCATCGATGCATTCCCTAATTACCAGTGATTAATTTAGCACATAATGCCAATGCACTAATTATGTTAAATTTACTTAACTTACGAAAAGCGAGCCAAGGTAATTAAATGAGTTAAGCCATTGAGCTTTATGTTCTGCACTCGAAAATTTACTCTTGTCTTTTACGGAAATTTTGCCTCGTCTAGCAGCACAATGAGTTAAGCCCTTTGGCTGTCGTGTTATTTTGTCAAGGCTTTCAACAAAATTCACTTGATTAAATTGTCAAATTCCTATGCATTCAGAAATATTTATAATGCCGAGAGAATTTTCAAGCATTGATTTGACTAAAGAAGACACGGTCGAGGAGAGGCGAGAGTGGCGCTTAAAAAGGGCCATGGATCCGGCGATCGACGCAATCCCGCCGGGACACACAGAAACCTTTAAGGGTGCGGCGAAGTGGCCAAGGGAAAGCGGCAGAACCTCGATCAAGATGGCCAGAGCAAGGGCCAAAATGCTAAGGGACGAGGTCGAGCGGATGCGGACGATGAGGGCCCCGGATGAAGACCGTAGAGCGATGCAAAATGACTTAGAGGCGGCGTTTCAGGAGTTGGAGCGCCTCAAGCGAGAGAAGAAGAAGAAGAAGGAGGAGAAGCAAGGGGCGAGGATGAATGGCCAGCAGACCTGATGTCAAGGATGCCATACGACGAGGAGGCCGACGCTGTGTGATGGCTGGAGGAAGTTCCCGATTCGTTTGGCAGCTTCGGGCCAGATTAAGGTGCACTGTTGACCGTATAAAGAATAAAGCCCTGAAAACTAACACACGCGTAAATACTGACACTGGGATGTAAAAACGGGTACAAAACTGGCACAAACACATAAAATAACAAGAGAGAACGCTATAGTCGGGTTCGTGTCCCGACTATCTAATACCCGTCACTCGGCTAAAGGGAGGGCGAGGGAGATGGATATTTATTTTTGGATTGCGTATAACTTTTTAATGAATGGTCCGATTTTAAAAATTTCTTCTACATTTCGATAGGTATAAATATACACAACAAAATTGCATTTATACTTCTCGGAAATCTTTAAAGGTTTGGCCGCCAGACACATTTTAAAATCGTTAGTGGGCGATTGTGGGCGTTAGAGGCGGCGTGGCGCTCGTCTGAAATAAACTTGCGCTGCGTAGGAAGCCCAAGAATATGTGTGGAAAATCTTAACCTTCTAGCTTTTGTAGTTTCTGAGATCTCAGCGTTCATACGGACAGACAGACAGACAGACAGACGGACAGACAGACGGACAGACGGACATGGCTAGATCGACTCGGCTAGTGACCCTGATCAAGAATATATATACTTTATGGGGTCGGAAACGCTTCCTTCTAGCTGTTACATACTTTTGCACGAATACAATATACCCTTTTACTCTACGAGTAACGGGTATAATAACACCTAAAAAGCGGGGAGTGTATATTGAAAAGGCATGATATCAGGGTTTTTATGCACAGAATCGTTCTTTAATATTTCGAAATTAGACTGAACTAGCGAATTATGCCGACGAGGAAGCCGTGGAGGATTCCGTGGAGGATTCGGTGGAGGACTCCGTGGTGGAGGAGGCGGTGGTGGAGGAGACGGTGGTGGAGGAAGCGGTGGTGGAGGAAGGAGTGGTGGAGGAAGAGCTTGTAGAGGCCTCTGTGGTGGTGGTTCGGTTGCATGGTGGTGGTCCCCATGGTCCAGGACCTCCTGGTCCTCCCGGACCTCCTGGACCTCCCGGACCTCCTGGTCCTCCAGGACCTCCAGGACCTCCTGGGCCGCGTCCTGGACCTCCAGGGCCACCTGGTCCTCCTGGTCCACGTCCTGGGGGTCCTCGACCACCTGGTCCGCCGCGTCCTGGACCACCGGGTCCACGTGGTCCCCACGGACCTCCGGGTCCTTGGGCGGAGGCCACAGCGACCACAACCACCAGGGTAACAAGAATAAGGGCACGCATTTCGCTATCGGTTAGTGAACGACTCGAACTGATCTCGGCACTCGCCGATAGCCGTATATATACCCATTGTCTGGGAAGAGTCTCGTCGGCACATGTGTTCCATCGATGACGTTAGTTAGTTAGTTAGTTCATTTCCACTGGCCAAGTCAGTCAGAGTTTTGCCAGACACCAAAAAAAATGACGCAATATTTATTCAGTAATGGGTATCTGATAGTCGAGAGACTTTTTTAATTAAAATTATTTTCATAGTTTATTTTAAAACATTTTCTAAATAAATAAAAAATATATTTTTCCTTAGTGTAGTCTCTTCCAGCAAAAGTTTGGCTTGGTTTATGGATCTTACATAAAAACTAGCTAATGATCTGGCGTTTACCTTGCGTCAATATCTGAAATAAATATTTGCCAACAATGGATAATGCAATTCCTGGCCAGGCGTCAGTGGACTTAGTGTTTATAAAGCATCAATAATGTTTATGTCTTCTTACCTAAGAATATTCAACAATATTCCGTCCAGATAAGGATGTTTGAACAAGTGGTCTTGATAAGCTTAAATGAAAGTAAAGTTTGTAAACAACTATAGCTAAAGCCATTATAAGGTAATGGAAATCGTGACAGAGTTAAGAAACCGTTAATAGTGGCTTACGAAAGTTAGAGTGTAAAGTGTTATTTGACAGTGTAATAGAAAAATATTCTGGAATTAAACAAATATATATATGATACCAAACCATCTTCTACTTGATTTTCCTGGCCGAGGATATTTTCTAGAAATTTACGCAACTGTCATTTGCAGTGTTGGAAAGTGTTTTTGTTCAATTATTTCCATCCGGTGCCTGTAGCATTCCGTCCCTTTTCGATCGCCTGTCTCACTCGCACGCCCATATGCATACCATGAAGTTGTTGTTGTTAATTGGAATAAATTGCTTCGGTGCTTTATTTAAAGAGGAATTTGTTTTGTTGCAGCATCGTACAACAAAATGCTTAATTAAGTTTTTGCTTCCATTGTTGTTTGTCTACACTTTTTCCAAATGCCTTCGGTTGCGTGTGTGTGGGTGTTGGGTGTGTGCGTGTGCTAGTGTGCGAGTGAGAGGGCGAGAGTAAAATGTTGGTAATGAACAGTTAGGAAATGCAATGGGTGTTTTTGGGCGTGAAGTTTGGAGTGAAATGATGGCGACACAAAAACTATTTGCTTTATATACGGAAAAAAATTTGACTGACCCATTGACTCTTTTTCTAGATCTTCAAGAAAGAAATTAAGTCAAATTAGCTAACAACAGAAGCCTTAAAGCTGTGTTTAGTTTTAATTTGATCGAAATAAAATAAAAATCAAAGAATAGGTAATTTTTGAATAATAATTTTTTATGATTAGTTTGAAGTACTTCCGCTTTTTGATAAGGTTTTTGCCATGCTTTTTGGCAGCCCTTTCGCCAGGCTATTACCAAGCTTTTGACCAGCCTTTTGTCAGGATTTTTGATAGGCTTTTTGACAGGCTATTAGATATAGTTTTATTTGCCAGGGTTTGCAGGCTTATTGCCAGGCTGTTTGATAACGTAAGGCAAGATTAAATCATTATTTAAATTAATTTAACCTAAATATCAGAAATGCAATCAAAACTAATCATGTTAAAAAGTAAAATACTTTAAATAATTTTTCCATGCCACGTGCATATTCAAGCACTTTCATTTCGAACGATTTTCGTTGCATTTTGAGTGAAATTAAAATTGCCACGCTCAGTTTTCTAGCTGTTTTTTGTTTGTTTTGTTTTTGTCTGTGTTTTTCTTGTTGTTGTTGTTGTTGTGGTTGCTTTTCGGTGGGCGGAAGTGGGAGGTGTGGGCTCTGTAAGGGTTAGGCTGCTAAACCACGACGGGCAAAAAGCCAAAAGGAAAACAAAAGAAAAGTTTTATTTGCATTTCTTTGGCATTTCGCTGCCAAAGGAAAGTGAAGCGAAATAAGTCTGCAGGTATGCGATGCGGCATGTCCTGGCCCAGAGTCCAGGATCCAGAATCCAAAATCCAGAATCCTTCCTCAGCAGGATGGCTTGCCGGCCCAGGGGAAGGGTCCAGGGATCCAGGCCACGTGAAACTTGTTTCATCTTGAAAAGTACAACAGCAATGGCAACAAAAAAAAAATAAGTAAAACAAAAAAAATAAAATAAAACAAAATAAAATAAGAGGAAAAAAAGCCAAACTCATTTTACACAGATTCCTCGTCGTTCCCACTTTTCAACTTCCTTCCAGCCAAGCCACTCAAACCCATTTCTCTACATATAACCAATTGAAATGAATTTGTATCCTGTGGACACACACACACACTTATACAGCCGCACGCATGCAACAACAACAACAACAAGAACGAGAGAGCAACAAGGACGAAAAAGGCGAAAACTTTGCCGACAAACTTTGACTTTGGTTATTGTTACAGTTTAACTTTGTTGCCTTTGCTATTCATCGTTTTGCTCTTGTTTCGGCACCGCCTTTTTGACAGGATATGCACTATCTGATACCCATTAGAAAATTTTAATTATAGCTTTTTATATTGGTCATCATAAAAGTTCCCTGTTTGGAATTAATTTTCTTGAATAGGATTCATTTCAATTTATTTTGGATATCTATTTTCATTTAACATTTTTTTTTGCTTGAGATTTCTTTTAGTTAGTTTATTTATTCAACTATTTTAGGCAATATAATTTATTGAAAATATTTTAAATTGAAAATATTGTTATATATTATTAAACTATTAAAAAAAAACTAAAACATTTTTTAGTCTAGTATTTATGTAGTATGTAACTATGTAGTATGCATTTATATTTAATTTTGATACTTATTAATATTCTTTAGTAATACGTTTTTTTTTTATAATTTTTTTCTAAGTAACTTTTTGAAAATGGGTATTTCCTAGTCTATCAGGCATTGAAAAATTCAATGCCCATCATACCGCTTTTAGTTGCCCCTTTGTTGTTGTCTTCTCTTTGTTGTACCGCTGTTGCTCTCAGTTGTTTTTGCCTGATGTTGCTGGTGTCGCCAACGCAGACGTCGCCGTCTTCTTGCCAGCGAAAAGTGGGGGCGTGGCAGGGGAGGGGGCGTGCCAAAAAGAAACTTTTCAAATAAAATGATTTCTTATTTAGGCAGCCGATTTGAGACACGCCTACCCCTACCCCCCCCCATTCCCCCTACCCATCTTACTTTGCCAGGACTTAAATATTACTCCGATCTGCGAAATGGAAATTTCTCTGGCTAATGGAATCAGTACAGGGTTTTGTTTTGAAATAAACAGAATATATATCTTTATTCAAAGAGTTTTAAAAGTTTTTCGTTTTTGCTTTTTAGGTTGAAGGATTCGGTGATCCTAGATCCTAGGCGGATGCCTCGCTGGATGACTCGCTGGAGCTCTCCTCGGATGACTCCTGGGAGGACGATGAGTTACCGCCCTGAGGAGGTCCCTGCGGAGGTCCCTGTGGAGGTCCCTGGGGTGGTCGCTGCGGAGGTCCCTGACCGCCCTGAGGAGGTCCTTGACCCTGACCGCCCTGCGGAGGTCCTTGACCGCCCTGAGGAGGTCCTCCGGGACGACGACCATCGACGGTGGCCAGAGCCACCATGGCGAGCAGTGCAACGAGGATGAGGACGCGCATTTTGATTTGCTTTTTAATTGACCGAACTAGTTCAACTGAATTCACCAAACACCCGGGAGACCTATATATACGCCAGTGATCTCGATCGAATCGAATCGGTTCGAATGCAGGTGTTATTGTGTTTGCGATGGTCAAATAAAAACTTTGATGCAAATAGTGATGCAGTTACTGCCCCAACTGGAGTTGTGTAAACCGTTCGTAACGGAAATACCTTGACGTTTATACAATTTTTTTTTACTATTTAAACAAAATAATTTTAAAGGAAATTATTGGATTATAAAAACCAACCGATGATAAACTATATTTTATTTTATTTTATTTGTATTATTTTAAATACACAGATATTCATAAATTTATTCAACACTTTTTACTTGGCTTTTTCTAACTTATGCAAACTATCAAATTTAATCTCCATTGATTTCTCATAAATACTTATGCATTTGGATTTCGCTCAAAGGCTTCTTTAACTCACCCAAAAAGTGGAAATATAAGAACGGCAATGAAATAAAGTCGGGCAAAACAATTGAGCTGAAACCTTAAGCTCTTGCTGGGATTTGGCCAAATAAAGTGGAAAGTCCTTGCAGTCCAAACCCGCCACTCCGCACATTGCAAGGATCCTTGAGCATTTGGCACTTGGATGATACAGCCAACTTATAAAAATTTCTACACATGATTTCGCTTTATTGCTTTATGACTGTGTGAGAGAGCTTTTCACTTGTCAGGTGGTGGGAGTTGGTGTTAAAGTCTGGAGTCTGCCCTAAAAAAGAAATATTTTAAAATATACTGATTCAGTTTTCGAGAATGTATATGTATATAAAGTGAGCTCGACATTATAGCTAATAGTAAAATAATTCACCTAGTTCAACATTTATTATTTCTCAATAATAATAATAATAATAATAATAAATAATATTACTATGTTATTACAAAAATTAATTCACCTATTTCATCATTATTACAAAATAAACAAATGAACAACATTTTTAGATACAAATTACGATTATGTCTAGTTTTTTAGTTCCCAACTAAATCACTGTTTCTCTCAGTGTAGACTCTTATGAATATTTCAAAGTACCGCCAGGCTCAAACTTTGACATTCAGACTGGAAGTTGCCTTTATCCCGCGGAGACATGCACATATATCCTATATCCTTGCCGAACCCCCCGACCCCAAAGGTTTAGCACTTTCACTTGCAGAATCTCTTTTTTGCCTTCTTTTTTTTCTTTTTTTTTTTACTTCGGGTCTCGCGATTGTCGGTCTGTAGTTTTATTTATGAATCTATTTACAACAGCAACAAAGGACCTTTTCGGTACTCGTAATAACCTTTGATGATCTGTTTGAACGGCGCGTGCTGTGAATTGTCAATAAAAAGGCAATTTCAAAGCTCTAAACACAGTTTGGTGGACTGGTTTCCCCCTTTGAGCACCGCAATCTTTGTTTTTTCTCTGCGACAGTTGTTATGTGGGTAGATTTATTAGGAATATTTGGTATCCAGTGTGTGTGATATGTAGGTTCCCCAAATAAGTTAAATGTAAAATAATAATTTTAGCGTGATATTCAATTGCTTGTATATTAAATGTAACGAAAGTCATTTATCGTCAGGTTTTGTAGTTTTAAATCATATGATATTATGATAAAATTAAATACTTTTGAAGTTCAGAATAGATAAAAAATATATTTTAAAATGTAATAGGAATTACTGTATATATTTTAGCTTATTCAAAAGAGTTTTTTCTTTTGCCAATTCCAAGCAATTATATCTGCCAGGACGATTTAAAAGTAGGCGGTGTAAACTTAGTTTATTGGACTATAAGTTTCGGTTGGCGGACGTTCGGTTAATTTGCGGTCAACTGTCGTTGCCATCGGTCATATTTTGATTAACCCAAACGCAAATCCACTCACACACTCAGATAAACACTCACCAGAATGCTGATGAGGCATTTAGTTTCTGGTGTCGGAGCAATGGGGTTCCATCCTGCCATCCCGTACCGCACTCGCAGTACTGCTAATGCGCCGAACGGGGGTCTAATAGGCCTGATTCGATTGCCCAATCGGTCAGTCCGTTGGCCCAGCTCCAATTTCGAATTTCCACTGCCGGAACTACCAAACATTGAGCGAACATCCACACACTCGACCCCTTTTCAACCCAACCCTCTTAACTCCCCCCAAAAACCATCAGTATGCTCGGTTGAGTGAGCCAAACTGGGGCCAGAAATGTTATTATGCAAAATAATAACAACGCATCGCACTATGAAATTAAATTTTGAATCCCAGCAGTGAGTAAACTTAAAATACAAGTTATTGCAACACCACAAACCGTTTCACATGTGCGGATCCCAGTATGCGAGTTGCCACATGACTGCCTTTGACTCTGACTTGCGGATGAGGATGAGGATGCGATTGCGATTGCGGATCTGGAACCGCCGGGGCTCCGGGCTATTTGGCTATGTGATGCCCTTAAAAAGGTGTCTGAAAAATCCTTTGACGTTCCAGAGAAAGAAGAGAAGAAAGAGAAATAATATGGTTCTAATTGTGTGTTTTATTGTGTAATAAAAGACTACGAATTAAACTTTGAGAGAACTTTTAATAAGGCAATATTCGAAAAGAAATAGTTTTAAAAGGGACACATTTTCTAAAATTTCTATAACTCTTAATAATATTATTTCTTATTTTAAATCCAATTTAAATAAAACCAAATCTAACTTCGTTATATTTATAAAAAGTTCTTGAAAAATATTAGCTTTTTAGTACTTTTTTCTACGGGTGGAAAATAAAGGGGAAATTGGTAAAAAGTATGCAACCAAAAATTTGTTTTCAAAAAACCAAATCCTGGATCCACCACTGAATAAAACTTAAGCGATAAAGATCTGTTATTATTATATATTTTAAAGCTACTTTAAAAATAAATTTAAAAAATGAGTAATCGTTGAAAAATAAATATTATTATGTTATAAACAGAATTTATGAACGATATAGTATTGCTAGGATTAAGTATATCTCCGGTTTATGTTCTTACCAAATTTATTTCATAAGTTAACTTAAAGATAACTTATGCCAAAAAAAAAGGACAAGTGTAATTCGGATTCGACTTTATTGTTATCTAGGAATCGCCGCTGTTCTCCCGCAGCAGTTTGCTGGCTGCTTTCATTTCGTTTTTGGGCTCGTGGACTGGGGATTCCCCCCGTTGCTGTTGCATTTGCCGGCTTTGGCTCGTTTTCGTGGGAGTCGGAAGACAAATTGATTTCATGTCTGAAACTTCTTAAGCGCCTGCATCGGGGGAATCCTTGGCGTTCCCGCCCTCCTCTGTTTTTTGGGTCTTCGTCTGTGTCTGCGGCCATCCGTGTTGTGTTTGTGTTTTCAAATTTGATATTGCACACATGAAGCGCAGCCAGATCCACCTACTACCTCGCTGCATTTTGGGGGTCTTTCTTGTAACTATTACTTTTTTTTTATTGTTGGTCCTCTCCAAGTGACTGTGTGTGTGTGTTGAATTTGTCTAGAAATTGATGCGCTCGCCGTCGAAACAATATAGCGAGACAGCAGGGCAAAGGCAACATGTTGCAAAGGCCATACCTCCATCCCTCCACCTACACCCCCTCCCTTTTTCGCCATCCCTCCAATTTGGGTTGCATGCTTTTGGCGAATATTTTGCGGCACGTCGCTGCGGCTTCGCCTCCGCTGTCATAGACATGAGCAATAGACAGATACATACGTACACATGTGCACTCGTGCCAGTCGTACACTCAGCAAAAATATACAATATTTCCTTAATAATTCAGATTTTCTGAGATTTTTTTAATAAGGTCTGTATCACAAATATACGATATTAAGAAATTTTCTTATTAAATGGTTAGCCAAGAGAATAGTTAGAGAGTATTTTCAAATACAGATCAATAGAGAAGTGGGTTATGAGGATAACAAAATTTTTCCTTACGGATTTGACGAGAGTTTTTGTAAAAATTGTCACTTTTTAGACCTTTTACCATTGAATTAAAACTATTAACTAAATTTAGATATATACGAAAAAATTTAATTTTTAATTTAAACAAAATTGTCTTGGTGTCGTATAGATTTAATACAACCCTTAAAAGGCCATTTTCTTGTAAAGCCTTTTTTTATCAATAAAAAACAATATAATACTTTGGTTTAATTCAATGTATAATTATTTTCCATTATAAAGACACATTTTTTTGAGTGTACCTATGTAGCTGCGTGTGTTGCCATATAAGTATATGGCTAAATATTTGCAATTTCGTTTTTCGGTATTCCCCCAAGTGTGGCCATAAATTGCCCCCTCTTTAATACGAGGTGCAAGCTATCCTGCCCCTCAATCCCCCTTCCAACTTCCCTCCCCTTGCTATCGATTCGTTATCCTTTATTTTTCTGTTGGCTTTCCTAATCAGTTTGGTGGCCGTCGAAGCTGACCCAAAGAAAGCAACCAAGGGATTCAAGTCAAGTGGAACAAAGTGGATAAAAAAGGGGAGAGATTTTAAGGAAAGAATCTGTAATGAATGTTGGCGGCTCATTCAATCGAAATGGATTGGGTTATGATCTATCGGTAGTATATCTCTAGAGGATTTCCAATATAATTTTTAGGGAATGGTCCGTTTTGAGGAACTATGGAAGTTGGTAATTAGCCAAAGCTTGGGAACTATTTAATAACAATTCTTTTAGAGGTATTTAAATATTAATTTTATGTTAAATCTTTATCTAAAATAAATAATAATAAATAAGCAAAATATCCCATCATAACCATAAAAGTTTAAATTTTTTTATAAATTCAACAACTTTTTCTATTATTTCAAGGTCATAAAGTACTTTGCACTGGTGAAAGTTGTTACCATAAGAATGAAAACAAATTCCGCACAATATTTGCAGTATCAATAACTTGAACGTTTTTAGTTATCAAAACCGTTTATCCATACTAAGTACGATGCTGGGTGGTGACTCCCAAAGTATCCAATACCCGGAACCCACAACGTAGCTTGTGTTCTCCTCCATCGACTGCGAAACTATAAAATGCCAGTCGAAGAGAAAAA